ACAGTTGAAGTCAGAATTATTAGCCCCCCTGTTTATTTTTTATTAACTAGGTTAATTAGGTTAACTGGGCAGGTTCGGGTAATTAGGCAAGTTATTGTATAACAATGGTTTATTCAGTAGACAATCAAAAAAAATGTACAGCTTAAAGGTGCTAATAATTTTGGCCTTAAAATGGTGTTTAAAAAATTAAAAACTGCTTTTATTCTAGCTCAAATAAAACAAATAAGACTTTGTCCAGAAGAAAAATTATTATCAGACATACTGTGAAAATTTTCTTACTCTGTTAAACATCATTTGGGAAATATTTAAAAAAAAAAAATAAAGAAATTCAAAGAGGGGCTAATAATTCTTACTTTAACTTTATATATTTATGGTCACAATCACCAGCGATCTAACCAAATGATTTAAAACAAATACTTTAACTAACCCTCCTTTTTATTAGGCTGTAATAAAAGCAGTTTTTAATTTTTTTAAAAAACATTTTAAGGTCAAAATTATTAGCTCCTTTAAGCTGTGTATATATATATATACATAACTTGCCTAATTACCCTATCCTGCCAAATTAACCTAGTTAAGCCTTTAAATGTCACTTTAAGCTGTATAGAAGTGTCTTGAAAAATATGTAGTCAAATATTATTTACTGTCATCATAGCAAAGATAAAATAAAACCGTTATTAGAGAGTTATTAAAACTATTATGTTTATTATGTGTTAATAAAAATCTTCTCTGTTAAACAGAAATTGGGGGAAAAAATAAACGGGCTAATAATTCAGACTTTACTATGTCAAGACTCTAAATGATCACATAATACAACAATTAAGAATAAAAAAAGTTACATACTGTAAAATCATAACACCAATTATAATTGTAATAATCCAGGCAAAACAAAAGCTTTCATACCTCTCTCTGCAGATTAATATCCGCGCCCTGCATGATGAGCTCCCGAACACACTCATAATGCCCACTATATGATGCCACCATCAGCGCTGTGGTGCCGTACTGCCAAAACACACACTGTTAAAAAAAATCCTGTAGAATCTACAGTAACTTACAGGCAGCAGTTCGCCATTAACTTACTGTAAATCAATTACAGCAAAAATACTGTATTTGCATTATATACAGCAGCATTTATCTTGCTCAATATTTATTTATAGAATTGTATGTAAAATATACAGTATATTTAACAATGCAACTTTAAAATACAGTAACGTACTGTGTAACTGTCCTACAGTAAAATACAGTTCATTTTACGGTTAAATACTGTGTAATTTACAAAAATCGTTAACAGTGCATTATCATATGAGATTAAAGTTTGCGTGAACCGAAGGTTGCCGGGACTTTTATTTCAGTTTGTTGATGTACTTCCAACATAAACAGTATATTGAGTAGGGATCGGAGCTTTTGAGCAGCATTCCCTTATAGCAAACTTACAGTAAAAGGGGCGTGGCTTAAAATATTAAGGCTGAAGTCGTCAAACTGACATCATCAGAGAAGAATGGCTTCTCAAACGTGGAAGCACATGTTCAGACTTTGATTTAAGATTACCAAAACCAACTTTATTTTTCCAATGGATTAACTTGTACAGATTAATTGTTCACCTAGAGAATAACAATGTGCGCTAGCAAAATACACATCATAAATTTTGATTTCACCCCCCCCCCCCCCCCTGAATGAGAGTACGGAGCTTCTTTTTGCACTACGAGTGAAAGGAGAGCCTCATACAGCATCTTTGCAGTCGACATCCACTCGGCCGCTGTTCAATAAAAGCTGAAGCAGAGCCAAGTTTCCTTTCCTCGCTGCCCAAAACACAGCGTTGGCGAGCGGAGTCTCCTTCTGTCAGACATACACACACAAACAAACAAACACATGATCACACAGATAGCACTGTCAGAGCTCAGTAAAACACATAATGTGCTGTTTATTTATTTCAAAGGTCTGGCGAATCAATTACGAAATAAATCTGCCTTCTAGTTCCTATAGTCAATACTTTCTGAGAGTCAGCAACATTAGTAAAGTAATGTTGGGGAGTATTTTAACATTAGGGTTTTGTTTATTATTAAAAAAAAACATGCTGATTAAAAAAAACACGATTATAAATACATAATAAAAGCAAACTAAAATAATAAAATTAAGTATAAATAAATTAAATTAGTATAATGTAATAGAAATGTAATTAAATAAGACAATAAATAAAAAATTTGAGAAATAAATAAAATAAATATTAAAGAAAAAAGACTGAATTAAAAAGCAATAAATTATAATATATAAATAATAATATATTTTGAAAGGGTGGCACGTTAATGGGCATAGCCGTACATTTATACTTCTGCGTGCTGTTTGTGTTGCTCAATACCACTTTCGAAACGCTAGCTGGCAGTAGGCTTTTATGTTTCTCTGTGTTGAGTTTCTTTGCGGGTGTTTTGTTTTTTTCTGAACACTAGCTTAATGTACAAGTAGCTAAAACTCGCTCATTCAGAGGTGGTAATCGGCGGATGTGGAACAACTTTAATCATAAGGTAAACACAAAACAAAAGTTTCCATCTGGAGCTTCTTTACAATACTCAGCATTTGTAAGCAATTGCTTCTTCGGGCCCATGGCTATCACCACCGTTCACACTCGTCACATCTACCAAGCCGACTAATCACAGAGTTTGCACCACACGTTCTGGCGGTTATTTATATATATATATATATATATATATATATATATATATATATATATATATATATATATATATATATAATATATATATATATATATATATTAGGGATGCTCAAAGTAATCGATTAACCGTTAACTGAAAGAGTGCGTTTGTGACCGATTAATGCTATCAGTTAAACGATTAAAATTATTATTTTATATATTTTTTGTTTGACTGCATAAGGGGCCGATTGAATGCGCCTTTGCGTTAAGAGGGGCATCTTTTGCACGCGGCTCATCCCAGAGCAGCAGTTCGTGTTGTCAAGACAACTACAGAGAACTTTTTAAGAGCTTGGTTTCCGCTACATTCATTCTTCATGGCGGGGACCAAAATTCATCTGTGCGCTCTCTGTTTAATCCTTTGGCGTTACGCGCTGACAGACTGACTGACAGGTGCACGATGCGTGAGACCAGCAAACACGCAGAAGCTTTCAGTTAAGATGAACACAGTTTCTATAGTTATACTTTATTTATAGATAAAGTATGACTCTGCATATAATCACTCTATCTTGCTGGAGTTTATAGCCGTTTCGCTTTACTTCAGGACGCATTATTGCTGCTCTGAAGGTCTAATCGCTGTTTTAAGTTATCCAGAGCTGTATGAACGTACAAATCTTGAATATCATAATATTATTAAATATTACAATTTTAACAACATAGACAGCAACACTTTTGCACAATCGATACCCAGCTGATTCAGTCGTTTCATAAGAGGACCGCGCTGATTCTCTTCTTTTTTCCTTGTCAACATAAAGGCAGTGAGGTCCGCCTCGCGTTTTTGGAATGAAAAAAGCACATTAGCTGTGGTCGGCCACTAGTTCAACTGCAAGACATACTTAACTTGTGGGACGATAACGTATAACCCGTGCCTACAGACACATTTGCCAAAGAAGCAAAATGGAAGAAGAATATTGCTGTATAACAGACGTGTTGATGCCAAAAAAAGCGCTGATGTTGACCTGGATCCACATCATAAACGCAACAAATAGGCTTTACCTTTTATTTTATAGCATATAAAGCATGTATGCACATTAATGCAATGTCATATTTAAACAACAAAACTGTTTACAAAAAGTCAACATATGTGCGCGTGTTGTTGTTGTCTTTTCATCACGCAGCGTGCGCACTTGAGCCGCGATGGAGAGAAAGGAAACCACGTCAAGACATAATCTTTAAAATAATGATTTCTATTAAAAATGTAAAAAGGTTTCGTGATTATAATAATAACAGCGGGGCATTAAATAAATGCATATTTTCCGTAGAGCGGGCGATTTGAGGAAGTTTGCTGTTTTGTTTGACGGAAGACAAAAATATGATTGGAAAAAACAGCCTATGCCGGTTATTAAAAAAATCAGTCAGTGTTTTCAATTTGTTACATAAATTAACTATTTAAGTGAAAATAATTTAGAGCAGTCCTATTTGTTTTATTCATTTTATTTAGTTTATTCTGTTCTTCTGTGCTAAACACTGCAGGTGCATGAAAATGCTCTGTCGTATTGTTCTATTATTAATATGCTAGCATATAAAAATAAATCACCATTTTAAAATGCAATATTTAATGTGTCAGACACAAAATAGACACGTCAATTTGTTTAATATAAAATTAATAGTAATCTGACCAGTTAACCGTTAATAACCGATTAATGAGCATCGGTTGTCGGTTAGCAAAATTAATCGAAATGAGCATCCTTAATATATATATATATATATATATATATATATATATATATATATATATATATATATATATATATATATATATATTACATTTTCCTATAGGCACACGTCAGTGACGGTGTCAGACTCAGCCATGACACGTGCGCTTGATGCAGAAGTATAAATCAGCCTTAAGCCGAACCGAAACTTTATGAATATATATTTGAAAACAAACTTATTAAAAATGTAAATACACACAAAAAACAATAAAAATAAATAAATACAAGCTAAAAGTAAAAAGTCTTACCTAACAATATAGTTTAAAATCAATATTAGCATTACATTAAACAAAAACAAAATCAGATATACAGGAAAACAATGAGAAAACATTAACCCAAAATTGTAGAATATGAGCGAGACAGTAATGCTGATATTGCACCATCGTAAATACAGTATACAACAGTTTTATCATAAACTACGGTTGCCATGGTGATTTTTGGAAGGGCGGGACAGGCGGACAGTCGTCATAAGGCCACAGAGACGCCAGTGACTGACAGAAAAACTCCATCAATTCCTTTTTCCGGCCACACGTTTGCTCATATATGTTGTGTTTAAGCAATGAAGACATTCGTGTTTACCTTGAAAGACATCCTGGAGTCTCAGGCGAGCTTCATCCTGCTGGTTTTGCGCGGTGTCCTTTATAACGTCTGTCCGCAGCGCTCATTCATCGCCCCTGAAGATCTGAATGAACGGATCTACGCTCTTGTTTACCGCAGTGAGTGTTTACCGCGCACGGACATCAGCGAGGGGCTTTTACATCAACTGTCTATTCTCGTGTATCCCTCCTCCTCTTACTGCTTCAGGCTCGATCATAAACACACACACACACTCACACTCAGCTGCTGCTCGAATCCTGAGCGAGTTGTTCTTGCGAGTCGGATCTATCATATGAATCAATTGAACCAGGAATCAGTCTGAGCGGATCTCATTATAGCAAGTTTATAACCCTTTAAAGTCCAATTGAAATCCCAAAAATATTTTAGGTGTAAGTATTAATGCCAAGTCAGTGTGTGATCAAAATGTATAATGTTAATTTTGTTAGTGCACACTGTTATAGGTGAACAATTATCCATGCAAGTTAATCCATTGAATAAAACTGTTTGTTATGGTAATCTTCAATCAAATTCTGACCATTTGCTTCTGCGTTTGTAGTAGGCGGTCCGTCTCTGTTGATGTCAGTTTGACAGCTTTAGATGCAATATTCCTAACCACACCTCTTTACTATTAGCTGGCTCTGGCCGATTGCACCAGCAGTGCGTATTGTGATCACGGTATTGTGATCACTGTTCTAAAATACATTCTTTTTAAATGTCTGGGTAAAAAACAAAAACTTTTTCTCTTTTAAACACAAAATACTTGTATTTTAAGAAACATTTATAATATTTTTTAGCAGTTTTTTTTTTTTTTTTTTACAAATTTAAAACGGCATCTTTGGATATATTTTTTGCTAGACATACTGTTGTCCTAAAAAACGACAAAAAAAAAAAAGTAAATAAAAAATCGTACACATACCTTAGGAACGGTATAGCAGAAAATTCTGACGGTTTTAAAACCTTGACTTTAATTTTGTGTATTCATTCGTCTGTTATTAGTGACTGACAGTAATTTAATGTACTATAAAAAGGTAACTTATAATTTCATTTTCATATAGCCATATATAGATGCATTTCTTTGCATTCATTCTGAATGTTTACAAAACGGCAATTCGCCTAGCCATAGCACCCAAAGGAAACCAAGACAAACACGGAGAATATACAAACTCCACACAGAAGGCCAACTGACCCAACCGGGGATCAAAACAACGACCTTCTTGCTGTGAGGTGACAGCGCTACCCACCACGACACCATGTCGCCCAACATATAAACGTAGAACTGTAATGCTCAGCTATATCTACAGCCAAAATATATTTTGAATTATAATTTTTTATACGTTTCGCATATTTTATATACCGTTGAGGTTATTAACCGCTGTTTATTTTTTCCCCCAATTTCTGTTTAACGGAGAGCAGATTTCTTCAACACATTTTTAAACATAATAGTTTTAATAACTCATCTCTAATAACTGATTTATTTTATCTTTGTTATGATGACAATACATAATATGTGACTAGATATTTTTCAAGACACTTTCTATACAGCTTAAAGTGACATTTAAAGGCTTAACTAGGTTATTAGGTTAACTAGGCAGGTTAGGTTTAATTAGGCAAGTTATTGTATAATGATGGTTTGTTCTGTAGACTATCGAGAAAATATATAGTTTAAAGGGGCTAATCATTTTTACCTTTAAATGTTTGTTTTTTTAATTTAAAACTGCTTTTATTCTAGCCAAAATTAAATAAGTAAGACTTTAACAAGAAGAAAAAATAATATCAGACATACTGTGAAAATTTCCTTGCTCTATTAAACATCATTTGGGAAATAATTTAAAAAGAAAAAAAGTTCAAAGGAGGGCTAATAATTCTGACTTTAATTGTATATACTATAATATAACATTTTATTTAATACATAAAAAGTGAGCAAATCGTAAGCCTATTGACCTGTACCTCCCCTATGCATAGACTGTCTAATGAAAAACCCCAAAATATAAGCTGTAGAGGCAATCATGGGATGAAGTGTAATAACGGGGGTAAATTATGACAGCATTATGAAGAGCACACTTCTTGTCTGGAAATGGAGAAAGACGGATGAGTCAGCAAACACCCCAGTAATAAAGGCCTTGCTGTGGTTGGTCTATACTTTGAGGATATAACATCAGTGCTGGTACGTTCATTAAATCCCAAACTGAAAAACAGCTCAGACCAAGCACTCTCAGACATTCAGACATTGCTGAATCAGTCATGATCTCATAACAAAAAGTACAGATATCATATGAACATCATATCTGATTTCCTAGAAGGATTTCGGGATGGCTTATGTATAGAAATGTTATTGTTTTGGTGACGTTATTGGTTATGGTTACACTTTTAACCATTTTGTTAATTAGCACCTTCCTCTTGCAGGATGACAATAGTGTGGACACACCTTCAGCTTGATGCTATAAAACACTGAAGACATGGGTCGGTTTCATTCCCAAAACCTCCGACAAACACTTTCAGCAGATCCTGCTCTTCAACATGATCGGTAAGTCTGGAAGAAATGTAATCTTTAGCATGGTATGAATATTACGATTAAGATTTGTTTAGATATTTAGGGTCATTTCACTTGGATATTCTTAAACATGAATAGTGATGAAAGGAAATATATCAAATTTGACCCTGTTCTGTAATGTTGCAGGAATATATTAGTAGGAATAGCCAGAAATACATTGTATGAGTCAAAATTATTGAATTTTCTTTTATGCCAAAATTCAATAGAATATTATGTAATTCATGTGTAATGAAGACATTTTGTTAATTTCCTTCCATAAAATTTTTGAAACCTAATTTTTGGTTAGTACTATGCTTTGCTAAGAACTTTTTCTTCAATATTTTACATTAAATATTTGTATTCATGTACAGTTGAAGTCAGAATTATTAGCCAACCTGAATTATTAGCCCCCCTGTTTATTTTTTTCCCCAATTTCTGTTAAACGGAGAGAAGAGTTTTTCAACACATTTCTAATCATAATAGTTTTAATAACTCATTTCTAATAACTGATTTATTTGACCTTTGCTATGATGACAGTAAATAATCTTTGACTAGATATTTTTCAAGACACTTCTATACATTTAAGGCTTAACTATGTTACTTAGGTTAAGGCAGGTTAGGGTAATTAGGCAAGTTATTGTATAACGATGGTTTGTTCTGTAGACTATTGAAAAAAAAATTGCTTAAAAGGGCTAATAATTTTGACCTTAAAATGGTTTTAAAAAATTAAAAACTGCTTTTATTCAAGCCAAAATAAAACAAATAAGACTTTCTCCAGAAGAAACAATATTATCAGACATACTGTGAAAATTTCCTGGCTTTGATAAACATCATTTAAAAAAATATTTTTAAAAAATTAAAGGGGGTTAATAATTCTGATTTGAACTGTAAATAAATATAGTTGATAATAAATTGTTTGTTATACTTTAATTGTATTTAATTATACAGTTATTATTAAAATATAAATGTGTTCAGGTTATACTTGAACCAAGAAATCTTACTTAAACTAAGAAACTTTATTAACTTTGACAAAATTATTAATTTAATTCTCGTAAATGAAAATAACAATTACATTGTATTTTTGTCAATGTTTTTGTCACAGTTATACAGTTTTGATTTAATTTAAAATGAGAAAAGTTAACTTTGATTTTTTATTCAAACATTCTATTTAAATAAACATTTATAACCAGTGTGCAAATTATACATTGACGATGAGGGGGCTCAGTTTTTATGTAAAACATGCTTCAGTCATTGATGTATTTATTTTTAGTTACATCTAGTTGAGTAGTAAAACTGAAGTTTTCAGTGTTTGAGGGATATTTTGTGTATCCTGACAGTCTCCTCTGATTAGCTTTATCAGACGTTACTGTAGGTCAAACTACACCAACTGTCTAATTTGACTTTACTTTCAGGCTATATGTAGAAACAAACTCCTATTTCTGTCTTGTGAACACTTGATGACTATCATTGCTCTAGATCTGCCAGTTTCAGACTGTTGAATTAGTTAGTCTGATCGGGGCGATTATGCATTCGCAACAATCAATGTCCCCCAAATCCCCCTGTAATTCGCACCCTGCTTTATAACTATATTATCAACATGATTAACATATATAGCTTGTCCGAAGAGGACAAATGGTTATTTGCTTTGTCTCTTAAACATTATTGTAAGCTATATATATTTTTTAATTAATTCAAAAAAACTTATTCTTTACAAATTCATTCTCAAATAAATATTGAACACAATTTATGTTAAATTGTGTGGGTAAACTCTTCAGTTACTCAAGAACTTTATTTATATTAGATGTTTATTTTGTCTCAAAAAATGTTATTGTTGCTAATGACTGATGTTGTGGTCCAGGGTCACAGATAGTGATAGTCCATTATTTTAGGAATTCAAAATGACAATTTTCATCATTTAGAAAGACAACAGCATCATTATTATTTTTCACAGACATCAGTACAACTATTTGCAAAATCCATTAACTTTAGTCATCTTTATTGCTTTATATGTCAATGGTGGAATGGCAAAAAGCTGAAAAATATGGAGAAAAACACTATTTGAGTTTTCTTCTTTTCCCAAAGTTTAAACACCTGAAACTCTAGAAGTCTTAAAAATGTCCTATAAAAATCCTTTTAGATTTTGTTTTTCAACTATTTTCTCTTTTGGCACTTTTATTTTTAAGGTCCTATTTGGTTTAGTTCCACTGATATTTGAATCTCAAATGTGTCTCTGCCTCTAAAGTGAATATGTATCTTTTTTCCTTCTATTGTTTCCTTCGAGGAAATAAACTGCACATATATCACACCTCTGGGTGCAAAAACACTCATTTTTCAAGGTGTGCGTGCCTGTCACTCAAGAAGTGTTAAAGATATCTTATTAGGATTTTAGATGCTGGTCCTTAGCAAACTTGACTTTGTGAATCCTCATTTTCAAGGCATTTTTTGGTTCATTCCAGTAGATCTGGGGATCTCAATGTTGCAGTTTTTTTTTAATAAAAAGTTTTTTTTTTTGCATCTTTTAATAGTCCAACACCAAATATTTAAATGCTTATTGTATTAAATTAAGAAAATAATTCAATTAATTTGAAAATAAGTCATGTTAAAAATGGAAAGATAAATTATTTCATCTATCAAAACAACTGGAGTGACAGAAACACAATGGCATTCTCAGGTTGAGGCTTATTAACTTAGTATTGTAACTTATATACTTATGAAAATGTCACTTATAAGGAATTCTAAATACTTCTTGAGTTACAGGTAAGAAGTTTTCAACATCAATGTTCAACATTACTGATTTTTTAGACTTTCCTTTTTATATACAATAAGTATTTGTTACTGTCATGAGTTACTGGCATAAAAACTTTTTCTTATTGTTGAACTGTAAAAGTTAAACTAAAGATGATTAAAGTCTACTCGATTTACCAGTAGACCTACCAATCTGAGGAAAAATAATGCTGACATCTTTAAAAAGTAATTTGGCTCAGGTGGAAATGATAATTTTTTAACAATGAGTAACAAAATAGTAACAAAATCAAATAGTAACAAAATCAAAATTAACAAAAAGGTTTTCATAAATTGTGGTCAATATTTCTTTATTTATTTGGTAAAGTGAATCGGGTAATAATAAGAATTTTAAATATAATAATAATCAAAGTTTATTAGTATTAACAATCAAATTTTAGGTGATAAAGGAATATTTAAGAAAGTTATTTGTGTTAATTATTTAGTTAAATATTTAAATGATTTAAATAGAATATAAATAATGGTCATTTTAAGTTTAACCAAAGTATTAATTTAATTCTCAAAAATAAATTATATGGTTTGTTATTATATTTAGTTAATAAGTCTAAGAATAAGGCTTTTTAGTTCAAGTAAGCTTACTTGGTTCAAGTAATATTTGAATGCAATTCTATTTTAACAATAATTTATTCATTTACTTCTTCTTGTACTTTGGGTTTAGTTGGGTTTAAGCATTTGACAGGATTAAGGATGTAGACTGACATCATACAGAATATGTGCTTTATAAGTAATAACAAAAAGCCAATATCCAAATAATAGGCAGGTAATAGATTTGTTAATTAATGTAAATTATTACCATCATTTCTATATTTAAAATACTATCAAACTTTTTATTTTAACTCTTTGTGAATATATAAATGCAGATATTATAAAAATGTATTTACTTTTAATCTCTGAACCAAAAATAAAAGTAAAATGTTGCCCAATTTGCTTTAAAAAAAAAAAAGGAAAAAAAAGTAAACTAAAGTTCAAAATTCTTACAGTTTTGAGGTCAAAGCAGTTTTTCTTTTGCACAGACACTTATCAGTCCAGCTGGGTGGCGCTGTTGGGCAGAACGGCAGTGTTTGCCCTCCTGGTGTGGGCTCCTGTGCAGGTGGCATCAGAATCGGAAGAAGAAGCCCCAACTGAGTGGAATCTGTGGAAGAAAAAACACGAAATATCCTACGACGAAGAGGTCGGTTATGGTCAGCTGGGCATGACTTAAAGGTACAGTACACCCAAAAATGAAAGTTCAGTCATTATTAAACTCATATATTGAGAGCATGAGGGTGACCGAATGTTCAGTTTTGGGTGGACTATTCCTTTAATTGAAAGGTTTGAATGATTGTTGTGCTCTGGGGATACTTAACCCTGTATAAACATACAGTTTACGTGTGTTGTTAAGATGATTATATGTCGCTCTATACACTGAATGTTTGTGTATTTCTCATGACGTTTGGCTTTTTAACCACAGAGTGAAGATGTTCACAGAAAGACCATTTGGGAGACCAACATGCAGAAGATCTGGAAAAACAACAATGATTTCAGTTTTGGATTGTCAATGTTTAAAATGGCAATGAACAAATATGGAGACCTGGTAAGTAAATCGGAATTAAATATCCATTTATCTGAAAATAACCACTGAAAACCATTTAATTGGATAAGTAATAATATTTATCATTATGTTTTTTGTGATGTGAATCTTCATTTGAATGGATCTTTATACTAGTAATGTTGATATTTATACTAGTCGTATGAATTTCATGCAAAAAAAATTTTTTTTTGAGAAATCACACCTGTTTGTCATTATTATTACAGATTTGATGTTCAATTTACTTTTCTCAAACAATTAGAATGATTATTAAAACTGCATAGTTGTATTTATCGTTATAATTGTTGTGATTGATGCGAATTCCTTGTTATACTGACACCTAGTGGTGTGGAGTAATTAATATGTGCAAAAATATCCATTTCAGCTATAATGTTGTTCTGTAATTTTTTTGCTTAATCTTTAAACCAACATTGACAACTGAAATAAAATGAAAAATGGTGACCTCATAAGTAAAACTATTTTTTACTTACATTCTGAGCTTTATTAAGGAATTACCTACTTGAAAACTGAAATTATTGCTAAACTTGTAACTATATTAGCGACCGCACCTAAGCTCAATATTTGCTTTATTGCTTTAGTTGTCTGACGAATAATTTGAATGATTATTAAAACTAGCTACATGCACATTTATCATCATATTTGTCTTGCACTTATACTGACACCTAGTGGTGTGGATGTCATGTAAAATGTACAAAAATTGACACGTTTGCTTCAGCATCATGTCTCATCTTATTCTCAGACAAGTGTGGAGTACAAACGTTTGCTGGGAAGCAAAATCAAAGGCACAGGGAATAGAAAAGGAAAGATCACGTCTGCTCAGATGCTCCGCCTCAATGCCAAAAGACTGGGAGTGACCAATATCGACTATCGAGCGAAGGGATATGTGACCGAAGTCAAAGACCAGGTGCGTTTCAGCTCTGTTTTCATATTTGATTTAGATTTAGTCATTAAGCAGACGCCTTCTCCAAAGCAACTTACAATTAATGAGGCATTCAGCGATTCAACAAGAAGAGGCAATACACACAAGAAGTGCTACTTATACAGAGGAACTATTAGTTCTCAGAGAAATAAGTGCTAGAGTTAGGAGGGAGGAGTGTTTTTCTTTTTTATAGAGAGAGCAAAGAGTGTTTCTACAGGTGGTTTGTCAAGCCCACTCACCTGTTTGAAGCAAACTTCATAAATCCATTTTTTATATGGAGTGACTGCAAGAATGTGTCTGGTGCGAATGTGCAAAACTGGTTGGTTAATGTGTCGGAGAGAAAAAAAAGTGTGTTTTCTGCGGGTGGTTTGTCAAGCCCACTCACCAGTGTGAGGCACACTCAGATATGGATGATGCATTCCATATTGTATATTTTCTGTTTACAGTCTGATTTTGTTGTTTTATTTCAGGGATACTGTGGGTCTTGCTGGTCCTTTAGCACTACAGGGGCTATCGAAGGACAAATGTACAAGCATACGGGACGGTTGGTGTCGCTCAGTGAACAGCAGCTGGTGGATTGTTCCAGGTCTTACGGCACGTATGGCTGCAGTGGAGCCTGGATGGCAAACGCTTATGATTATGTGATTAATAATGCATTGGAGAGCTCAGACACTTACCCTTACACATCAGTGGTAAGTGACTTCTTCTTTGCTTATACACCTTTTTTCCTATGCCCCATGGTGTGTGAATTATAAGGGGTACATTCTGTTAAAATGTTAACAAACAATGTGAAAGGGACCATACATTTTTTTCCATTCCAGTTACTTTGACCACTGTTTTTCTATATAAACATGCACTTAATAGACATTGATGACTGTTACACTCATGATCATCACATCTTTATATTCAGCATGTTAGGATTTTTAATTTAAGATAATACACGCAGCGCCAATCATCAACGTCAGTTCCAAAGCAGTTGACCAATCGAAAGAACTCAGGCAAGGTAAACATTGTGAGCTTCTGTTAACAGTAGCAAGTTGGTGTTATTTGCCGTTAAAAAAATATTTCTGAGCACTGTGTCTAGTACAGAGATGCCCAAAGTAGAGCCTGCGGGCCAAAGTTGGCCCACGGTATTAGTAACCTTTTGTGATTTGGTCCACCATCCCATCTGAGAAGAGATTTAGCATAAATGTTGCGGGAAATGCCTCCAATAGAGATCGTCATTTCTAGTTAAACATAACCTTTTGTTTGTTTGTTTGTTTGTTTAATAAAAAATCAACTAAATTGAAATGTTTTATTAATTGTGCATGAATGAGATTTTTAAATATGTAAATACTGTCACTCGAAGATGGAGGAAAATACACAAGACATCGACGAGCAAATCAAGGCAAAGGCAGGTTCAGCTTGACTCATGTATTTAGTATTGAACACCATTGTGTTATAAAATGTGTTTGTTTATCTTGTTTTTGTAAGAGGTTCATTACAAAATGTAAAAAGTATCATTATTTATACTTTGTGAAGTAAGTATTCTTCTATTTATTTTTCAATATTATTAAATTAGAAAATTGGCAGCTTTAACGTAATAAATTGGTGTATTTACTTTCGACCCACCCCCTTAGTCAAGTTTGATTTTTGGCCCTTCATTAGAAAAAGTTTTTGCACCCCTGGTCTAGTGTTTTTAAACACAAAGATACGTACTTTTAGCAGACCACTAATAACGGCAAAAATTTGAAATGTCTTTCCGCAGCAGTATTACAGATGCCCTAAATGCAACTGTACTATATTGTAGCATTGTTTTTAAGATTATTATTATTATTATTATTATTATTATTATTATTATTATTATTATTATTATTATTATTATTATAACCTTTATTTTACCAGGAAAGACACATTGAGATTAAAAATCTCTTTTACAAGAGCTTCCTGGCCAAGATTAGGCAGTCCACAAGTCACATGAATCCAACAGACAACAAACAAAAAACAATTTACAGTTAACATGAATCACACTGACAACTATTCAAAACATCTACAAACCTGTGTTTCAACTTCTAAAACTTTTATATTCTTTTTAAAAGCATGTAGTGAAATCAAGTCTTTGAACTGCAACTGTGTCTGCAGATTATTCCAAGCAAAAGGTGCTGCGTACTTTAAAGCCTTTTTTCCCATCTCACTCCGCACTTTAGGGACAGATAGTAAATAAATATCCTGTGACCGAAGACCATAGTTAAGAACAGGCTTTTTACAAATGTAATTCTGGAGATATGATGGGAGTAAACCCAGTATGTAAACAAGAATATAAAAATGCTTGAGCCTACCAATGGACAAAGCAGACCAGCCTACCCTAATATACAGCACACAATGATGAGTAAGGGATTTAAAATTAGTTATAAATCTTAGTGCACCATGGTAAACAGCATCCAATGCATTCAGACTTTGAGACGAAGCATGCATATAGATTACATCACCATAGTCCAATGTCGACATGAATGTTGCCTCAACCAGCTTCTTTTTAGCTCCAAAAGAAAGGCAGTTCTTAATTCTAAAATAGAAGCCTAAAATCTCTTTTAATTTTTTCAAGATGGATAAAAATATAGTACAAAATCAAAGGTACCTCTTACTCTGTTTCACTATAGGAATATTTTATAGCACAACCTTATTATTTGATGTGATTTATTTTGGTTATTTTGAATGGAAGTTCCTCAAAACAGGAAGTGCTACCCATGATTTAAAATAAAAGTCATGCTCGGAAATTGGTGGATTTATGTATTAATTTGATGTGGTCATTCTTAATCCACATTTTTATTTTTATTAGGACACTCAGCCCTGTTTCTATGAAAAGAATTTGGCTATGGCTGGAATCAGTGACTACAGGTTCGTCCCGGCTGGAAATGAGCAGGCATTGGCTGATGCAGTGGCAACTGTCGGACCAGTCTCTGTTGCTATCGATGCTGACAATCCAAGCTTCCTTTTTTACAGTTCAGGTCAGATTTTACTTCTAGACATTGTAGTTCCACTCTGAAAAGAATTAAATAAACATTAAATTGTTTTATATTATATTATATTATATTATATTATATTATATTATATTATATTATATTATATTATATTATATTATATTATATATTAAATTATATTAAATTATATTAAATTATGTTATATTATATTATATTATATTATATTATATTATATTATATTATATTATATTATATTATATTAAATTATATTATATTATATTATATTATATTATATTATAATATGACACACAAAAAATAAAAAATAAGACACATTTTAGCAAAAATAGTAATGAAACATTAAAATTCTTATTAAAATCAGAATTGTATAATATATAATCAATTTCAAACAAACTATAATTTTTTTTTACAATTCTGTAACACTTTAGAATTAGTTTTAAAGGACTATTATTTTAAAGTGTTACCAAAAATATCATCATTTTAAGCATTGTTTTATTTTAGATTTGTTTATTTAGCTTAAAAACATTTTTTATTCCACAGGAATCTACAAGGAATCCAACTGTAACCCTAACAATCTCAACCATGCTGTGCTGGTGGTTGGTTACGGCTCAGAGGAGGGCACAGATTACTGGATAATCAAGAACAGGTGAGAGAAAACGCCCTTCATTTACATTTGTGCCACAACATTAGCAATGCAACCCAAACTAGACCACTTTCCTTTTTATTATCATGCTCTTACAGTGGCCTTCATTACCCTAAAACAGCCACTTCACAGAATACTATGCTGTGAAAGTGTGCCAATTCTAGGTATCTGATGTTTTGTTTTGCTGTCTTTTCTCAGCTGGGGAACGGGATGGGGTGAAGGAGGCTACATGCGGATGATCCGCAATGGCAAAAACACATGTGGCATTGCCAGCTATGCTCTTTATCCCATTATTTGAAACAAACGATATGTTTTACAATAAGGTCTGTGTCACAAATCAGTGTATTTAGCGGGTTTGACTTGTACAGAGCCGCACTTTAGTCTTGTTTGCAGTCCGACTTTAAGACAAGGCACTTCAGGTGAATTGGGTAAAAAAATAAAACTCCTCCAGTAGATTAAGTTAAGAATTCCAAACTTTTTTTATTGTCATTTTAATAAATGCTATATTTAAGTATGCAAATGAGGTTTTATTTCAATAAATGTGCTAATTTGCATACATTTCTAACATGGAAATCTGACTCTTATTTCATTTTTGTCTTCTTATCAAAAACAAAAAGTGCTACAGAGTTCTTTGTTTCTGATTGAATTACGAACATGCAGTTATTTTCAGATAAACACACAGCTGAAGTAGTTCCAGGCAGGTTTTGACCGCATTACAGTTCAGTATCACTACACTGATCCAAAAACAGTCAAAAGGCTTTGAAGGAGATGCGTAAGAAACTACTTCTACACCCAAATCTCTTGAAATGCAACATCTGAATTGTCTGTTGAATTATTAGAAAAGTATGCACAGCTGAGCTATAACAGCCAAAATGCAAATTGGAGTCACCATCTTTGAGGGTGCATTATTGTCTGGTAATCATATACTAATGATTAATATTATTAATATTATATTAATATGTGGTCAGTTATTCCTTACATATATATTAAAGCTTATTATGTAGGAACACGTCGCTCTGTAAAAACCTTAAGGATAGAGATATAAGTAAAACTTATACTTATATCTTATATATAAGACATGCTCTATGAGTGAATTGGGTGAACTAAATAGGCCATAGTGTATGAGTGTGAGTGTGTGAATGAGTATATATGGGAGTTTCTGCAATACTGCGTTGCAGCTGGAAGGGCATTCGCTGCGTAAAACGTATGCTGGAATAGTTGGCGATTCATTCCGCTGTGGTGACCTCTGAGGTAGGGACTAAGCCAAAGGAAAATGAAAAAAATAATGAGTGGGACTGTGACACATTTAGAAAACCACATTTGGAGAAAACTGTTTTCAAAAATATGCACTATAATTAAAATCTAAGACACAAATTGATAAAATGTGACAAAAGTAACACTTAAAAGTGCATTTTGAGCTAGAAATTAATGGACTAACATGCAACAAAAAGAGAAAACCTTTACACTGTATCATACTCTATGCAATGTTATACTCTTTAATTTAAGAAAAGTTTTCAAAAAGTTAATTTTCTTCACTTTATATGGAAAAAAAACACTTAATCAAAAGCCCGCAATCTCAAAATCGACTGGTTTTTGCCTACAGTCTTGATTTAAAGTGTGCTTTGTCATTTTTTTCCCCACCTCCACTTTGCAGATGGTTTTCCTCCACATACGGTGTGTTTGCACACAATAGGCTGCTAATGGAGAGCAGGCTGAATGTGTTGATGTTGTCTCTGCCTGAGTGTGTCGATTAGCCTGTGCTTTTGTTGTGCACTGTTGTGGAAACTCTATTTAATCAGTGCTTTTTATACGCATTACATGTGCGCAATTGTGTTTTAGAAATATATGATAAAACCTGTAATAATAATGAACAAAAAACATTGCTGTTTTTAACCATTTCAGTAATAATAACTGCAAAAATCAATCATAAATATAAGATAAAGATAAGATTTGATAAATCAGCACACGTTTTGACAAATAAATACACACCTAAATAAATACTTGTTTAAAAAATTGATTAAACATTAAATTCAAAACTAATTTAAGTTGCCGTTTTAACTATTTAAATGAAAACACAAAATATGATAAAAAAACACAAAATATGATAAAATACTATAAATTAATCACAAAAAGTTTATACAATTTTAAAAAACAATTTAATATGTTTATTCAACCATTATTGTCACAGAATGTCGGCAGGTTGTTGGCAGAGACAGATATTTTTGTTTTACTATTTTAATGATTATGTATGATTTTATTCTACAGGTAAACACTTCTACTATTTAATTTATAGGTGTTTTTACGAATGGATGAAAAACATTTAACCATTTAAAAGAAAGCAAAGAAATATGACCAAATACAAATAACTGCTGAAAAAAAGCTCAAATAAATAAATAAAATAAAAATAACATAATTTATATTATAATAAATAATAAATAATAAAGAATTTTAATATTCTAATAACTAATAATATATATAAATAGCGAAGCAGTGGCGCAGTAGGTAGTGCTGTCACCTTACAGCAAGAAGGCTGCTGGTTCGAGCCTCGGCTGGGTCAGTTGGTGTTTCTGTGTGAAGTTTGCATGTTCTCCATGTGTTTGTGTGGGTTTCCTCCGGGTGCTCCGGTTTCCCCCACAGTCCAAAGACATCCGGTACAGGTGAATTGGGTAGGCTAAATTGTCCGTAGTGTATGAGTGTGAATGAGTGTGTGTGGATGTTTCCCAGAGATGGGTTGCGGCTGGAAGAGCATCCGCTGCGTAAAAACGGGCTGGATAATTGGCACTTCATTCCGCTGTGGCGACCCCAGATTAATAAAGGGACTAAACCGAAAAGAAAATGAATGAATGAATGAATGAATATATATAAATAACTAATAATTGTATAATAATTGATAAATTTTCAAATGTATCGTTAAAAATCTAATTGGTCGTTTATTTGCATGATCAATAATTGATACGTAAAATATTCTGTCTCAATTCAAAAGTTTTAATTTTTTGTTAAATGAATCTAAAGATGCTCAAAAATTCAATAATTGTATTTTTATGTCAGTGATTTCATTGAGTTTTGTCATTTTTATATACATTTTTGTTGTTTTTTATAGATTTTTTTATGTCATTTTATACAATAAAATGTATTTTAGATTTCAGTTGACATACAGTGCTCAGCATAACTGAGTACACCCCATTTTTAAAATGAATATTTTTCTCCATTTCTCAGTGAATATAGGCAATGTGTTTTGCTGCATTTAAACAAAATAGATTTATTGAACAGATATATTTATTTAAATTAAATTTTAGTCACCAAACATATTTAAAAAATGAAAGATAATACAATTAAATTGAAGCAAAATGTTACAAAAAAATTACAACCTACAAAATGTCAATTAAATTTTTAAGTTTTTTTTTTTGGCTTCTCTTGATTTTTTTCCTTTTTTCGTTTATTTTTCTATAACATATAAATTTGGCTTTACTAGTTTTTGTACCGTTATTGATAAGCTCCAGATTTGGCTTCAGTACTGACTAATCCAATGTATATTCACAAATATAATATTGTATAGCTTCCTATTAAAAATATTATTGTAAAAGAGAGATTTGTGAGGGGTGTACTCATATATGCTGAGCACTGTATAACTAGCTGTAATAAAATAAGTCTGCTTTTTTTAAAATAAATGTTATTTTGTTTCAGTTAAGGGCTATTCTGTTTTACATAACAAAAATGATTTATGTCTTAAGTTCCAGTTATCCATTACAACCCCGATCAAAATAAATCAGTTCTAAACAAATGTTCTTATACACGACACATTGTTAGAGCTGAGCCATAAAAAATTAAAAAAGTTAATTATTTCTGAAGTTACACAGATATTCTTTGACTCACCCATTGGTTGTGCCGGCATGAGGGTAAAAATCAAGCCCTGCCTTTCCTCTGTACACACTGCTATCACACACCTGTGAAGGAAACCAGGAAGAAAAGAGGACTGTTGAACTTTGCCAAGAGTCAAGAACACACAGGGCTTTCTTGTCTTCAAATCTAAGAGTGCGCGAAGCTGCAGTTAATGCATTTATGGCACTTGCGTCTCGAAATGGCTAAGTTGTTATTTTTTGGAGTTCGTATTGGTGTTTTGGTGATGCTTTTTTCTCTGGAACTCTGGGTATCTGCGGATGAGATGGGACGTCCCACGACGTTCTGGTGGGACAGCGTCAGGCAGGTCAAAAACAACAGCAGTCAAGAGGCACTGAGGCAATTTTTCAGAAAGTATTGCGATTCTTCACACATTAAGGTAAGATGGTGTGATTGACCTGCTGTAATAAACAAAGAAACAAATGAAAAAACAAGGTTCAAAAGTCTAAACTTTTAACAAAACTTTGAACCAGTGTTTAGGCTGGATTTTGAGTGATTTTTAAGTTTATTTTAACATATAATGAAGGTATACTATATCTATTTAAGACGCAGCCACTGACTCACTGCACGGAAAAAAAAGATTAATTGCGTTTACTACATATTTTTCAGGTAAGTGGTTGCAGATGATTTATATGGGCTGAATTAAAACAAACAAATTAAGTCAAACGTTACTAGATTCAATTTGTTTTAATTCACCCTATATAAACTTTTTGCAACCACTTAACTTAAAAATATTTAGTAAATGCAATTAATCATTTTTTTCAGTGAAATCTGTATCATTTGTATTATTCGTACTAAGCAATTTATCGAATTACCGATTTATCAGAAGAATTTTCGAAAAATATTTAACGTTGCAGGATGGAAGAATCGATCTGATCTCATAAGGAAACGTAACTATTTTACATTTTTTCAGTTTAGTGGCTAATTCGTAAACTCACCCATAAACTCAACCATCATTGGGGATAAGCAAATCGTAATAAACTGTACGAATGAGATCGTATACGATTTCGTACAAATTAGTCACTAAATCAAAGTTTCAAATTGCCATGAGACAGCATTGAAAAAAATTGTTAATATGCATTACCAACCATTAAATTTTCATCTCAAACTTGCAAGGTATAAACTTACGATTATGTAAAAACATTATTGTAATATTCATTGATTTGTTTATTTTATTGCAATTTTGCAAGTTCTGATTTTCTAATTCAAAATTTTCAAATATATAAACTAGCGTTTCTGAGAAGAACAATCAGAATTCGAGACATCAACTTGTCATTCTTAAGCCTCATTCACACTAGCGGCGACTGTAGCTGCCTGTCGCTCTGGGTGGCAATTTGCTGCAAACGCAGGTCTGTGAAGGTCTACAGCACAGAGAATACCACCGGCCTCTGAGCGAGCAGAGAGAGGATCACATGGGCTCTTCTGGTTCTGCTATTTGCTGTCGTTCAAAAAACTCGCTCATCATTTGCATAAAGTTGAAAAATTCTCAACTTTATGCTCGACACAGCCATCTGGTCGCCAATGGTTGATCTGGTCGCCATTAGAGGTTGCCAGTAGTCGCTTACTCTACATTAAAATAAATGCTCGCTAGTTGCTTAGCTGCTGCTAGTCGCTCGTAGTGTGAATGAGGATTTATTGTGATAATGATGCAACTAAAACGGAAACATATTTTTTCCATCATATTTTTACTAGTCTGGTGCCAATGGTGAGACATTAACTCGCCTATCTTATTGTGCGTTTACATAAGTGATGTAAAACCAGAAACGTTTTTTGCTCTTATTTAAAAAAAAACCTTTGTGTAGATATTGTGATTAGCTCGCCATTTTAATTGTGTTTACGCGATAAAGATGTAGTAAAAAATATTTTTTTTATTTTGCGTACACCATAAAAATTGTAATGACAAAGTCAAGACGACTAAAATTTTTTATGTTGCTTTAACTTATTTTAATAAGTTAATCAGTTTTCAACAATATTTTCTAAGTTATACAAAGTTTGACTTTTATTTTAATTTTTATTTTAAGTTGAGTTGACTAGAAAAATTCATTTGATTGAACTAAAAATGTATTAGTCTGAAAAGTTGTTGAGCTTAACGTTTTTTGTGCGTTTACATCATAATGATTTAGTAAAAAGCGAAACGTTTTCAATCGATTTTAAAAAACATTTTGTAAAGATGTTGAGCCATTAACTCACCATTCTTACTGTGTGTTTACACTATAGCAATGTAGTAAACTGCAAATATTTTTCCATTGTATTTTTGCAAAGACATGCTTGAAATGATCCCTGTTAACACATACATGAAAATGACCACAAAAAAAAACATTTGCATGCCACGCCAGTAGGGGTTGATGTCACTTTGTACAGAAACACCACACGACAGCACAAATACGATCCTGTTTTCCCCCATTGTTGTTTTGTTTGTCAACTACTTAGAATAAAGACAAAATATATGTACATGACATGACAGTTTTCATTTACTCTAATGGAGTCAATAAAGGAGACATAAACTAGTCCGTTCGTCCAAAAAAAGTATAGAGTAAAATCCCACTTAAAATGAAAGTCAGAAATGAGTGAGGTTTAAGTCTCAATTCATATTTATCATTCAGTGATAGAAACAAGCTTCCTTAATTCATTGATTCAGATTGTGCATTAATCCACATGCAGTAGTGATAATGAAACAAACACACCAAGGAAACGTTCCTGCAATGTGTTTAATTTCCAGCTTGTATCGCGTTTCAAAAACGGATCATTTACGCATGCAACCACAGTATATGCAAGAATCAAGAGACCCCCGGCCGAACAGGTTCAAGCTTGTTTTTCTTTAGGTATGTCAGATAACAGATTTAGCTTGAATGCCCTGGCATGCGGCCAACATAAACAAACGTGAAAACGACATGCACCGTAGGAAGCCAAGACCCTTTACCCTGATTTGGAGTCAAGTTGTTGCAGTTGCTTATCTGTCTTTTATATGTCAAGTTTGTAGAGTAAAACGCACCTTCAGGGTTAGAGTTCAGATTTGCAGCTCTAAACACTAAGTCTTTATGGATTCACTAAGGTCTTAGAAAGCTTTAAGTCTCTTGATTATTTCTTTTTTATTCTATTTGTTCCATTACAGGACTGCGATCGTGGTTATTACAGGGAGAGAAGTGGACCGTATAAGGGACGGTGTGTCCCGTGCAACTGCAATGGCCTGTCCGGTGACTGCGACCCACATACTGGGAAATGTTTGGTATTATGTGTTGTTTATTATCAGTTTGAGAAAGTTAGCCCTCATCTCCACTTGATCTCTGTCATGTTGTGCCCTTCATTTTGAACGTTACTATATGCCACTTGTCCATGAAAAGATGTCTCACTGATTATGATGAAGAATGCATTTCGGATAAAAGAGGCACGCTTTGGCTTGGAGTGTTATTTTCTTCCAGCCATCTAAAATTCAAGATACTAGTATTCAGCTTAAAATGACATTAAAAGGCTTAACTAGGTTAATTAGGCAAGTTAGGACAATTAGGCAAGTAATTGTATTAAGATGGTTTGTTTTGTAGACAATCAAAAAAAATATTGCTTAAAGGGGCTAATAATTTTGACCTTAAAATCGTTTTTAAAAAATTTAAAACTGCTTTCATTCTTGCCGAAATAAAACAAATCAGACTTTCTACAGAAGAAAAAATATTGTCGGAAATACTGTGAAAAAAATCTTTGCTACTGTATGTTAAACATCATTTGGGAAATATTTGAAAAAGAAACAAAAATTCAGAGGAGGGCTAATAATATTGACTTCAACTGTACACTTAAATATTTTACTGCTTGTCAACACAAATATGCAATCAGCTGATACATTTAGGCATGTAGAAGATGGAACCAAGCATCAAAAGGATCTACTGTGATTGTCGAACTCTATAGAGTTTAGAGATGATTGTGTGTAAAAAAATGCCTAGTTGATGGTGGAGATATGAGGAAAATGGACAGGCTAATAGAAAAGTTCAAGCTAATAGAAGGATAATAACTCAATTGAGCACTTAACCAAAGTCTGCAGTAAAGCATCTCTGAACACATCAAACCTTGAAGCAGAAGAGCTACAGCATCAGAAGACCCACAAGTGTTAGAAAACTGAGGCTACAATTCACAAAGACTAAACCAATTTAGGCTATGCAATTGGAAAAAGGTTGGTTGTTCTGCTAAGGCTCGATTTTTGCTGCAAAATTCAGATAGGTCCAGAATTTGGCATAAATGACATGAAAGCATGGATCCACACTGCCAATGATTAAAGGAATACTGCACCTTTTGGAAATAGGCTCATTTTAAACAGTAAAACAGCTTTTTTCACAATTTTTTTTTCATTCATTTAGATTTTTGGGTGATAAATTAGAGCGTACTAGCTGTATCGACCAAGAAAATAGCAACTTTTCATTTTCCATTGGTCTTAGTACACAATGCAACTACAGAAGAGTCAAGCTGTAAATAGCAAAAAAAAAAAAAAAAAAAAAAAATATATATATATATATATTTGTTTTCAGGTAGATGCTAATGGTCTAGATTGACTCAGTGATTTATGCTGAGCTAAATTTCTGATTTCATTTCTTTATTTCTGATAGTAGAGCGAAAAAATAAACATGGCATCTCAAAATGCTGTTTGGGTGTCAATCTGTGTGTAAATGTTTAGTTTTGACCAACGTTTTCCACTTTTGATACCATTTCTGACAAGAAGCTCTCTGTATTATTTTGTTATACTAACAAAATCGTTATGTTAAATTGTTATTCTTTCTCAGAGGTATGTCTGAAACCAACTTTAAATCCATTTTGAAACCCACAAACACTGCCTCCAGAGGCAACAAGTCAGCTTTTGGACGCAGACTTGCATCTTTTTATCATTGTATTTCCAACAGGATAAATTCTGATGTCACATCATCTCAAACTGGTTTCTTGAACATGGCCTCCACAATAATATAACACTGGAATGTTTTTCACAGAACTGCCAGTTCAATACAGCGGGTGACCACTGTGAACGTTGTATGGAGGGTTATTATGGCAGCGCCATTTTGAGAACCTGTCGTATGTGTCCGTGCCCCTTAACAGACCCAGCGAAAAGGTGTGATGCCAGCTTTTTTCTAAAGCAGAACTATATAGTTTAGTTTCAGGATGACTTTGTTGTTTATTTACTGAATATTTGTTTATTCATTTGTGCAGTTTTGCTGTTGGATGTCTCGGAGTTGGAGATGAGTTTGAATGTTTGTGTAAACCTGGCTACTCTGGAGTTCGATGTGAACGGTCTGTCTGCCTTTTGAAACATGGTCACATTTGGTTTCGATTGAATTAATGATTTAGGCAATTTAATTTAATTGAGTGTTTTCTCATTTACTCCACATTATAGGTGCGCGCTTGGATACTATGGCAGTCCTTTGGCAGAAAGAGGAAGTTGTCAACCATGTGACTGTGAACACGGTTACGTGTGTGACCCGTTAACAGGCGGTAAGCAAATTCTCATGATTTACATAATAATAGTAGTAATGATATTAATGAATCCATTTGTTTGTCTTTATAGATTGTTATGAGGCTGATGACCCAGACACCGACAACTGCTTTGGTTTGTCATAACAGAAAAAAAACATGAATGTATGTATGGATGAACATTACTATGATTGACTAACTCCAGTCTCTCTCCCATTAGACTGTGATATCTGTGTGGTTAAGTTAATGGATGATCTTGCAGCGATGGATGAGGAGTTTGCCAGACTGATTGATCAACTTGGGTCTTTTAGTCCGAATGCTACTTCATATACGGGACTTGAAAAACTTGAAGATGCCATTGCTGATACAAAGGTCCCTACAACAATTTTCCTAAACAATTATTTGGAATGGCTCTAATACACTGTTTATGTTTGTGCACAACTAAAAAAGAAATTCCACTTTCTTAGGTGTTGGTGCAGAAGTATACTGAATCTGTCTTCAAATTGAAACCAAAGATTTCAGAGCTTGAATCTCATCTCCAAAATGTCAAAGATGACCTAACTGCTCTCAATGACAAGGTACGATTACTATTCAGAAGGGTTTATCTTTATGTTGGCTGTAAAATAGATTTCAACTTGTGTTTCCTTTCTTCAGGCTATTGAGATGTCCTGTTCTGCAGTTCAGTTGCTCAAGTCTATTGACCAAACCTATCAAAGAGGAGACAACCTGCGATCTGAGAGCGTAAACCTCTTACAAAAAATACAAGGTGAACTAATTTGATCAAGCTGAGATTTCTTCATCAAATATCATCTTCCCACAAGGTCATTATTTCACTTTCACTTCTTGACCCACACAGAGTTCTTGGATAAGCTGAATCGGTCAAACAACACAGGTGGAAACACAGAGGATGCAACCAGGATGTTAAAAGAAGCCCAGAGGATGCTGGAGAAGATGCGAAGACAGACCTGTAGGGTTCAGAGAGAGCTGGTCAATGAGGAGTTGAGAAAAGCACACATATGTGGGTGAACTGCTTCCAAATTGCACTTGACCTATGTAAGGTGTATTTATGTAGTGCATTTATTGTGGATGACCATACACCCAGCATTTTACAATCATGAGGGGGGTCTCTCCATACCCCCACCAGTGTGGTGCTATGGAAAATATAGAAAAAATATAGAAAAAATGATAGAGCCAATTCGGTGGATGGGGATGATTGGGAGGCCATGATCTGTAAGGGCTGATAGTGGGAATTTGGCTGAACACTGGGGTTACACCCCTACGTTTTACGAGAAGTGCCATCTCATGCAACATCTCATCCGAAAGATGGCGCTCACTGAGAGTGTAGTGTCCCCTTCACTATACTGGGGCATTTGGACTCACTCAGACCACAGGTTGAGTGGCCCCTGCTGGCCTCAGTAACAACATTTCCAACTGCAACCTAGTTTTTCCATGTGGTCTCCCATCCAGGTACTGACCAGGCTCAGCCCAGCAGGGTTACATGACTGTGACCTACTTCTTGTGGGCCAAGAGCTTGCAGGAAACAGTCAAACATTCCCCAATTTGCCTATTTTAAGTGATCTGTAAGACATTGATTAGCTGGTTCAGTTGTTTAAATGAATTTGGAGCTAAATTATTCAGGATAGTTGCCCTCCAGAAGATAAACCTGCTTTAGTATTTTGTTTTAGGTTCCTTAAAGCCGATTTATACTTTTGCATTGAGTGCACATGGTAAGTCTTTTGTACAGTCACATATCTTCACCATACCCTAACGTGCACCATTTAAAAAAATGCAATTACACATTGATTTGACTTGGTGCACAAGATCTTTAATTGGTCAGCCAAGAAGTGTTGCCAATTGTGGGCGGGGCGAGAGCCGTGGGGATGGACTATGATGGTAAGAGCATTTAACAAATGTTGAGTCCCATGGACAAGCTCCAGATAGATATGTTTTGGAATCACTTAATAATTAATTGATTGATTATTGGTTTGTGCAGCTTTATTCCTTGAATGAGTGTGAGTTTAAGCTACTTCTACAGTATTGGTCACTCGATGCAGAAGTGTAAATCAGGCTTTATTTATCACTAAGCTCCTTTATGGTTTTGAAACTTGTTTCTCTTACAGTGCTCAGCCTCATTTTGAAAGACCTGATTTTTCCTTTGAATGGTTCTTTGATTGCGGCTGATCGTATTCGTCAGGATCTCATGGATCGGGCAGAAGATCTTCGAGATATACAAGAGGCAATAATAGATGCCCAACTTGATGTGCTCAAGGCCAATGGAGTGAACAAACTCAATGAGGAACAGCTGAAAAACATTTTGGTAATTGATGATTTTTCTCGTGGGGCATCATGGGATAGCGTAGCGTAAATACGATGCGCACTTCAGAATCTTGCCCGAAGCAGAAGGTCATCTGGGTACTTCTTTGATACTGATTTCGTATTCTATGAATTCAGACATACTACTCGGCTCGCATACTGATTTTAGCGTATTATATAGTATGGAAGTATGCGGTTTTGGATGCAGACGTTGTGTTTTGAACTTTAGCTACCATTGTTAACTTCTTAAACGATTGTTTGTTCAACAGAAGCATTTTAAGGCGTTAAGGAAGAATCAAGGAAACATCATAGCCAATTTGAACATGGCCAGAGGGACACTAAAAGACGCATCTGATATTCAGGAAATGATGGATGAACTAAAAGAGGTGATTAATAATGGTATTTTTGTGTAAAACAATCACTTTTTTGGATAAATACCTACAATTCTCTTGCAGAATATGACTCATCTTGCAGCTTTGATCGACGGGGCAAAATACAATCTTGAGGCAAAACTCGAGTTGCTCTCTAATGCAACAGCTAAGCAGGAAGTCGTGAGACAGGCTGAGGAACATGCACAAGAACTTACAAAGCTGGCTATAGACTTACAAATGTGTGTCAGAAGTCCTCCAATGATTATTAAATCAAAATGTATTTTTTTGATAACGTTTTAATGAGTACATTTGTCTTTTAGGGTCATAATGAATATTAAGAACTCAACTGCTGTTCATAAAGCAATTGAAGCCATCAATGCATTCACAGCCATCACCGCTGCCATAAATGAGGCAGAAGCTGCTGCCAAACTTGCCAAAGAAGCGGCGGACCATGCTTTAAAGGTATGAAAGTCATTACTTTAACTCTCAGTGAAGATTAGATAATGGCCAAAAATAATCTAAATGGAGCTTGAAAACATCTAAAATTGGCTGATAAATGATATGATATTGATAACTAAACAAAAATCTTTGCCTTTTTTCCTGAATCAAACTTTTGTCAATTTATTTCATGTTCCCAGGATGTGCAAAAGCAGGATCTTCAAAATAAAGCCAAGGATCTTATAAATAATGCAAATGCTCTGTTGGTGAATGCCAAGGAAGCATCAATACAGCTAGAAGGTTGCCATTTTTACTTTGTAATGCAACTACAGCAAATTGCATCTAGAGCAAACACAGCCCTAACCCATGAGTATTTCACTGATGTGTTCTACTATGTAGTAATAAAAACTGCCGCCTACAGATGTCGCACAGAAATGCGAAGCATACAAGAACCTGATCCAACAGGCTGAAGACAAACAGAAGCAACTCAAGCAAGTCATGCTGGATGTGTTGGAGAAGATGAACAACATCAAAAGAGGTGAATAGCTTCATTATTCTAGATTATTTTCATATAGCAAGTATTGTAATGGTCTTGTCAAATGAGCACTTTGGTGGTGGAATTTCTTTTAGGCGATATTGACATCCTCATCAACCAAGCCAAAGAAGGTGCTGCAGGTGTGAATGCCACAGCGGCTGATGCGCTAACCAGAATGCAGAACATCAGTGAAGATCTGAACAAAGTCAACATTTCCACTCAAGATCAAAACCTTTATAACTTACTTGATGGTGTCAACAAGACCTGTGAGTCTACTTGGTTCTTCTTTCCAGATTATTGAATCAATATAATATAATATTAGAGTTAAAACAAACATTTGGCTAGTCATTTACATACAGTGAAAATAAAAGTGGGCCCAAGGCTGAACCTTCTGGGACACCTGCAAAAAAAGAAATCACACTTGATTGACGATTCTTCACTCTAAGGGCGCACTCACATTATGGTCAGGCTTATGCTCAGGCTTAAGTATGATTCTACCTATTTGATGCTATTTACAGAAAAGTTAATGCATTAAATTTAAAGATAAAAGATGGCAGTATCACATAAAAATGCTTGATGTTGATCCACACACATAATGAAGATGCTTGCAAAAAATGTATCAAATCTCTAGGATAAACTTTTATTCAATAAGAAAACTGTGCATAAACTATTATAAAAATACATTTAACAAATAAATTCTAGCATGCAAATTAAAAAAGTCATCATCATCATGTGATAACAAATATTAGTATGATGGGATGGCATTAATGGACAAACCAGCAGACTGACCACATTCTAAAATATATGAAAAGTCATTTTGCTCATTCTAAAATCCCTCAGCCAAAGGCCATCATCAAAGTGGTTCAGTATTATTTCTTCCCAAAACTGTCTTGCACTCACAAAGTAAGTAATGTGGTTTTTCAATAAAAGCATCTTGTGCCTCCAAAAGCCATTGTTTTTATTGCATTCTGCCTTTGTCTTTGTGACATTGTGACTTCTACTATAGGAAATCCATTTTAATTTTTGAAATGTGGCATCAGTTTATCAGGATTTGATGATTTTGTTCTCTTTGATTCATTGAATGGAAATGGTGCTTGATTTGCAAATGTTATATGCAATATTCCAGTTTTTCAAAGTTTTAATCTGCATGTTAGGATGGAAACAAAGCTATTGTTCTTAAAGTCTGAATGTTATATATGGTTTCTTTTCTTTCATGCAGTGACAGAACTTGATCAAACTTTCCCTTCGTTGATTGACAAACTGAATGATGTGGAGAACCAAACAGAGCACTTGCCTGGTCCAACCAACCTATCAAGCAGCATAGAGAGAATCAAAGTCTTAATCGAACAGACCAGAGACGCAGCCAACAGAGTAAGGGCTCAATAAAGCAAAAGAGATGTTTCCTCAACTGCCTTTAGATGTTAAACCTCTTGCTTGTCTTCTAGATCAGAGGGCCAATCCTGTTCTCTGGTAATGCTCACATTGAACTTCGACCTCCTAAAGACCTGGAGGACTTTCGCACCTTCACAGCTCTTAATTTTACACTGCACCAACCAAACACCAGAGGTGATGGAAGGCGTAGACGGCAGCTGGATTATACAGATGGCCAGTTTGTTCTTTACCTTGGAAATAAGCATGTGAGGTCACTTTCGTTACTTAGTTTGTTAACGATTCTCAATATATCAGTACCCATATTGAAGATTTTAACATTTATTGATATTGGATATATAATTGTTTATGTTCATCGCCACTGTTTGTACATTTAGGCTATGTTTACTTGTGTTTTTAGAAGGTTTCACTTATGATAATGTTTTCAAAATGGTTATTGTTTACACGTATTAACGGAAACTGCCAAAAGTGTCAGTTTGTTAGAAAACAGTAGCTGTAGGGAAGTGATAATTATCTCTTTTTGAGTGGGAGTTTGTGGGCTTGTTCTCTCAGGTTTAATCTAAAAATGCCTTTAAAAAGATGTGTCGCTAGCACTGATGTTTATTTAGGATTTGGCGTGAGTGTATGATGTGTCTCTGCTGTTGGTTCTAATATTGGTAGAGTAAATCTACACTTTTTGGGAACATAGGCTTATTCTGAAAGCCTAGCCCAACATACATTTCTGGAGATTGCGAATTATGTAGCCTGAAGTACATAAGGCTGGATTTTGCCTTTAAAACAAGTGCTACGGGGTGGTATGATGCAGTTCCTTTTCCCGCTTACCAGTTGACTGCTTACTTCCATGTGGATAGCTTTCCCGCTGTTACCAGTTTGTCCAGTTAGCTTGCCATGTACGTCGTAATTTGAGATACAAAGAGGAGTTGACCATGATGACAGGATTCGAGTCTGGTGAAGAACAATTCCATAAAGCTGGTAAGACAAAAACAGAAGCCAAAAAAAAAGAAAATAAATAAGTAATTAACAGTTTGAGAAAGTTGTAAACTTTGCAAATGTAGTAAAAAGGTGAGAGCTTTTCTTTTTCAGGACTGCTTTCGAAAACTGTCGGTTGAGTTTGGGGAAGTGGGTGGGCGGGTCTATCTGTGCTTTTGAAAACACTATTGGTTGGGTTTAGGGAAGGAGCAGGATGGGTCAGTCATACAGTCAGTTGACAGCGGCCTCGGGTGGATTTAAGTGAGAACAGCAGGAGCAAATGGCACTCAAGAGAGAAATTTGAGATTTGAAAAAGCGTACACAACGGACTCTGGTTAATTGGCAAAAACGAAAACTGCAAAGAATTGTAGCTTAAGGGACGTATTTGGTGCTCTCCAGAAATGTATATAGAGGTACATTTTCAGAATGAGCCTGGGTTGCTATATAGAGAGGCGATGGTAAACTCTTGAGCAGCAACAAAACAACCATGTACTCTGCAATTAATGTATATGTTTGTTTGCATTTGCTTTTACATTTGAACTATACTGTGCATATCTACATATCTAACACATACTATGCACACATATGACTTCATTGTTTTCAAAGATATCCTTTGTGGGTGTTTTCGGTCCCTAAAACACTGTTGCATAAACACTCCCCAAAACTCTGTTATTGAACTAAATGCATAAAGTTTCCAATTTTTGGCTGAAAACATTGCCATATAAATGGCTTCTTAATACTTTTCAGTATACATTCAGTATGAATTACTGTTAATATCAGCCAATCATCAGTTGGGTCAGTTTCAGCTATCAGTATTGCTAGCAGCTAGAATTGTAATATGTGTGCATATATTACACATATTCAAGCTGTATATTGTAGGACAGGGGTGTCCAAACTCGGTCCAGGAGGGCCAGTGTCTTGGAGAGTTTAGCTTCAACTCTAATCAAACACACCCGAACCAGCTAATCACGCTCTTTCTAGATATACTAAAAACGTCCTAGCATGTGTGTGGAAGCAAGTTGAAGCAAAACTCTGCAGGGCACCAGCCCTCCAGGACCGATTTTGGACACCCCTGTTGTAGGGCATCATTTTATTTGTAGTTCTTTTGACCAACAGGAAGTCAAGGATTTCATTGGCCTGGTTGTAAGGAATGGTGTTCTTTTTTGCCTCTACAAACTGGGTGGCCAACTTCATGAAATAGAGACGAGTGAAATCACCAAGTCCAGCAATGATAAAGCCTTTATGGATAGGGTGGATTTCCGCAGGTAAACAACGTCTTAGTCATTGTAGATCCCCTGTTCTGTCGATTTGTCCTACCTTGTCAGATTGTCCTACCACCTTCCATTCAAAAAGTATTCAGTAAATTTTGATGCTACAAATCAGATTTGGCTACCAGTGTAAATTTTAATGTGGAGTAGTGTGATATGAAGCTGTAATAACACCCTAACCTACCCAATCCCTAACCCCAATCTCAAAACCATTTAAATACAGTGTTGGTAGCATATTCTGAGGGGTGGGATAAAATGTCAGGACACCCCCAAAGAGTTCATTTGGTTTTCTGAAAAATATTTTTTTTTCTCCTAAATTAGAGTTTATCAAGATGCACAAGTCATATACACACATACTTTCACTTCAACTGAACCCAACGAGCTGCCAGCAAGGATAAATCAGCCTAAAACCATGAATGGATTGCTCGATCTGGACCCCAATGATGTCGTTCTTTATGTTGGAGGATACCCAAGGGATTTTACGGTAAACAAAATAAAAGCTAACAGCTTTCTTGAAAGATTATAATATGATTAGTTTGTTCCCAGTTCTTTAAATTGATAAATAACAAGCATCTAATATGTCAATGATGCATTAATGCAGCATTTTTGTTAACATTTCCCTCATTTAAACTCTATATTTTTGACTTCCAGCCTCCAGTGGAGCTTCAGTACCAGGGATTCAAGGGCTGTATTGAGTTTTCTTCAATAAATGATCAAATCCTCGGCTTATACAACTTTCAACGTGCTGTCAACATAACCAAAAATGACCTGTGTCAAAGGTACAAAGTTGTCATAATGTTTTGATCTTTGGGTTTTGGGTTCCTATTTCCTATTTTCTGCTCCTAGAGGGAAAGTCCGCACATTGGGGGATTATTTCGATGGCACGGGTTTTGGAAAAGTGGATATATTAAGCCAGAATTCTTTCATTAAGTTTTTTGTTCTGAGTCATCAAATGGATGCTGTGCTTTTTTACATGGGAAATGAGGTGACTATACACGCTTTGGTTTGATTTGTGACAGCAAATGAGTACTTGTTGATTAATGACATATATTTTTTTATTTAAAGAACTCGTACTTCTTCATTACACTGGAAGGAGGCTATATTGTTTTGCGAGGTGTAAACAATGACGCGATCATTTTTGAAAGGTCCAACGTTAAAGTATTTCCTCAAGTAAGTATCAATTGTTGTTATATATTTTTTCATATTATTGCAGTTATAATACAGTATATATTTCATTCCTTCCTTTAGACAAACTTCATCCAGATCAGACTGACTATGAATGATGTGAGACCAGTAACAATAACGGTCACAGACTACGTCAACATTTTTTTAGGATACGTCAAAGGACTCTTCAGGGAGGCCTACATTGGGGGTGTTCCAGCTGCAATCCAGGAAAAGTATATATATATATTTATATATATATATATATTTGTTTACTGTGCATTTTTTCAGTATTTGTTTTATTAGAACAGTGCAAGATGAATGAAAGTAAAGCCTGTTTTAGGAGAAATGGGCACCTAATGACTTTGAAATGTTGCATTTTTTCCGGCCAGATATAATGTTTTTCTTCCGTCACTCAGAGGATGTTTTAAAAACATTCAGGTAGACGTAACAACTACTTTTACAGAGGAAAACGGAATCGTCCGAGGTTGTCCAAATCCTTTACTGGTAGGAATTCTGTGGATTTTCTGACAACATGCATGGATGACAAGAAAATACATTTAAACGTTTTCTACTTGGTGGTTTTCAGGGCTCCCGAGAGGCTACTTTTGAGTTTGGCAGTTCTTTGTCGATGTCCCCCATTGTTAAGGATACAGACTTGGGGACAATGGTTTCACTTGGATTTAAGACCTCTGAGGAGAATGTTGCAGTTTTAATACAGACTGGTGGAATGGTTAGTTCTACTATTTTTCTCTTTGTTGGAAAGAACATAAAACAATTAAGATGTCCCACAGGATTTCTGCCGGTTTCATCAAGTCAAATTTAAGACTTGACCCTTTTAAGACCATTAAGAATAAAATTGTAGACTTATACAGGGTTGAACACTAAGGATTTGTTTTCTAATGACCCGGTTTTAACATGAGGTATCATTTAATTGCTTTTAGTTTTCTTTCTCTGATACAGGAATTTAATGGGAAATTTTCTGTAAAATTGTCTATAAGATGTTGTGAATTGTATCTCTTTGCAATAAAAAATGTAAATATAAATAATAAGGTTTTTTGAGATGTACTGTTGGTGATTGGATAGATGTCAACCCGATTGAGTAGCTTTACTTGGACAAAGCAAAACTAAGATCTGTTTAAAATAATATAACCTACAACACAATATTTCAGTGAATTTAAGACTTTTAAAGGCCTGAAATATAGTTTTTGAAATTTAAGACATTTTGAAACCCAGCAGACACCCTGGTCTAAAAAAACACTTGTTTCCACTGATTTTAAATAAGTTGTTTGAACAGACGGCAAATGAGTCTATATTAGTTGGCTATCTTATGTTTGATGATGCCCTTTTTCTACTTTGGCCTCCAGAAGAATGAATTTCTGCTGTCTTTGAAAGACGGCTTTGTGGAAATGAGTGACAGCAAGGAAAAGTTAACATCCTCCACCAAATGTGAAACTGGAAAATGGCATTACATAACAGCTTTCAGAAGCAGTGCGGGGTAAGAAGACTACATCTTAGAAAACCTACTTGCAGAGGTGCTTTTCAGTACTTCATGTTGATCATTTGCCATCAGGATGCAGCTAAACGTTGACAACACAGATGTTGGAGATCCACCATCTCCATCCACATTCCCTGAATTCGCAGAAAGTGTTATTTTAGGTGACGGATTATTTGGAGGCTGTTTGAGGAACCTGTATATGCGGAGGTTTGATTTTTATCTTATTGGATTATTATGATGCATACTAGAACTAAGCGACTAACAACAGCCTTGTGGTTCAGCATACAGAGTGACTACACTCCAGCCGACTTGAGCAGTTTCAATCAGACTGGAAGCGTGTCTTTGGGATTCTGCAAAGCAGAGCTCCCCCTTCAGGACATCACCATGAAGCGTGCAAGACACGCGGGAATTACATCCAACAGCTATTCGGTATTTGGAATTATTGAGAGATAGTTCATGCAAAAATGAAAACTCTGTCATCATTTATTCACCCTTTACTTGTTTCAAACCTTTCAACCTTCTGGAAACCTGTAACTATTGACTTCCATAGTAGAAAAAACAAACACTATTGAAGTCAATGGTTAAAGGTTTTCACCATTTTTCAAAATATCTTCTTTTGTGTTCAACTGAACAAAAAAAAAAACAAAAAAGGTTTTAAACATGTAAAGAGTAAATAAATGATGACAGAATTTTCTCTTTTTTAATGTGAACTTTCCCTTTAAGCTCTGTGTTAAAGAGAGATTAGGTCAAGTGACAGTCCACTGTATTGAGAGAATCGAGTAAAACTGCAACCATGACACATAATTACTCGTTTGATAAAAAATATATCTGCCCATTATAACAACAGTCTCACACTGGGTGAATTTTGTTGAAAGTATTTAGCACATTTATGAACATTTTCAGTCTCAACATATGTAGTAGTAAACTGAATCTAGTTTCCAAATTTCCAAATTAATGATTAAATATGGCAACCTAGCCCCAAATTTACAATGTGGTAGCTATTTCTCAGTTGTTTTTTTCTGTGGTTTTCATAGCTATATAATTTTATTTTTTCATAAAGCAAGATCACCATGTTGAAATATAGTCTAGTCACGTGTCTAGATGTAACAACTTTATTTTACTATTAAACATTCCCACATGACAAAATACTACAATATTTAATAGGAAATACTATAGTGCAGTGGTTCTCAAATTGTGGTACATGTACCACTAGTGATACGCGGGCTTCCTTCTAGTGGTACACAGAGGAATCCATAATGTCATGTACATGCAACATATGTTATAAAATTTATCAAAAGTGATTCATATATGAATATTAAGACATTTAGCCTAAATTTATGGGATCAAATCAACATTTCCAGGTTTTGATGAATAGGATACTATAGGTTAACACTTTACACTAAAGTACAGGAGTTTTTTTTTTTTTTTTTTTTTACTTAACAGTAGCCAACCATTTTTATTAACTTTGAAAAGCACACTGTAATTTAAACGTTGATAGTTTTTTAATATAAGCACTGTGCAGAGCTGTAGCTGCTTTACTGAGCCTACTATACTTTATTTCAATACTAGTCATTATGGTGGTACTTGGAAGGACAATTTTTTTTGAAGTGGTACGTGGTGAAAAAAGTTTGAGAACCGCTGCAATTGTGTTTTTGAACCATATTTAAATTAATATTTTGTGGTAATCCTATAGTTGCTATTGTAATACAACAACTATAGTGATATAAATAATTTACCCAGTGTACTAAGTTTTGTACTTACATTATGAATATGTTGTCCATTAAAATTATTCATTCAAGGACAAAAACGTATACTGCTACCGCCAACTATTCCAGCATATGTTTTACGCAGTGGAGGCCCTTTAAGCCACAACCCAGTAGTGGGAAACACCCATACACTCTTGCATTCACTCACGCACACATACACTACGACCAATTTAGTTTATTCATTTCACCTATAGCACATATCTTTGAACTGTGGGGGAAACCAGAGCAACCAGAGAAATTCCACGCAAACATGGGGAGAACATTCAAACTCCACACAGAAATGCCAATTGGCCCAGTCGGGAGTTCAACTAATGACCTTTTTGCTGTTAGGTGACAATGTTAACCACTAAGCCACTTTGCCACCATTAGGAACTCTAAGTTCCTGTAAATACCCAGTACAAAACTTTCCATTGTTGCATGATGCTGCCTCCACAACACTAGATGTCAGCACTGAGTGAAATCATTAAATAAATACACATTATTATTATTATTAAGTGGAAATGATTACGATGTGAAGGTTAATCCCATTTGTTAAAGTCTATATTTGCTGTTTTTAAAAGGAAAGCTCTACACAAGACTGCAGAAACCCAAAATCCATCAAGCACACCTACCACATTGGTTCCAGAAGCAAAATGCAGTTTGAATTAGATCCAGAGGAGCTCAATAACAGGTAAATTATGTTCATGACGTTTATTCTTAATTTTGCAGCACCTTTATGAGACCTTCTGCATCCTATAGGCCCCATTTCTCTCTAGACGTCCAGACCACATCATCTGAAGGACTTTTACTCCATCTCTCAGGGAAACATGGTGTTCCTCTTGTGGTCTTGTATTTATATGAAGGAAAAGTCAAACTTTCTGTTGGGGAAGATGAAATAGTTTCCTCTCGGAGGATCAATGATGGTCAATGGCACAGTGTATGTAGCAAACTCATATATATCTTAACCCAAACATATATATCTGCATAATCCCAAGTTTTGGTTCATGTTTTTGAAATATTGTGTTAACAGATCCAGTTCACGGTGAAGAAAAGATCGTCTCATCTTGCTGTGGATGACCTTCGAACACTCAATGGACAGCCGTTGAAAGGATTCACGCAGGATTTGCAGTCTCCTGTCTATGTGGGACAACTTCAGACTCGTCACCAAACATATGTATGAATGCTTAACGCCCTTTTTTCAGGACACAGGTAAACCTCAAGTTTTGTAAACCTCTAAAAAGGCTTTTTTCCTCAGAAAAATGTCCCTCAGAAGAGTATAATCGGATGCATTCGTGAGCTCAGAGTTTCCAAGCTTCTCCTCATGAATCCAGCTGTCAATCAGGGAGCCACGCCCTGTTTTAAAGGCCGGACTGAGAAAGGGGCGTATTTTGCTGGAAATGGTGCACATTTAGTCTTAGGTATGGCTCTTCATTTTGGTACATTAGAGAATAGAGACAGAAAAATATGCTGAAGGAATTAAGAAATCTTTTTTTTTAACAGAAAAGTACTTTATCTCTGGTTCTACGTATGATTTAACTTTTGAACTTCGGCCAAGAAACCTCACCGGCCTCATCTTCCACAAAAGAGACAACCTTGGACAGACTGTCACACTATTTCTCAAGAAAGGAAAGGTGAGTGAAAATATGGTTGAAGACATCAGTATTTCGCAAATTAGCTAATTGATTTGTATAAAAAAATTAAGGATAAAGCTAAAAACAAATATTCAGGTTGCTAATGCTTAGCTAATACATAAACTTAGTGTACTATGATGGTAAAAAATATCAGAATTAATCAGCATAATGACCAATTATAGCTTTAAGCATCTCAACATTTTTTAATCACTTAATTTACCTTCACAGCATTGATGTACATAAAAACTCATCCCCGTTCACAGTGTTCTGCAAAAGAACAACAACAACAATAATAACAACAACAATAACTTGATACTTTTGCGCCATTCGATTTAGACTTTATGCTAAGTACGTTCAAATAGAGTGTTATATGTGTGTTAATAACTGCTATATCCGTTAGTCAACACTGACATTGCAAATGAAATAATAGACTTCAGTAATTATAATTATGCTGTTTTGTTAGGTGGTGGTAAAAGTGAACGATGGAAAACAACGCTATAGCACTGCGGTGACTCCAACACGACCCCTCTGTGGTGCATTTCACAATGTGTCAGGTATTTCATCATATTAAGGTGGATTATAAGAGATTGCTTTCACAATAAATGTAAGTGAGATTTCATTCAATTTGAACAATCTATCCCAGTGTCCATTCGGCAAAAAAGTATCGAGCTGAGAGTGGATGATGCAAAATCACGAATCAGACGACGGTCTATAGCTCGTCTTTCAGTTCATGAAGAAATCTATATTGGTGGGCTTTCAGGTAAATCACCTAATGATTTAGTTAAAATATGAGCTGTAATAGTACACTTACTGTATTCATATTGTTTATGTTTGCAGTTTTGACCTAACAAATACAATGCACATTTAACTTTATTTGAAACATTTAGTTTTATATATGGCCACAAGAAAAAAATACATATAATTTAAATACTAGAGTATTTTTGAATCATACTATATATAATCTACGCAATAAATACAACAACTTTTAATGAATGCTATAGTATTAACTGTTGTGAACTGATAAACTATAATAAATACTGTAGTTAGTAAACTTTAGTTTTTACTACAGTATATATATATATATATATATATATATATATATATATATATATATATATATATATATATATATATATATATATGGTTGGAGAAAAGACAATATAGAATTATCACAACAGATTCAAGTACTTTAGTATGGTTTAATAACACCTTCGTATTTATAAATAATAATAATAATAATAATAATAGGATATTTACTACAAATTACTCTGTTTTTGTTTTACTTTATGGTATGTTTAAGTGTTCATGTTAACTTATTGATATTGATTTTTTGAATCCCAAGATCAATCTTTTTAGGGTTTTTAAAACTTCAAAACTTCAAAAAGATTCATACCAAGCAGTCATTTTTGTGCACACCACACTCCTTGAGTAAATAATTAATTACTGTACATTTCTTGTTTTTTGTTAATGCAGAGAATCGGAGTGAAGGAGTCGAGATGCAGACCTCTTATGAGGGATGTTTGCGGAACATAAGGATTCATCAAAATCCTCTCTCATTTGATAATGCGAGTATATTCGGCCCCATAAACACAAACGAGTGTCCGGCAGAGTGACTGAAGTATGAAACGGTGAACAAACACCACTCGTTGTTGAGTTAAACAGTCTACCAAAAATGATAAAAATGGATTGTTTAGGGAAGGTTATTGATTATTATATATCTACAAAATAGGCAAATATACCAAATTTGGGGATTTCAAGAAATAGTTAGCGCATTTCATTTACTACAAAAAGTGTTAGAATGAGTGTGTATGAAGGTTTAAAATAAAAAAAAATGTGACTTTATTTTACAGTTTGTGTACTTAATTGTGTGACCACACTGTAAAGACATGTTATTACTACAATGATTATTACATGTTATTACAAATGATTAATCGTGATTAATCGCATTCAAAATAGAAGTTCATATTTACTAAATATATTTGTGCATATGTGTATGTTTTGTGTGTATAAATATTATTTATATATAATATTTGTATATAATACAAATTATACACCCAAAAAATGACGTTTGCTGTTTGTTCAAACTACTTATTTAAAATGAGCTGAAACAACACAAGTGTTGCATTTGGTTTGTGCAAACTTACTTGTTTTATGTTCAGTCCACTTAAATTTGTAAACACTAATAAGCTAACTTAATACCTTCATGTTGTCCTAACACAAATCAACTGTGTGGAACCCAGTTTGTTTTACAGTGTAAAAAATGCAGGGTTCCCCACAATTCATTCATGTTGTCCCAAAACAAAATAAAGTTAAGTGTTAAACTTTAAATATATATATATATATATATATATATATATATATATATATATATATATATATATATAAATTAAAAGTTAAGTTAAAGTTAAACTAAGAAAAGTTCATTTAAGTGTTAAACTTTAAATATATATATATATATATATATATATATATATATATATATATATATATATATATATATATTAAAAGTTAAGTTAAAGTTAAACTAAGAAAAGTTCATTTAAATAAAGTTAAACTAAAAGTTAATAAAATTAAGTTGTCCCAATGAAATATCAAGAATGATGTTGTTTCAGCTTTTTTAAATAAGTGGTTTAAACGAGCAAGGAAAAAAAAATTGAGTGTATATAAACAGGGTGTGAATTACAGGGGGTATTGACCGCCCTAATTTAAGCTTGATCCCTCCTGAAGGACGTTAAAACAAGATCTATGGCGTGTGTGGGGTGAGGGAGGGGGTCCATTTGAATCTGAGAAAAAGTTCACTCTGATCTGTATTTTAAATAATAATGTAAATAATTAAATGACAGATATGCATTTGACCACCCCTATAACGAGCCATACCATTGTAAATCATGCCGATCCGTCTATTCCAGAAAAAAAGTCATTCAACAGTCCGAAACAGGCAGATTTAGAGCACCCATAGACACCACAAGAGTTCACAAGACTGATTTCTCATAAAATAGGTATTTGTTTCAACATAACGCCTACAAGTAAAGCCAAATTAGATGCATAGTTTGTAGAGTTTGACCTAAAGTAAGCCAAAAATAGCTAATCAGGTCAGAATACACTATATAGCCCATACCACAAAACACTGAAAACTGAAAACTGAAATCAATTTTTTTAATAAATTAGATGTCATTTAAATAAATACATAAATATGATTTACTGAAGCATGTATTACACAAACTAAAATTACCCAAAAGTTGACCCCCCTCGATCGTCAATGTATAATTCACACACCATATATAAATATATACTCTGTAAAAATGCCGGGTTCCACACAAGTCCTTCATGTTGTCTCAACATAAATTAATTAAGTTAACCAAATTTAAGTTGATTGTACATAAAACAATTAAGTTATTCCACAAAACAATCAAGAATTGTGTTGATTCAGCTCATTATAAATTAGTTTGAACAAGCAGCAACATTTTGAGTGTATGTAAATATATTTACGCTGTATTTTATGTACAGTATGTGTGTGTATTCAAACATATAAACATTAATATACACAGTACGCATGTATGTATTCTGTAAATAAGTGTATTTATCTTGGACGCGATTATTTGTTCGACAGCACTAGTTATTACACATTTTAATGAATATGATTTGCAAAACAAAACTGTAAAATAAAGTGCTACCAAAATGTGTCTGGAAATAAAGGATTTTCTTCTTGTTCTTCAATTGGGATGGCTTCTCCTCGTGGCTCATGTATGTATTTACACAGCTGCTGCATCGCTGCTCTGTGAACCGCACTAAGAAGTTCAGAGCAGAAAGACTGAGACGTCTGGCTGCACCTTCATCCTTTATTCATTACGCTCATAATGTGTGAATAACACGCACTTCCTCATTCCCAGGCCACGCAGAAAGCTCTCTTCCTCATATTTCTTTCCTGTTTGCATCTTCAGCTTTGTCTCATGTCATACATCATGTGATGTGAGTGCGGTGATGATGAAATGACAGAATCCATCAGTCTAATAGGGTTGAGTTTAGATTTATATTAAATTCACAGCTTATGTTGCGTCTCTCTAATGTTTGTATATAGAGGAGCTAGTTAAAGGGATAGTTCACCCCCCCAAAAAATGTAAATTCTGATTTCGATCCCCGAGACCTTCATTCATCTTCAAAATACAATTTTAGAAAAGCTGTCTGATCCTCTGTAGACAGCAAGGGCTGTGAAACGTTCAAAGCCTAGAAAAATAACAAGAACAGAGACAATTCACGAGTTTACACTCACAGATATTTGACTGGATGGAATATGAGCTCTGACTCGTGTTATTCCCCTTATAAGAAAGAAATAGGGGTCTGATCACAGTGTCCACCCCAGCTCCAGAATGCTCCCCCTCCAACTTATTTTATGTAGGTATGAGGTTTAAAAGTGTGGAGCTGGGGTGGTGGAGGGATGCTGAAGTCGAGAGAAAACAGAGGTGCTGGACTATTGAAAGGGGTTTGGTCTTATGCTGATTGGATAATAGAATGATTGATAATAATAAATTAGACTCATCAAAACTGATCGTGCTTCTCCCAAAATTCGTTTATAAAACATCACCAAAAAAGAGAAAGGTTCAACCGCAATTTTATGAAGATAAACAATACCTTTTAAAGCAAATGCTATTTAAAAACTAGCTGAAGGCTCTTTTTCCTCTGTCTTATTCTCTTAGAAAGCTGCATTGAAACGTCAGTGTATTAGTCTGAACCATTGAGCAGGCTGTGTAATATATTTTTCAGCGTTGTTATAGGGTACATGTGGAAGGACTTTTGTCAGTAACCTGAGTTAAGCACGTCATGTGAACTGTATGTCTCTACAAAATCGGCGCATTTAAGGTCAGTTTTCTTTAAAAATCAGTGACCTCCACTGGCTGAGTAACCCTGACTGCTCCTCCATGACATTGGGATACAGGTGATACAAGGTTATCTATATTAAAGAACTGCAAATAAGCAAAATATTATAACAATGTATTAATTAACACACACGCCTCGTTCTCTCGCTGTCCAAGGCTGTGGTTTGCTGATCAAATGAAAAACAAAAGACGGGGAGGAGCCGAATACTGCTGCTGTTTTCATATCAAATTTAAAGGCCACAGGTGATAATTCAGTGTACAGTTTATAAGCTAATCGCAAAAGTTTAAGGGGGGCTACACACCCACCTAAAATAGGCCTAGCAACACTCATGAGTCACATTAACTGTTCACCTGAAGTTTATCAGTATACTGATAAATATATATGATGGTGTCCAAACTCAGGCCGTACTCACACTATGTACAGTTGCGTCGAACCGGGCCAAAGCACGCTTGTCCCCCCTCCCGTCTCCCCCGATAGCCCGCACTCACACTACAATCAGGCCGAGGCACGCTTATGTTATCGATGCTGCGCTGTTCAACGAGCGCTCTCGCTCAGCACAGAGGAGATTGCTCTTGTTATATCGTGTCAGTCGTTTGATATGCAGTGACATGCAGTCAACTATTTCACCAAACAGTCCTTAGGGATGCGGTGACACGCAGTCAGATATTTCGCCGAACAGATCCGCCACTTTTGGCGCTCATAAACAATCATAAAGCTCTCGTGCCGCAGGAATGAGGAGGTCTGCTGAAGGTGCGCAGCTGTCTTGCAGTGAGAGGTTTGCGTATTTAATAAACTGCGGCAGTTTGCGTTCATTGAACAGTAATTGATTAATAAATCTACATAAAAGAGTCCCTTAAAAGTCACGTCTCGCTTTCAGTTTCAGGCTTTGGCATGTTTTGCACTCACACCACAAGCGTACCGCGCCAAAGCCCAAGTCAACCGCGCTCAGGCCCACCTCTTCCAACCGGGCCAGGGCCGGCCAAGTGAACCGTGCTTTAGCCCGATTCAGCGCACTCACACTTCTCAAACGATCCGGGAAACGGGCCTGGGCACGGTACGGATGGCATAGTGTGAGTAGACCCTCAGTCCTGGAATGCTGGTGTCATGACCGATGTCCTGCAGATTTTATTTCCAACTTGCAAGGATGGTTCTAGATTACCTAGTAAGAGCTTAATTAGCTAGCCCAGCAGCAGGTGTGTCTGATTGGGGATGGAATTAAACTTTGCAGGACACGGGGCACTCCAGGACCGAGTCTGGACATCCCTGCCCTATAGTCACATGGAGTCAGAATTATAATTAAACAGCCACCACAGTTTGGAATATGTGATTTGGTAAAGTTCATGTTCATGTGTGTTGTGACTTCATAAGATTTTAAAGCAAATTTAATGCACGGGGCACAAGAAATTAGTTCATTCTTAGCTTTAAAAAGGATTGAATTATTTATTTGATGCCCTGCAGCGTTATTTCACATTTATTATAATCAATTTATGTGCCTAAATACTGTTAGACCAGCCAGAAAACCATAAACTGTTTATCTTTGCTTTGTTGTATCTATCTATGCAACTTATTTCATTTTGAGTAGATGCGCTACCCTAAAAAATCGTCCCAGTCAATCTAAAATTGTGAATACTAACAAAGGTCAAGTCATTAGGTGAAAGTGCATAGGCTGTATCACAATATGTATCAAAGAAAAACAAAAATATTGCAAGAAGTCCACAAGCCTATTTGGATAAAAATCCTAGAAGGTTTTCCTCAAAACATTTTTTCAACTGAAGAGACTAAGCAGCGTAAAGCTGAATTATATGTACAATATTATTCTTCATTTTTTTTATTATACTCCTTATCTGTTACTATTTATTTCATGTTGCATTTGTATGTTCATTTTTATACAAACTGTTATACAATTAACAACAAACACTACAAGAAATTCTGTGAAAAAAAACAATGAACGAATCTTCTTAGTGAAGCGACACAAAAGCTTCAGATCATTCAGGGAGTAAACGGGTTAAAGTCTCAGTGGTTTCCTGGTTGGAGCCAAAGGGCGTGTTTCTGTCAGGAGGAAGCTGTCAAGCGTTTGCTTTCCAATCCAAGCCGAATCGCCTGCTGTCTCCTACAGCACCTCGGCGGAGTGAATCAGTCGCGGGACTGTCGGTCACGTCACTGACGGTTGCTCGTTTAAAATATTGCGTAACGAGCGAACAGCCGGTGGATGCTCCTCTGCTCGCTGATGGAGGGGCACGACTACGCATCTAAAAACATCTTAGCACTGCATTAGGACACGGAAGAACTCAAATCATACAAATGCGAGTCATTCCAGCGGTCTGCCGTGCGTTTTATTGGTAAGCGAAATATCATTTCAGTCGGTAATTTGTTTATTCGGCGCGCGGAATACCAAACAACCGGACTGTTGTTTTTTCCTCATTTTCCTCCTCGTTTTATTTGCAGAAGAGCGGGTTTCTAGGTTTGTGGAGGAGAAAAGGAGAAAGGATGGCGGGCCCAGATTCCCCGCAGCAGCAGCAGGTTGAGGAGAAAGCCGAGCAGATTGACGACGCCGAGCTCGCCTTTCAGGGCATCAATATGCTGCTCAATAATGGCTTTAGAGAAAGCGACGAGCTCTTCAGGAGATACAGGTCACATTCATATTCAATATTCACTTTATGCTCATGACTGGTGATATTATTGGGCTGTGTTTGGTTTTTGCTTGAAGTGGGAGTTGAATTAATTTGGCCTTGTTACTGCCTTCGTTTACCAAAATGGACTTTGATACAAATAATAATAATGAAAACAAATAAATTCTGTTTGGTTTTTATTATATCTATATTAAAGGGATGTTATTGGACTTTGGTTTTGCTTAAAGTAGGAGTTGAATCACTTGGCTTCGCTGCTGCCTTTATTTTCATAAATTTTTTTATGACCAAAATGGACCTTGTAACAACATTGGGGTAAAAGTTTGGGTTTTATATTCGCACATTCTCCTTAATATATATATGTATGTATATATATATATATATATATATATATATATATATATATATATATATATATATATAATTTCAGAAAAGGGTTCTTTGCTAATTAGAAATATCAATATCATATTAGCAAGCCAGTGACAAGTACGACATTGTTTAAAGGGGTGGTCCAGAGTGTATTTTTAAGGCTGTGTTGTGTTTATGGTGTGCAAAACAATGTGTGCTCATGCTTCATTTGTAGAAAATCAGGTTATTTGTTCATATATCTTACTTTGATTATATACAGCTACTCCGCTAACATGAAAACGACTATCATATTTACTAATTTCTCTGAAGACCCGTCTTCAAGAGGCTCTGATTGGTCAGCTAACATAATGTGCTGTGATTCACAGATCAGCTCTACATCACCAAGCATCTCTGCCATAACATTGCAGCGCCTCTGGCCAAACCCTTCAGGGCTCGAAATTAACAACTATTTTTCTTGGTAGCATCGATGCTCCTAACTTCAACAATTTAGACGCACCAGACAAATTTAGTCACACCCACCAAAAACTATGAGCACAGTTAAAAAACGTTTCATATACACAGATTTATTGCATTTGAAATCAACTCTAATAAAAACTAACAAACAAACAAAAATCTGCATGCACCCACCGGCCCCTGCACGCACTGCTTGACGTGAATGAGATAAACTGAACTAACTATAATACCTGCTGTTCTCACAGGTGGTGTCTGATATTGCACAGATGATCTTGACATATAACTTATTTGCATACGTCATCTTAATAGCAAAAGCGGTCTTTTCATGAGCTGCAATATTAGTTTCATCTCAGTGAATGCATGCTCTTTAGCGAAGGTAAACGCGGTCAGTCGCACGACTAACAGCATTATGACGATTAAATGTTAGAACATCTCGTGCTTAAAATATGCAGATTCGGTGGCAAATGCTGTTACCTGAAAACTCTGTCCCACCCGCTTTACAGTAAATGCTTTAGTCATTTTCATAGCAGACTTTAACCACTAGAAGTTTTTTATCCACTCTTTAAAAAGTGCAAATGCTAGATTAACAATCATTACATGATCACTTATCAGATGTGTCATTATTTGTAACTTTATGTGGTTTCTAAAAGGATTAATTCTGTCAGTTTTGTTTTTATTCTCTTCTATCCAGACCTTTAAATTTTGCGGCTGTAGCTCACTGTCATTGGAACTGAGTGATTGACAGCTGATATTAACCAATCCATTGGCGTTCTGTTCTAGCGCAGTGAGCCAATAAGAAGAGCCTGAAAGCGAAGCAAGCATTGCGGGCTTTGTTTACTACAGCAAGTTGACATGTCAACTGTTTTAAACCATTCCTGGGTGCTGCGTTGGGTGTTTTTAGGTGCAAAGATGCTTAATGTGGGAATGCCTCCTAATTTCGCGCATGTGTTGAACATTTTGCTGTGAAAACTGGTCGCAAGACAACAATTTTATGCACTCGCACAAATACTCCCAAATATATTTTGAGGTCGCATGAATAAAAATTTTGGTGCATATGCTACCAAAACGGTCGCAATTTCGAGCCCTGCCCTTTTACTGCGCGTGGTGTATGTGCGTAACCTGAAGGGTTTATGACATTATTAACCTGGATTTTTTTTTTTGTAGTCCCCAAACTTTGTTCACTGTAGGCTTCGCTAAGCTAAATCTGTAAAAGCCAATGTCTTTGCATTGAACTTTAAGCATCTTAGATTCAGAGATGTTGTTTGCTCACACAGCTACATTACACATCAACTAAAGTTTAACATATTATGTCGTAGTGGACCACCCCTTTAATTCAACTAAATAGTGCTAATATTGTTTTAAGTCATACTTGCTATTTCAGACTGAATATTCAATGCGTGGTAAACAATGTTTCACAAGTTTTCACTTTGTTAAAAAAATCAACAAATGTATGAATATAAAACCAACTTAACCTCTATTGATAATACTACAACTAATAAAAATAATTCTGTCTGGTTTTAATTCTATCTATATTAAAGTGGTATTATTGGACTTTGGTTTTGCTTGAAGTGGGAGTTGAATTATTTGGCCTCGCTGCTGCCTTTTAATTCTTTGCCCAAAATGGACATACTACTACCACTAATAAAACTAAATAAATATGTTTTTATTATGTCTATAAACATTGAAGTGATATTATTAAGCTTTCTTTGGTTTTGCTTAAAGTGGGAGTTATTTGGCCGGCCTGCTTCCTGTTTCCATTCTTGTTCTGTTTATGTGACCAAAATGGACCTCAAGACAAATGACATTTGATCTGTTTCATTTTTATTTTAGATCTAAACATTAAATTGACACGTTTAAACAACCAATCTGAGACTTTTTATGTATTAATTATTTAAAATGTATGTACACATTTTATATGGTGACCCTTAGTTTAGGTTAAGGTTCCATAAGAGAATGTATTTACTAACTTGAACAAACAATGAACAATAGGTATATTATAGTATGCATCATTGGTAACCTGAGGTAATGGAAATAAAGTTGTTAATTTAATTGGCAGTGCATTAACTAATGTTAACAAGCATGAATTTTGATAATGCATTAGTAACTACAGAATAAACTATGGTTTTGAATAAATGCTGTACGAGTATTGTTCATTATGAGTGGATTTTAGTAAATATGTTAGCTAACAATAAATAACGAAACCTTATTGTAAAGTGTGACCATATAGTGTGTCTTGTGTTGTAACTAACATATATATTTATTTATTTTAAGTATATTTGATGGGAAAATTACAAACACTTTCATCTATATTACCTTTTTATAGGACTTTTTAGACATTTTTGGATAAAATTTTTACTTTGCTTTTTTTTATATATTTTGTAATATTTTTTCATTGTTATATTACTTAAAATATTTAGGTTTTCTCATTTCATATATATATATATATATATATATATATATATATATATATATATATATATATATATATATATAAACAGTTTATTTATTTTAAATATTTTTTTAGGAGCAAAGCAAATAGATTTTGTTTTGTTGTTTTTTATTTAAAATTTTATTGGATATACAAATTTTTTATAACCATAAAATCACACATTTTTTTTTCTACAGTTTATTAATATTACATTTATTATTATTATTATTATTATTAAAACTAAATACTAACAAATAAAATAAATGAACATAAGTTTACTTTGTAATGTATTCACATTATTTGTTTAAATAAATTTACTAAAATAACAAAATTTACTTTAAAAAGATTAATATTTTTACACTATGTATTACTGAAATTTTACAATTGAACTATCATAAAAACACCAATTCAAAATACCAGTACAGACTTTAACATATCAAAGAAATTCATTTGAGCTGTTTTATAACTTATCACATGTCTTAATAAACTGATTTAAATATCAGTTTAATATATTGTGAATACTTCTGTGATTTGTAAAATGAAAATGTAAAATGTCTGAGGTATAAAAGGTCAAAATCCCATTTTAAGAGGGTTAACAGTAGTTAAATTAACTACATTCATTTAATTTCATCAAACAGATTTAAAAGTGCTCACAACAAAAATCATGGGATTTGTGCTTCTCATTATTTTACAAAAACATTTCAACATTAATATAATCCAGGCTGTCCTTCTGGCGCTTCGTGAGCTTCTAGAAAACTCTCTGTGTACAACAAATAAATATAATGATGGGCACACAGATGAATGGTGTTTGCCTGGTCGATGTCGCCTCAGGCAAGAGTGCAAACTGAACTCAATAACATCGGCTGATAAAATACACACACAGATGAGATTAGAGAGATAAAACACACTTTTTTGAGTGGAGAAAGCTTTTTATGCATCGATGTGTCTGTTTGCTGATTTACAGTTGACTAATAGTAATTAATATATTTTATAACTCACATCTTGCAGTAAATTGGAGAAATGTGGTGCACATTTTATACGTGAAGCCTGAGGGTTTAAATATCAGAAGAAACTGCTTTAGACATTCTTAAGGATACAGATATTCATGGATTAAAAGTTAATTCCATAAGCAGCTTATTGCTTCGGCTTCATATGTGGTAATTCCTTGTTTAACGTGAATTATAATTTAATAAATGTAATTTAAAAAAATAAAAGGGCTTTTTTGCACATGTACCATGATTAAGGCCTTGCCGTTTTTGCTGTTGAGTGATGTGTGCCTGCAGTTGAAAAAAAAAACTCAGAAAAAGCACACTTCGACAGTTGCGTATTTTTGTACATTATCCAATCGAATGAATGCAAAGGCATTTTTGTAACACTGTATAACAATAATTAATATTTTTACAGTACTGTGACCATTAGGTTTAGGGTTTAGGTAGGGGTAGATGTTAAAAATATTATTATATTATTATTATATTATTGGGTAATTTAATGAATAACATAAATAATACACGATACAATTACTGTTTTTACATTTGTGTGACGGTTAGGGTTAGGGTAGGGTAGACGTAAAAAACACAATTATTGGGTAATTTAATGAATAACATCAATTATACAACTACTGTTTTTACATTACTGTGACTGTTAGGTTTAGGCTTGGGGTAGGTGTGGATGTTAAAAATATACAAAATTTATTGGATAATTTAATGAATAACAATACTTTGTACAACTACTGAAAGAGAGACTACACTGTAAAAAAAATGTGATCAATTAGTCATGACAGCATATGTTTTTAGTTAATTGTAACTTATTTATCTAAGTTGATCATGTTCTAACTAGTTTAATAGGTTGTGCAAGCTCTTTTAAGTCAGTTTAACAATATAAGTTCTGTGGACTCAAAAGGTTAATTTGATCCAGCTTAAAAATTTAAGGCAACCTGGACTTTTTTTTTTTTTTTAAGTGTAGTGGTTACTGTTTTAAGTTATCTAGAGCCGTATGACATCACAAATTGTGAATACCACAATATTATTAATTATTACATTTATAACAATATCAACAGCAGCGCTCACACAAAATAAGCAGCTGATTTGGTGGTTGCTTAGTAATATAAAAAGCACAGCACACTTTTCTTCATGTCAATAAAAAAGGCAGTGCGGTGCGCCTCCTATTCTCAGAACTAAAAAGCGCATTCGGTATGATCGGCCCCTAAATCACCAGATTTTTTTTTTTTTAATCTGAATTAATCTTAAAAACTTATTTCATGAAGACTTGCCTTATCCCATGCTTCTCTATTCTGTCTTCAGGACCCATAGTCCACTGATGAGCTTCGGTGCCAGTTTTGTCAGCTTCTTGGTAAGTGAACTCAATTCAATGATATTTTGAGAGCATTTGCAGTATTTGCTACAGCTTAAAAGTGAAAGTGAAAGTTGCCTATACTATCAAATAATGCAAATACTAAAAAATAAAGTACAATTGTATGTATTTTATGCTGTAATGCAGTGTTTAGCAGAGAGCATGCTGGGAAAATGGACGAACATAGCTGTGCCGTCCAAGGACATTTTCTTATGTAATTAGTCTGACATCGGCCTGTCGTTCCTCGTCCATCTCTGTTATATGACAGAGTCAGCGAATGCTCTGAACCACCGCTCTGCTCCGGTTTCATCCACACATTAACAGGAAGTGAAGTATTGGAAAGAAAATGAGACAAAATTTGAATTCTACAATTAATTAAACAAGTTTTATCATTTTATTTTATTTAATAGGCAGAGCAGTCTAACGCTATTTGTGCAAATAGTTTTTAACTATTCAAAGAAAAAAAATACCTAAAGTGATATTTTATGTTGTCCAAGTAGCAAAAAATATTTATACATTATATATTAGTATAATATTAGTATATAGGAGAATAAAATACAAAAATTATCTTTATTAAAGTTGTATGCTATTTTATATGACATATTTTATATTACAGGAATACAGCAAATAGTTTTAAATGCAATTGAATGCTTCTAGAAAATCTAGGGAAAAAAGTGCAATAGTTGTTTTTTATAACAATATTTTAGAATATGTTTGTGCCATTAGTGTGTAATAATAGCAGTGTACATTCCATATACATGTTTTAGTGCGTGCCAGTAATACCCACAAGGCATCTGTTTTTCATTGTGTAATGAGCACCCTTTCATATTCTATTTTTAAATAATAGTAGGAGGTGTTCGGAGTAATATAATACACTGTGCAGTGTGCAGAAAACTGTGAGTTTCTCCTTAAGAGTTAGGGAACAACCTTGTCAAAACCACTCACATCAACTCCAGTGCTCCAGGACGTGGACTGTGACGTCACTATGATGTCAACTGGCCCTTGGGAAAACAGAGATAAAGGATAGTCAGCACTACTGCGTCATCAACAAAGGAGGATTAGTTTAACAAAAGACCTTCAGATGCATTTGAGTTATTATGTTGGCTTGTAAATGCTAACACGCTGCCTAAACATGCTAGCGACATGCTAAGTCATGTAAAAACATGTTATAATAAGTGTTTGCAACATTAATTCATCTTAAAACGTTTTAGCAACATGCTAATTCATGTTAATGGTGTTAACCATGATTGCAGTGTGCTAATTTATTCTAGTATAACATAGATGAGGTTGTGTTATTATATTGGTTTGATAATTGTAATTCACTTCTAAAAACATATTAGGAAAAACAATGTTAATTTATGTTAGAAATGCGCTAATTTATGTTAATAATAATTAGGGCTGCAACAAGGAATCGATCGCTAAAAGCGTTGGCAACGAATTACATAATCGATTCGCTGTGTTGCGCGACGCAGAGAAGTTTGATTATTAAATAAACTTAAGTTGAGCGCGAAGCAGATTGAAAAATTCAAACTGAGGTTTGGTGCGTTGGCTGGCGCTGAGCCAGAGAAAGACGTGTCATATTATAACAATTATGCAGTGTTTTTAACCACCCAATGCTTATTTTATGTATTAGACATGCAAATACACACAAGCACAAGTAAAATTTGTAGCAAGTAAAAAAGTACATTTAGAGTTTGTAAAACATACAAGAAAGTCTATAGAAGTCTAACCATCCATTCAAATATAATTTGCCTATGTGTAATATTCATATCAGATACACGTAGTGAAAGTAATGTGTTTTTAAATAAATAGTTCGAAATGAATGTTTTTCTTTTTTTTATATCCGATTCATCGATTAATCGGAAGAATAATTGACAGATTAATCGATTATTAAAATAATCGTTAGTTACCCATGATCGCAATTTACTAATTGATTCTAGTGTGCTAATAAAATGGCTCAATGGTACCTGAACGTGTACCACAACATGTTAAACATGACACAAGCAAGTTAAAAAAACATTAATAAAGGTTTTTGTTTAGAAACATATTAAGAAAATGTTAAAACATGCTAATAGTAGGCAGACAGCATGTTAGCAACATTCTATAATGTTTACAGTGCTGAATCATGCTAGCATGTTAGCAAAATACCAACATGTTTCAAGTATGGCATGAGTTTATGTGTTACTAGCATTGTCTGCAGCAGGCAGGGCTAAATAAAATGATGCTAGGACATTTGTAGTACAGGTATGATTAACATGTTGCTGATCATGAGCATTTACAACAGTGTGCTAAAACAGGCTAGCAACATGCTTAAACTTATTAGCATCATGATAGCAACATGCAAAAAATTGTAAAAAAAAAACAAAAAACAAAAAAAAAAACATACATTTATTATTATTCGTTTTCTAACAACTTGTTGGTAAGTTTATAAAATGTTGACCGTGTAGTAAATTAGGCTAAAAATGTGATTAAAACAGGTTATTTTTTTGGTTCCTCAGTTTTGTTGGTTGAAAAGTTAAATATTTAATTACATAATGTTTATTAATTTATAATTTTTTTTACTAAAATAGTTCTTAGTTTTACAGCATTTATTACATTATGTATTACAACATTTTATGAAATGTCCCTATAAGTCATCTACTTCTGATGTAACTTACATTTTTCCATATATTGCAGAAAATGAAATATTGCAGTGCTAGTTGTTTTCCAGTTTCACACAGCCCTATATTACTGTACATCTGCAATATATTCTAGAATGCCATGATGACGTTCGAGGAGGAGAAAATGCAGATGGCGAGCGATGACCTGAGGACTACTGAAAAGCTCTGTGAAAGCGATAATGCTGGCGTCATCGAGACCATCCGCAACAAAATCAAGAAGAGCGTAAGTCTGTTTCTATCACTGTGCGCCATCAGTCGTCTGATTCTTCACATTAACGTGTTGCTTTTTCTCTGGGCTCCAGATGGACTCAGGGAGATCAGGAGTGGAGATTGTGGATCGTCTTCAGAGGCAGATCATCGTGGCTGATTGTCAGGTTTATCTAGCTGTGCTGTCATTCGTCAAACAGGAGCTCTCAGGTGATTCCACCTGAACTGTCAGAAATGTCTTTAGGATGCCATTTTTTATATTTGAATGTTTATTATAATTATTATTATTATTATTTATTTATTTATTTTATTTATTGATTGATTATTTATAGATTTTTTTATTTTAACAATTAAACTTGCTTTTAAAATATTCAAGGGTTAATTTTATTAAATATATTATATATTTGTGATGTCAATTTATTTTATATTTTTATTTACATTTTATTATTATTAAATATATAATTTATCATATATGTAATATTTCAAAATAAACATTAACTAAGATTATTACATTTATTCAGTTTCACCAAAATGTTAAGAACATCAGAAATAAAAATATAATTATTAATATAAAAAATTGTATATCTGTATACATATTTTTATTCAAAGATGTATTTCAAGTAAATCATTATTAATTAATTTTTCAATAATTAATAATTAACAAATTTGTGCTAATAAAATATGCTGCTTTAACTTGATCATATTTTTTATTTTATTGTATTTAATTATATATATATTTTTTAGAATTTTTTTAATGAAAATTATCATTTTTTATGAGCTGATTATTTTCATTTAAAATTTCACACCAATTTTGATTATTACAAATCATTTAGCATTTTACCAAAAAAAGCTTCCATAATACTTTAATTTTATTTTTAAATTTAAAAATTCATTTTTTTTTTTTACATTTAATTTGACCAACTGTCATGCTGCAGAATATTAGGTTATGATGGTTTAGAGCAGAGATGCCCAAACTAGGGCCCACAAGCCAAAGTTGGCCCATTGTAACCTTTGATTTGGCCCGCCTTACCATCTGAGAATGATGTGGATGGTTTAGAGATTGTCATTTCAAATCTAATGTAACCTTTTGTTTGTTTGTATTATTGTTAAAAGCTAACTGAAATTAAATGTTTCAAGTAAATGCTGTAAATGAATACAATTTAATTTAACTGTACATACTGTCACCTGATGGATAGAGGACGATGCAGAGACTTTGGTAAGCAAATTAAGAGAAAGACAGACTCTGCTTGACTAGTGTATTCAGCTTTGAACTCCACTTTTCACTGTCATGTTTTTATTGCAATAAGTTTCTAAAAGTTATGCTGCATTCATTTATACGATTTAAAGTAATGTTTTTATTTATTTATTTATTTATTTTTTAAATATTATGAAATCAATTAGGAAATTACCCATGGCAACTTTAATGTTATATATTTGGTATATGGTGCTATAGATGTAATAATGATATTTGTTTTTTGGCCCTTTATATGAAAAAGTTTGGGCACCCCTGATTTACAGCATAGGTCTCAAACTCAATTCCTGTAGAGCATCTAATCAAAAACAAGCACTTGGTGTTCAAGGTGTTCAAGCCAACTAGAGATTATAAGCAGGTGTGAGTTGGAGGTGGTTGGAGCTAAACTGTGCAGAGCTGCAGCCCTCCAGGAATTGAGTTTGAGATCATTAGTTAAGAGTCATACAAATACTTTCCATCCTTTAACCTTGTAATTGGCTGTTCCCCTTCAGCATACATCAAAGGAGGCTGGATCCTCCGCAAGGCCTGGAAGATGTACAACAAATGCTACAGTGACATCAGTCAGCTTCAAGAAGCCTGTCGCAGACGCTCCTCTGACCAGCAGGGGGCACTGGCCTCTGACCAGGCCAACCACAACACCTCGACCGGCAGCGGCGGACGGGTAACAGATGAGGTTCTAGACCGCCTGAAAGGCTCAGTCAGTTTCGGCTATGGGCTCTTTCACTTGTGTATTTCTATGGTGCCTCCACACCTGCTGAAGATTGTGAACCTGCTGGGCTTCCCTGGAGATCGACACCAGGGTCTGGCCTCTTTAGCGTATGCCAGCGAGAGCAAGGACATGAAGGCGCCCCTTGCCACGTAAGATTGTGTTGTTAGCAATTATTTGCAATTTACCTGCCTTCATATAAAAGTGCAATTGTGATCCACTGTTACTGCATGCCAAACCAACAGGCGGTGATACAAGTCTTTTATGTTTGGTTCATACGAAACTCAGAATTAAATATAAGCGTGAATAAGTTGCATACAAAGTCAATGCATTTACATCATTACGTTTACATTTATTCATTTGGATAACACTTTTGTCCAAAGCGGCTTTTTTAAAGAGAACTCAATTGAGGAGACATTCAGCGATCCAACAAGAGGCAATACACACAAGTGCTTATTATACACAGGAACTGTTAATCAGATATTCAGATAATCAAGTGCTAGAGTTAGGAGGGGGGGAAGTGTTTTTTTTTTTTATAGAGAGAAGCTCACTGACTGGTGTAAAGCATATAAATATATACCGGGCTTAATAATAATAAACTTTTTGTTTGGTAGCACTGGTGTTCTTAACTTAAAAATGTAGTCACACCAGCCAAAATGTAGGCTCACCCACCAAGTATTATGTGCACCATTAATACAAGTGTTATATTAACATATTTATTGCGTTTAAAATCAACACTAATTAAAACTAACTAACAAAAAAAAAAACATTGGCAGGCGACCACCTGCACAGACTGCATGAATAAGATTAACCGAGTTATCGATATTAACTCTGATGTTCTCACGGGTGGTGTCTGATATTTGCATACGTAATTTTAATAGCAATAATGGTCTTTTCATGAGGTGCAATAGTTGTTTAATCCTAATGAATGCAAGCCTTTTTGAAAAGATGTAAGCGGTGTTACATTTTACATATAGTTGCCACTTGCATGGCCGACAACATCCTAACGGTTAAATGGATCGTCGCAAAAAGCGCGTAAATAGTTACCTGCAAACTCTACCAGACTTTTACAGTGTATGGCTGTAGGAGTCTTATCCTCTCTTCGAAAAGTGTATCACTAAACAGATGTGCCATTATTTGTAACTTTAGGTGGTTTCTAAAACAAAATCTGTCAGTGCTTTTCATTCTCTCTTCTTCAGCGCTTTAAATTTTCGCAGATGTTGCTCCCCGTCACCTGAACGCAGAAAGCATTGCCTGACTGATTGACAGCTGATATTAACCTATCCATTCCGGTTTGATTCTAGAGCAGTGTGCTAATAAAAAGAGCTTAAAGGTAGAGCAGGCATTGCATGATTTATTTACTGTAGACATGACAACTGTTTTAAATTATTCCTGGGCACTGCGTTTCACATTTTTAGGTGCAAAGATGCATTCTGCATGATTGTCTCCTAAATCCGCACATGCAGTAAACATTTTTCAGTCGCATAGCAACAAATTTATGCATTTGCACATTGGATGCATATGTGACCAAAAAGGTTGTAAGTTTGAGCCCTTTGTACATATAGTTGAAGTCAGAATTATTAGCCTTCCTGAATTATTCGCCCCACTGTTTGTTTATTTTTTTTCCCCAACTTCTGTTTAAAGGAGATTTCTAAACATAATAGTTTTAATAACTCATTTCTAATAACTGATTTATTTTATCTTGATTACAGACAGTACATAATATTTTATCTATACAGCTTAAAGTGACATTTAAAAGCTTAACTAGGTTAATTACGTTAACTAGGCAGGTTAGGGTAATTAGCCAAGTTATTGTAGAGAGATGGTTTGTTCTGTAGACTATCGAAAAAAAAATAGCTTAAAGGGGCTAATAATATTAACCTTAAAATGGGTTTAAAAATTTTAAAACTGCTTTTATTCTAGCTGAAATAAAATCAGATTATCAGATATGCTGTGAAAATTTAATTGCTCTGTTAAACATCATTTGGTATTTAAAAAAAAGAAAAGAAAATTCAAAGGGGGTTAATTCTGACTTCAACTGTGTCTGTCTGTCTGTCTGTCTGTCTGTCTGTCTGTCTGTGTGTGTGTGTGTGTGTGTGTGTGTGTGCGTGCGTGCGTGCGTGCGTGCGTGCGTGCGTGCGTGCGTGCGTGCCTGCGTGCGTGCGTGCCTGCGTGCGTGCGTGCGTGCGTGCGTGCGTGCGTGCGTGCGTGCGTGCGTGTGTGTGTGTGTAAAAACTGGTGCAAGTGTCAGTTAAAGTGTCAAGGAGATGAGTGTGTTTTCTACAGGTGGTTTGTCAAGCCCACTCACCTGTGTGAACCACACTCAGAATTGCATAATGCAAATGTGAATGTGCAGAATTCACCTTTATCACGTCTAACGTGTTTGCTATAAACCCAACATTAGAATAAAGCCATATTGGCCAGTCAGAAAGTTGAAAACGGTGATGTTGTCGTGTAAACAAACAGACAAAATATATTAAAAGTGTCCTGGTTTTTGAAACAATGACCTTAGAAATGGCAGTTCTTGATTTTTCTTGCTTCAGCTCAAATACTGGAGTGTGGCATTAGCAAGGGCAAGGTTGTGGTTTGATTCACAGGGAAAGCAAGAACTGATAATTGCATACCTTCAATGCAATTTCAGTCGCTTTGGATAAATGCGTAAATGTCCCTCAGTTCAAGTCTGATTATTAGAAGTGTTTTGTGTTTGCTGGCCAGAAGTAAATCCCTCTGCTGATTTACTGTGCACAGTGACGCATTTTTGTATGCGAGCACATGCTGAACCGGCTTCACACTGCGGTTACATAATTGATGGCATCTGAAAGGTTACAATTAGAGATAAAGGGCATTAGAGGCATAGATTGCTAGGGGATGTTGATGATGCAGACACAACTAGAGAACATAAATATAGCTTTAATGAAGAATTAAGTTTTTTTTTTAATTCATTTTAAAACTATTAAATATATGATGATTCTGTTGTTCATTTATTTTCACCAACCAAAAGACTTTAGAAGCAATTGAAAGAAAACTACTTTGCAGGTCTGCTGTTTTACATATCATAAAGCAGTCATGTTAGCAGCCACCTAGAACAACAACATTAAATATCTTGACAAACACCCAGAAAACAGCCTAGCAACCACTCAGAACAGAACAACCACTTACTATTGCCTTGGCATAAAGCCACTGCATCTATTTTGGCGGCGAGAACATCGATCTCACCTTAGCAACCAGCCAGAACATCTCAACAACATCTTTGCAACTAAGCTGAATGGCCTACCAAGCACCCTGAACCATTTTGAAACCACAATGTAACAGCCTAGCAACCACCTGAAACATCCTAGCAACTACCCGAAACACCAGTTAAAGTGCCAAACACAGCAATGCCCTGGCAACAAGAACATTCATAACAACCTAACAATAGCCCAACAATCATCAGAACATCCAACTTTTGAGCAAAACACTGGCAAACATTCATCTCATGTTGTAAGGCCACCCAAAACACCTTATTAACCATTTTAAAAATCCAAACAACCTCTCAGAATACCCTGCCAATGCCTTAGCAACCACCCAAACACCTTAGCAACCTCATACCAACCTGGCAACCATCCACAATAAAAAGCATAATGGTAGCAACACCATTCAAAACACACTAGCAACCACTTAACACCACAGCCTGAAAACAAGCACCCTAGCAACACTCAAAACTTGACATCAATGACACCTTAGAAACACCAAGCATCTGCATAGGTTGCTGTACCATCACCAAATGTTTTATACAGTCAAACATTGTTCATATTTCATCTTTTTACTTTTATTTAGTTATAGCTTCAGAGTCCGCTCCATTGTTCCTAACCCTTGTTTCACCTCTTCTAAAACTCATTGTTCTGGGCAGTTTGTTGCCAGCGGCTGACAGATTGCGGAGCCTCTCTAATAATAGAGATGAATTTAAGCATACTTAATCCAGTCGGGGACAAAACCTTTCCAATTTGTTCTTCAGATGCTGCTTTCCAATCTGTGCTGCTAGAGCAAATATATTTTCTGAATGAAACCGTAACCATTCATAAGTACTGTTAAAGACCATATAGAGTCAAAACTGACTATTCAATAATGCACAGTTAGTGTTAGTTAACTTATTCCACTAATCAAAAAAAAAACAACTAATTTTGGTAATCTTTAATCAAAATCTGACCAATTTTCTCTGCTCTGGAATGACGATCCTTGGCGGCTTAGGTGAAATATGCTTAGCCATGCCGCTTTAACCAGTAGTTTGCTGCCAGTGAAAGATGAGAGGAGGAGCACAAAAACAAATGCCTCCTAATCAGTCAAGTTTGGTGAAGGAAAAATCATGGTTTGGGTTTAGAAATCTGCTAAGTGGATGGCAACATCACCATCCTGCGCTATCAAGTAGAGCTGAACAATTCATCAAAAAAAGATTGCATTCTCGATTCGACCCCCTAAACCAGGGGTCACCAATCTCTGTCCTGGAGGGCCGGTGTTTAGCTCCAACTTGCCTCAACACACATGACTAGATGTTTCAAGTATACCAAGTGAGATCTTGATTAGCTTGTTCAGATGTGTTTGATTAGGGTTGGAGCTTAAATCTGCAGGACACCGGCCCTCCAGGAACAAGTTTGGTGACCACTGCCCTAGACGATCTTAATTCAGCATTTCTACGATTCTGCCAATCATATTTTCAAGTTCAGGAGAGAAGCAAAGATGGCTGCACAAGTCTTCACATTGCTTTATATACGTTGTTCAGCAACATGGACACCAATTTTGTTCAGTGGTGTTAAAAGAGTCACATACTGTAAGTTCTGTCTTAATGTAATGATGTATTTGGGGCTGTGAAATCACAAGTGATGTGAGCTGGTTGTGACCTGTTACCACAGAGAGGGTGGTATTTAGTGTCTGTTTAAGTCCACAATTTCAAGTCTATAGCAACGAAATTTAGCATTTTAACCAACAGTAGACCTACGCATAATATTATTATAGTTTTTACTGTATGTTTAAGAAATAACCATAATAATAGCCATCTCATATTAACCTTTATTTTACATCTACAGAATCGTGAGAATATCGTGATCTTTATATTAAGCAAAAAAATCACAATGCTCATTTTAGCCAGAATTGTGCAGCTCTAGTGTCAAGACATTTGTGCTGCCCATTACATTACAAACCACAGGAGAGGGCAAGTTCTTCAGCAGGATAACACTCCTTCTCATACTTCAGCCTTCATATCAAAGTTCTTGAAAGCAAAGGTGGTCAAGGTGCTCCAATATTGGCCAGCCCTGTCACCAGATATAAACATTATTGAGTCTTGATACTAGAGCTGCACGATTCTGGCTAAAATGAGCATCGAAATTTTTTTTGTCTAATATAAAGATCACGATATTCTCACGATTCTGTAGATGTAAAATAAAGGTTAATATGAGATAGCTATTATTATGATTTTTTCTTAAACATACAGTAAAAAACTATAATAATTTTATGTGTAGGTCTACTGTTGGTTAAAATGCTAAATTTCGTTGCTATAGACTTGAAATAGTAAGATGGAGGCATTGAAGATGAATTCAAAGAATCTTGATGAACTTTGGGAGTTCTGCATGAACGCTTTCTTTGCCATTCCAGATGACTTTATTAATAAGTTATTTGAGTCACTGCAGAGATGTATGGATGCAGCTAATGGGGGTCGTACACAATATTCATTGTTTTTCCACTGCACCATGACTTTTATATTCTGTACAGTACATTATTTCTGTTTGACTTCTTCTACGTTTTCTCTCCCAGTTTGGCTCTGTTATGGTACCACACCGTGGTTCAACCGTTCTTCGCTTTAGATGGCTCAGATTCACGTGCTGGGCTCCTGGAGGCCAAAGCCATCCTTCAGAAGAAGGCCATGGTTTACCCAAACTCCTCTCTCTTCATCTTCTTCAAGGGACGCGTGCAGAGATTAGAGGTGAATTGAAACTAGAGCTTGAAAATCGATTGTGTAATTGAAATAATGGTGCGGTTTATGCTTCAGCGATTATGTGTAATTACTATGTTACTGTCTTTAAGTAGTGGGAGTGTTGAAGACGATAAAAGGTATCCAAGGCCAACGGTTAACATATCAAACATCTTGAAAACTAATTTCAGACTGCCTGCAGTGTCGAGCTGACATTAGACTGCTGCTAGAGGAAAACAAATGCTCTTTTGAGAAAGGATGGCAGGGTTTCATGTGGCCTGACTTAAATGAGACTACAGGGATGTGGTCGAGAAAAAGCAATTGAAAGGAAAGCCAGCCAATTATAAGATTCATTACAGAATTGCGGGTACATTTAAAGCATTTCCATTTAATTTTTCTTAAACTGGAATGATATACAACTAGTGTATAATTGACAGTATTTTTTATGTAAAATGTGAAAAGGGAACATTTGATTCTGTTACTAATTGTTGTTTAACTTATTGTTAAACATTTTAAACCACTAACAGAGTTGACACGGTCACCATTTTGTGCTTTAGCTCAAGATGCTAACCTCAAACTAGATACCACATGTCATGTCTAAAACAAATTTGTATGTATTTTGATATTATTGTTTTTAAAAAGTCAATGAGATATTTACTGAAATATCACAGTAGCAGAGTTGACGTATACTTAATCTACTGTTGGTGTATCCTATACAAATGAATGAGAGAAGAATACTGACATTTCTTCACAGCGTCACATGCTTTTTCTATCAGTGCTTAAAAGATTGTTATAACCTCTTTATAACAGGTGTAACAGAGTTGACCAGAACATAGTGGCAGAAAAAAAAAAAAAAAAAAAAAAATATATATATATATATATATATATATATATATATATATATATATATATATATATATATATATATATATATATATATATGAGATTACAAATGATACATAAAATAAGTATTTCATGCAAATAAACTTAAGTAATAACAAAAAGATAACAATTAGATAAATATTATTACTTAAATAGAGACAGTCTAAATTTCTATAAATACACATACCTGTACAAACATTTTTAGAGATCACTTTATATAATTTTTGTCTTATTCTACTTTTTAGCTATATCTGTGTATGATATACACAAAGCAACTGTAATTATATCAGTATTAGGAGTAATTGTATTATGTTGATAAGTTCAAATGTTTATTATATTTTAATCATAGTTATAAATGATTTATTCTATATAGACAATGGTCATGCAAATCTAATTGGTCATTTAATCACTGCCCATAATATATGCTATATAAATTATATATAATTTTTGCTCTTTTTCAGTGCCAAATCAACAGTGCGCTGGCATCATTTCAGGATGCTCTGGAGTTCGCCTCAGACCAAAGAGAGATTCAACACGTGTGCCTCTATGAAATCGGTACAGACTTGTAATCAGCTTACTAGCTGTATATCGGCACTGGTGGAAGGCGTGTGTTAGTGTCCCACCAGTGACAATATATAGCCATATTGCACTGCTACGAGTGTGATATTGCAATCATACAACAGTTTGACAGCATAATCGTGTGTAAGAAGAAAATCAAACACAGAGTCTCAAAATCCTTTCTTTCGCCATTCCTTCACATCTGCAGCTGACGTCAACAGCAGAAACCGTTGCTTATTCAACGTCATTTTAGAGCTAATATTTGAATGATTCTCTAGCATAATATCTAAAGTGATGACAAAACAGGTTATTTTGATGACATTTTAAGATTTTAAGGCTGTAATGCCATCAGTCTAGAGACATTTCACAGTATTTCTCATTTGCAATCGGGATATCACAATAATTAACCCAGAAAAAGCCAAAACAACACAAAGACTACCATATGACTGTTGTGTTTGCAATGAGGAAAAACCCTGAACACATGCAGAATTTTCTTCTTTCTGTCTTTTTACTGAACTAGTCTGCAGTAACAGTAGACTCATTAGAAACAGATGACCAACCAAAAAGTGACTCTGTGTTATACATAGAGTGGTCAACACAAAATGCATACATTTCTGATATGCAAGTCCCATCTCACACTCAATACACTATAATTACTATGGTATAAATGCAGCACTACAACATACAAAAGAGAGGGAGTTTGATTTAGAATGTTACTTACCAGTTTAATAATCATTTGATCAGATGTTGTTAGAAATTACATTGAGTTTTCACCTCTAAGGACTCATTATTATTACATCAACCGTCTTTGCTCTGCTCATGACAGGCTGATAAATCCCAACGCGCTGTATCTTCAAAAATATAAATATTTCAAATAGGCACTATCCTTATAAATAAAATGCATAGTTGCCATCTAAACTTCTACATTCTCACCTCAAAAGCCTCAAAAGTATACTATGTTGTCCAACAGCAGCAATATTTGTCAAACTGTAGGGAGCTTATTCATTTGCTGTCACTCTATGTGGGCGGAGTAATACACAAGTTTGAGGAGGTTGTACGAGTCCTGTTATTACGGAATTATCGCACGGCTATCAGCCAATCAGATTCGAGAACCAGACAGAACTGTTGTAAAAATAAATATATATGTTTATATATATATAGTTTTACCTAAGATGAAAAGTACCTAAATTAACTATATTTTTGGTTGTTGTTTTTTTTTTGTTAACCCATTAAAGATGTTTTGAAGAAGCTTGGTAGTAATTGACTTCTATGGCAGGAAAAACAAACTATGAAAGTCAATGCCCACCAGTATCCAGCATTCTTCAAAACATCTTCTTTGTTCAACAGAAGAAACTGAAGGGTGAACTATCCCTTCAAGAACAGTGAATAATTCATTGCTTTCTGTGTGTTGTGTCTGTTCAGGATGGTGCAGTATGATCGAAATGAGTTTTGAAGATGCCTTCAGGTCATTCGAGCGGCTGAAGAACGAGTCCCGATGGTCACAGTGTTATTATGCTTACCTCACCGGAGGTCAGATCACACCCTTTCTCAAACTCTCTCATACATCTCTATGAAATGAGCCATTTATTAACAACTTTTCCATCTCACAGTATGTCAGGGGGCTTCTGGAGATCTGGAGGGAGCCAAGGGGGTTTTCCGAGACGTCCAGAAGCTTTTCAAACGCAAAAACAATCAGATTGAGCAGTTTGCATTGAAAAGAGTGAGCTTTCTGCTTTAAGTAGTTTCACTTAAACATTCATAGATAAAAGGAACATTACAAAATGCTGTTTTTAGACTGATGAGTTTAAATCTAGCAGTTTAAAGACATACAAACTCATGGCTATAATGTAATTTTTGTATAGCAGTTTGTAGATTCAATTATTGATATTAAACATTAAATACTAATATATTACGCTTATGCAATGATATTGAATGTTTGTTTTAATTGCCATTTTGTTTTTATAATTGCAGTTACTGAGTTGTAGCTTGTTTTACAACGTAAAATCAATATTTAAATGTTGATTGTGTGATATATTTGTAGCTATTATATAACTAGAAAAGTAAAGTTTGTAGACAAACTTTATGGTGTCTTGAGAGCCTCGTCTGAAAGTTTAAAGTGGTCACAAAGTTTAAATAATTGAAGTAGTTTAAGAAGTTTGAAACAGTCGGCATAGAGAGATAAATGCATGTTGGCATGTTCTATTATGGATTGGCATGTTTCTGGCTAGGCTGTTAAAAGGGGGTTCTGAGTGGTTGCTAGGCAGTTGCTAAGACGTTGCTAGTGTATTTTGACTGATTGTTAAGGCGTTGCTTTGTGGTTGATAAGGTGCTCTGAATGGTTGCTAGGCAGTTGCTTAAGTGTTGCTAGGGTGTTCCAGGTAGTTGTTAAGTGGTTGCTAAGCTGTTGCTAGGTGGTTGCAAGTTGTTGGTATGCGGTTGCTAGGGGGTTCTGAGTAGTTGCTAAGGCATTGCTAGGGTGTTTTATGTGGTTGCTATGGTATTCTTAGTGGTTGCTAAGGCAGTGCTAAGCAGTTGCTTATTTGTTGCTGGGCGGTTTCTAGGGTGTTCTGGGTGATTGCTAAGGTGTTGCTAGGCGATTGCTAAGTTGTCCTAGGTCAGTGCTTAGGTGTTGCTTGGTGGTTGCTAGGGTGTTTTGAGTGGCTGCTAAGGCCTTGCTAAGGTGTTGCTAGGTGGTTGGTAGGGTGTTCTGAGGGGTTACTAAGGCAATGGTAGGCGGTTGCTTAGATGTTCTAGGTGGTTGCCATGGTGTTCTTAGTGGTTGCTAAGGCATTGCTAGGCATTTGCTTATTTGTTGCTAGGCAGTTTCTAGGGTGTTCTGGGTGATTGCTAAGGTGTTGCTAGGCGATTGCTTAGGTGTTCTAGGTCAGTGCTAATGAGTTGCTAGGTGGTTGCTAGGGTATTTTGAGTGGTTGCTAAGGCCTTGCTAGATGGTTGCTAAGGTGTTGCTAGGTGGTTGCTAGGGTTTTCTGAGTGGTTGCTAAGAAATTGCTAGATGGTTGCTAAGGTGTTGCTAGGCGGTTGCTAGGTGGTTGCTAGGGTGTTCTAAATGGTTCCAAAGCAGTTGCTAAGTAATTTTTAGGTGGTTGCTAAAGTGTTGCTAGGCGCTTGTTAAGGTGTTGCTAGGTGGTTGCTAAGGTGTTCTGAGTAGTAGGCAGCTGCTAACATAAATTAGCATAGTTCTAGTAAGAGTTAGCATTCTGCTAGCATGTTTCTAGTATAAACTAGCATGTTGTTGGCATTAATTTAGTATGAATACGCATGTTTGAAGTATGATTAGTATGTTTCTAGTATAAATTGGTACAGTATGTTGTTAGTATGTCCAATGTGAAGTCAATGGCAGTATTTTACAATGAAAGTATATGGGACAGTTGCTAGTGTGCCGTAAGTGGTTGCTAGGGTGTGGCTAGTAAATTGAAAGGTCATCAGCGATTGGCAGATTGGTAGTCTGAGTTAAATGAGCCCAAACTTAAGTCTGTCTGACCGTCTGGCGCAAAGTTATGAGATTTCAAAATCTGGTCCAAGGTTAAGTCAATGGGATTTTTTTTTTTTCCGGGTCAGTTTTGGGTAAACCATAAGTTAGAAAAGATATTGCAACTTAATTCAGTTTAGTTTGGAGTTAGATTGGTGTTTGTAGTATGAGCGGTCTAGGAGGAGATGTGTTAAGAAGAAGAAGACGGAAGAATATTAAGTTTATGTAGTATAACAGTATGTTGGCTTTCTCATGCCACCATAAGAACTATACTAAATGGGTTTATTAAAATAATTATGGAAATATGTTGAATCTATTAAGCTATCATTATAAAAACAATGTACATTAAAAATATTTATATTCTGCTGTTCTTTCCTTACTAGGCAGAGAAACTGAGGAAAGTGTCTTTAACGCGAGAGCTGTGCATCCTGGGAGTAGTGGAGGTGCTGTACTTATGGAAAGCTCTTCCGAACTGCTCTTCCTCTAAACTCCAGCTTATGAACCAAGGTAAGGAGAGTGTTGAGAGTGTGCGTGAGTGTTGAGCGTCTCTTTCCCTCATGATAACAGTGATGTTGCTGCTGTTTTCAGTGCTGCAGGGGCTCGACGACCAGTCAAGCATAGGCCTGAAACACCTGCTGCTCGGTGCTATTCAGAAATGCCTGGGAAACATTAAAGACGCTCTGCAGGTTTGTTCGCTCCTATATGCTGAGTTGACAATGATCACGTCACTAGCGCTAGATTACTCGGGGGATGTTTTTGTCCCTTTTCAAATTTTCCACTTGAGTTGAATTTTCTAAACTTCGAGGTAGCCAAAAAAGCATTTTTGGAACAAATGCAGCAACAGAATGCAGATTACAGCGCATGTTTTAAGCATATTTTGTTGATTCTCTCATATTGTGTGTTAATTATTGCTGTTGTTTGTTTTTGCTGATAGTCATTCCAGCTGGCAGCGCAGGATGAATACGGTCGTCTCAATAACAGCTACGTTCAGCCCTATGCCTGCTACGAGCTGGGCTGCGTCTTACTTGCTAAACCTGAGGTAAATCAATATATCCTCAAATTTCAACTGGCTAAACTACATTTAAATATTTCTTCATTTCTTTGTGTAGCTGATTTGATTTAAACTGACTCTCATTAAAAAGATATGAGAGGATTCGTTGTTAACTCATATTTTTCCCCTCCAAGACTTTGAGTAAAGGAAGGTCATTGCTGCTTCAGGCCAAGGTAGGATATGTTTAATGCTACTATTACCTGACTGTATACATTTTCAAATATTTTACAACACATTGTTTTAAACCTAAAAGTTTCTATAACTATTGTGTTTTTGCCCTGATTACAGTACATCATATTTTACTAGTTATTTTAGAAGATACTAGTATTCAGCTTAAAGTGGAATTGAAATGGTTAATTAGGTGAAGTCATTGGACAACACTGGTCTGTTGTGCAACCAATCGAAAAAAATAATTGATAATATTGACCATATTGACCTGGAAAATTATTTTAAAAACTTTAATTACAGTCAGTCTAAAAGAAATAAGACTGAAATAGAAAAATAGAACAGAAGAAAAAACATTAAATACCGTAAATTCCTTGCACTTTTAGGGACCGATCACACCGAACACGCTTTTACGTTTCACAAACGTGAGGTGCACTATGCTGCCTTTTTTGTTGACAAAAAAGCACACCATGCTTCTTTTTTTCTTGTCACGAAGGAAAGAACTGTATCAGCTGCGTATTGTGTGCGAGTGTTGCTATGGATATTGTTATAATTGTGATATTTAATAATATTGATATTCAAGATTTGTAAAGTCATAAAGCTCTGGATAACTTGAAACAGCGACAACTAGTCTCTCTGGCTGCATTCGAAACCACATACTTCCATACTATACAGTACGCTTTAATCAGTATGCGAGCCGAGTAGTATGTCCAAATTCATAGAATTCGAAAATTAATATGCAAGAAGTACCCGGATGACGTACTACTACCAACGAGATTCTGAAGTGTGTATCCTTTGCACGCTGCACTATCCCATGATGCCCCGCGAGAGAATTCATGAATGGGAGTGAAGCGACGCAACTGGGTAGGTCACATGACCATGACAAAATGGCTGATGTAGAACATTTAAATTCCATTTATACTGCTCACATTCAAACGGTTTAGAACATGCTTTTCTAACGGCCGAGTAGTACATTTAAATTCATATGCAGTACCTACTGAGTAGTGGACGCAGCCTCTATCTTTTAAAGTCTCCATAGTCGTCTTGACAACACACACTGCTGTCAGCTCAACAGAAACTCTGCCTCTTCTTTCATTTGATTGGATAATGAAAGAGGCGTGACTGACGTAACACGCTTTTTCCAGTCAGAGTAACTTTATTCAACTGCATGTGCACAGCGCGTAACAGCAAAAACGCGTTGAAACATAAGCAGCGCAGAAAACACTCACAGGCATTAGTAAACCATTCAAAAGATGCGCCTCTCAATGCAAAAAGCGTGTTTGGTGTGATCGGCCACTTAAACAACACTTGGGAAATAGATGCATGCACACATACATTATATATTTTTGTTAATTTTACAGAAAAAAAGCCACGTCCAGCTGAAAATACTAATGAAAAATTAATACATCTAAATTAAATTACATATAAATAAAAAAAATATCTAACTATACAGTTTTGAACTATACAGTGTTTTTAGCAAAATTATATTACACATTTTTCCACTATAAATGCAAGTGTGCTCATTGATTTAAAGTGGACCTATTATGCCCCTTTTTTACAAGATGTAAAATAAGTGTGTATGTGACGTTTCAGCTCAAAAAAGCCCACAAATAATGCTTTAGAACTCTTTGAAAGTGCCTCTTTTAGGCTTTGATCCTAATTGTGCTATTTTGGTGACTGTCGTAATTCGAATGAGTAATTCACTGTGGTAATTCAAATGAGATTCTGCTCCCAGCCCTCTTTTTGAAAGATGGTGGAGCTATAAATGGCTATGTGTTAGCATAGTGGCAGATTCAAAAACAAGATGGCTGCCCTATGCTAAGGTGGGAGAGCTCATTAAATATTTTTCCACAATTTGAAGCTGGTTATATTCACAGACTGTTGCCATTCAACTGTGTTTAAACTCCTTATAAAAGTGATTTTTGCATAATAGGTACATTTAACATCTCGTATTCTGTAATTTCAGTTCACTCATTACCTTTGCTTACAGGAGAATTACGCCGGTTACGACTTCGAGAACCGGCTGCACGTGCGAATCCATTCTGCCCTCGCCTCTATAAAGGAAGTGGTCCCTCACTGACCCCGTCCCGCCTCAGAAGTGGACCGTACTTTGACTGCTCCTGTCCAGCACTTTGAGCCGAAAGCCATCTGAAGCAATCCTGCTTTCCTAGAGGCAGAAGCTGAACGTCAGCGGACTTTCAGAGGACGCGTTCGCCAATATTTTCAGCCTGGTATTGAAGGAAAGTTCACTATTCATGTAGCCATTGGTCCCAGTGACATCTGATTTTCACATTTCCACCCACACCATAGTGCAGAAAAACAAGGATTTTGGATCGATCAGAAGTGCAGAAAAGTGTAACGCTCACAAAGAAACACGATATAGCGAGTAGATCAATTGTTAGATCCTTTCCCATAGCTTGCGCAGTCATACTAAACACATTAGCATGGGGATAGACCTGTACGTTAGATGACGGTAACGCATAAACATGAAATATATATTGTGTAACCCTTTATCTCAAAGAAATAATATCCAAACTTACCTGTATGTCAAATCAAGATTGTATGCGCCGTAGTAAAGTCTAGAGAAGTGATCGACTGATATGAGACTTGAATAAATTAATAAGTCCAATTTGCATAAATAACGAGTTCAATCAATGATATAGAGAGCTGGAAATAACATTTGTACATTTATTATTGGTAACATCTTATAATACAGTTGTTCTTTACACATTACATTTAAGTATTATAGTAATTACATTTTTTTATAAATGCATCAATGCCACAAATGCATAGTAATATTACTAGCACTTAATGGTAAAGTTACAATAAAGCTATATATAGGCACAATCTCTTGGTAAAAGGGGATACATGTATGTGTTAAAATATAACATTTTACACTATATATATATATATATATATATATATATATATATATATATATATTTATATTTATATAATGTGTAAAATATATATATGAAATTGTGAAAAAATATGCGGCGTAGACAAATTTAATGAAATATTTTTGTCTATATATAAAAATATTGTGTATTCTATTAAGAGGGAGATAATTTTACTGAATTGGATTCAATTTTACATAAAAGGATATGTAATTACAGTCTGTCTATAGTCAATTTTACACTCTAATGATTAGTAATAGTTTTAATAATTTTACTAATGCTATTTTTTCTGTTCACCAAGGCTGGATTTACTTGAACAAAAATACAGTAAAATGGTTAAAACAATTTCATATGACTGAAATAAATTTCAATTCTGGAACAAATTACTTTTAAATATATTCAAATAGTAAACAAAGATGAAGTTTCAGTGTCCTTAAAGCAGTTTTCAGTGTCACCTGATCTTTTTTTAAAGTGCTGATTCGTTACTGAAGAGGCATTAATTATTTTCTTATTCTATCTTATGTATCTTAATCTTATTCGCCAACATTTAAAAGTTCAAATTAATTCATTTTCCATAATATTAATATTTACTGTATTTTAGCTATTTTTCCCTTTTAAATAAATGCAGCTTTGGAGAAAAGTAAAAAAAAAAAAAAAAAAACTGCCAAAGATCACTGTTTGAATCCGTCTGCATGATATATCGGTCTATCACTACTCTAATCGAAGAGATTTTGCAGGTTAAAACGCATCGTATTTACATTTGGCTATATTTATAATATGCATTGCCAAGATCCATTTTAACACTAGACCTCATGTTTATTTCATCATTTCATCTCATTTGTATTAAGTCTGAGAAAAGCCTCATATTTGCCATAACTCTCATGTCCTCTGCTGGTCAGCAGATATAAACCATGCACAACTACCTACTGGTCTTCCTCTGGGCCAGAGGAGGTTAATTTATTTCGTTGTTGACGAGTCGTACGTTGTATTTATTTCTTACTTTGTGCCAGATGTTCTGTAATTAATATTCTCGGCCCAAGTTTATCATTAATAGACTTTTAACAGCACATCAGTAACTCTTTTTTTTTGATAATGTTGCCTCTGAATAACTTGAAAGAAATTAAGTTGGTGTATATATTGTGAAATTGTTGTGGAACTTGCACCTTCTGATTTCCTCAGCCCCGTCGATGTAATGCGTCTGTCCCTCCGATGGGCTTTATTCACTACTGTACATGATTCTCCACCGATCTGAAGCTCAAATCCTGTCTTCACTGTGAAACGTATCAATATTGGATGTTCAGGGTATTTAAACCTTGTGAGGACAATAGAATTAGGAAATGTAATTAATAAAATAACGAAACTTGCCATTAAACATGCTGCGTGAGTTCGGTGTGTTCTTTGAATTAAGACATTTTGTGTTATTTAAATTAATAAAGTCAAATTGCAAGAAAATTTTAATGTAAATGATAAAACACTGAACTGCTATGGCGTCAATTTTAACCATCACTGTTTTTCAAATGTACATAACAGACTTTCAATAAAACATTCAAGCCTCCAAGTCATTGACTTTTACTAAAAATGCCTTATTTACAATTCCCAGATATTAAAAGTTAGATATAAATAGGTTAAAAAGTGGGACGATTACACCTATAAGCAGTTCAAATTTACCCACTATAAAAATGCTTGTATTTATGCACCGCTTATGTTTGAAATTACTCACCAATGACTTTTACTAATTCACTCACTGAATTAGTGGTTATAATAAATGAATAAAGTCACAATGACGAAGGCGATTTGTAGAGCTATTACAAACAAAATGCAATGAATGATGGAGAGTCTGGAGAAAATAAGTTATGCAGCAGAGTATGATGGCTCAAATTGAGATATTGTAACCTACTCATAACCTACTCCTAAAATAATCCTGTTATCCTAAAAAATAATGTCATGAGTCTAGACACTTTTTGTTTGCAGTGGCGAAAAACAGAGAAATAGTATGTTAGCAATTTCTAAACATAATTTTAGCAGGGTGAAATTGAATCTTTTTCTTGTTTGAAACTATATAAAACACTTTATACAGCATAAAATAATCGAACACGTTTTTTTATTTGTATTTTTATTATTCAGATGTAATTACAATGTGTAAAGGTACAGTTCACTCAAAAATAAAACATGTGTCATCTTTGAAGACTGAAGAATGTCGTCCACTGACTTCCATAGCATTTTGTTTTCCTATTGACCACCAGTTTTCAACATTCCAACATCCAAAATAATGGTTTGGAACCAGGTGAGTGTCAGTAAATGAACATTTTCAGTGAACTGTCCCTTTAAAGTCTTTTCTGTACAGATCTATTCTGTTAGACACCTGTAGGCATATTTGTTTTCAATAAGATAAATCTCTAAAAAAAATATACACTCAACAACATGTAACACTCTCAAACACAATGTAAATTCATATAGGGTTAAAAGTAGAACTCATCAACCGAAAGCTCAATGTTCCTGTTCAAGACCAACTTAAAAAAAACAGACGAATAACAGACTCCAAATAAATACATAAAGTAAGATTGTTATATTATTAAATAATATAACAATTTATTAGTCAACATGTGAACTCTTTAAATCAACATCACAACAAAGCAGCAGGAATGCACTATCCCAATACTGAATTGTAAATAGAGACTTTGAAGTGTGAATTTGCATATTAAAAGTTAACATTTAAATGTAACAGTCATTTTTAGAACCTGTCAGGTTTTTTATCACAGTATGGAAGGAATGTATGAACTTTCTAAATTTAGTAAACAGAAAACAAAATGGTCTCAGACCTGAGTCTTGCTGGACACCTTAAATCTACCATTGTTAAATCCTTATTTCATTTTCTCGTCGGACTAAAATAGCATATTATTGCCATTACAGTACCCTGATATTGCTATGGTATATTAAGGCCAGCTTGATGTAATCCTCATCATCATATGTCACAATCTGCAATTCCTAAAAATCCTTGATTGTTGCATGTTTATTTAAATATGAACATTTGTAAAAACTAAAATCAGCTCTGGGTGAATTTAAAACAGCTCTTGCTTAACAAACTATACAGTTGAAGTCAGAATTATTATTAGTATTACTTGCCTAATTACCCTAACCTGCCTAGTTAACCTAATTCCCCTAGTTAAGCCTTTAAATGTCACTTTAAGCTGTATAGAAGTGTCTTGAAAATGATCTAGTCAGATATTATTTACTGTCATCATGGCAAAGATCAAATAAATCAGTTATTAAAACTATTAATGTTTAGATATGTGTTGAAAAATGTCTCCGTTAAACAGAAATTGGGGTAAAAATAAACAGGGAGCCGAATACTTCTGACTTCATCTGTATATAATAATTGAAATGTTGGCCTAGCCAACCAGTGCCGAGTTGGTTTTAATAGTTATAGTAGATGTAGTTTTTACTATACAGTTTATCAATGACAGTGCAAGATTTTTGTACAGGTCAGTATATGTCCGGTACTTGGGAATAATCACGGTCCCAGTAGCTATTGGAGAACAGCCAGTCCTGAGAGCCATTGTGTGGATTCGGACCTTGATGAAACCACCTGTTTTGTGGAACAAGAAAAGGCTGTTTAGCAAACATGTAACAGCGCTGATAGTTGATCTAGTTTTGTTGCATGGATTCATTCAACTCAAAAACCAAACATGCATAAAAAATGCTTCTTTGACCCCCATTAGAATAGTCTCATTCTTAGTTCAACAGACTGTGTGGAGCATTTGGCTGTAACACTTAAACCGGGAGTAAAGTTACACCATGCTCTCTCAGTAGAAGGCCAGAGAGCTCTGTTTACATCGTCTTATTCCACATTAAAAATAGATCGTCTAAGGGGGACATAAAAACCCAGTCCTTTGGTGTGAAGTGCCATTAGCATATGAAATCTAAAAACAACTAACTTATTTTAGTATTAAATATCCTTGTGTCCAGCCAATTTCACAAACAATTACTGTTTAAAGTTGTTTTATTGTGTTTTAGAAATTTATTGTGGGCTCATGACAAGCTACAAAATTTGCTATAACTGTACGCATACGCTAATGTTTTTTTCACACTACTGTAGAATCATATTAAAAACGTATACAGTTTATTTTCATTTGTAACTTTTCCCCGGTAGCACAGATTTGTGAGATACAATGTTACAACTAAAGAAATGACAAGTTAAATTTTTCATTCAATTAAAAAGAAACCAAAACGGACTGAGCCTTGCAAGATACACATATTCTAGGCTTTTTAATAAATCCAAGGGAATTTCATGGGAATAATACTATGTATCAAGGCTAGCTGCAAAACTGTTGGCAATCTCCACATTCATAAAGACCTAGGTTGTTTAATTTTCTTTTTATTTGCATTAACTTGTTTATGATTTTATCACCTGCAGGGCGGATTACTGTAATGGACTCCTCACTGGCCGATTATTGTGTTTCATTCCAAACACAACACAGCAGGAATTAACACTGGGCAATTTGTCTTAAAATCAAAATCTCGATTAATTGAACATTTTAGCTCGATTACAATTAATAAATATTTTTTATTTGTTTAATTATCTTTTTTGCCCTCTCTGTGCCGCCTACACTCTTCAACGCTAGCAAGCTGACCAATCACAAAGCTTGTGCTATGCGTCGTCAAAATGTGTGGCTACATTTTTTGAAAGGTCAGCATCAGACACAACGAGGGGTATGCGAACATTTGAAGGCTGCGCCAGACCATACGCTGCGTTTAACACAGAAGTGTAAACAGAGCGGGGTCAGGTGACTTCACACGCGGTAGGGAAAATAATTGAAAAAATTGACTTGAAAAAGTTCTATCGATTATTCAGTTAATTTCCGATTAATCACCAAGCTCTAGCGGGAATGTTGCCAACTATAGAAAAGCAAGTTCTTTATCTATTTTCAAATTAACAAAAAACTAAACGAACCCTGAATAGAGCCTTGGGGGTCAGCTATGATCTATTTTTACTAACAAACCCTTAAATCAAATTTAAATGATGGTAGTGTTAAAAAAAATTTATATCAAAAGGCCAATAGCTACGTTTCCATCCACCTATTTTTCTGCACATTTTGGATGTGAGCATAAAATATGATTGATAGAAACGTCAAGATGTAAATACGTTTTGAAAATGCACATAACAGAGTAGGATAAACTTTTTATTTGATAAAAAAAGATGCGCATAAACAATGATGGAACTACTTTTACCGAACAAATTCCAGTATGCACATTAAAAAAGGTCATGTGATTTTGTAATAGAAGATCATGTGATGAAGAAAAATGAATTGTCAAGAGCGTCTGTGCTCCACGTCTCATGCCTTTAAACGTCACCACGCATTCACTGCATGTCGGCATTTGTCTTTTGAGGCGCAAGTCATTTATTTAATAAGGAAAAGACTTAAGCAGCTTCTCCTACTACAGCAAATTCCAATTTTAGTGTTGATATTTCGCGTCAGCTAATCACGAAGTGACGATTTTGTTCACTTTGACTACTTGCATGAAAACGCTGCTTTATTCGCATATCTTTTACACAACATTCCAGTTTTGCACATAATTTGATTTGCATGTTTTGATGGAAACAAAGCTAATGATATATGAACTATGAAGAATTAAAAGTGTTCTAGTTGTGTTTTACATCATAAATGCTCAATCTAATAATCCTTAAAAGCTCACACACACAGAAAACAAGTGTTTTACCATTATTACAAGTCTATTCAACCAATGTTGTTCTACCACAATTAGTCCATCCTATGCTATAATTATAGACTGTGGTTACCCACTTGCTCAAGGTAAATAAATTATGAAACCGCAGAAGAAGCTGAATGTAAAAGTCAGAGCAACAAAGCGAGCATCAAACCTGGGGCCTGAAGCGATGTTTCTGCTCACCGCAGCAAAGTCAGAGGACAGATGATAATGCCAAAAGAAACAAAGGAGGAAATGGGGTTAAATGCAAAGAACAATGAACCAGGAGTGCTGCTAAATGTCAAGCGGTTACTTTAGTAGCAATTTGGTGTGCATAAAACTATTTATAATGCAGTTAGTCACAAGCAAACCCAAATACCAGTAGTTACTACAGTTATATTTTACACACGTTTGCCAACCCTTCATAAACTAAATTGTTTGCTGATTATTTAGTACAAACAACAACTGTAGTAACTTTTGGAGATGTAAAAGTGTGAAAATGTGAAGCCGAAATGAATTATTTCTGCACCTCGCCTTCCACTCATCATCTGACTTGGAGCGGTTCTTACGTGCCGCCCTCTGTTTCTCCTCCAGTCTCTTCTTCTCTTCGCTGGCCATGTCTGAGATGATCCAAACAACATAAAGTTAATATCTGAATATTTCAATGCAGCAAACAAAGTGGCACATGGAAACAAGCATACCGATGTCTCCGTTCTCCATCGCTCGGATATCTGGCCTTAGTCTGCTGTCCGTTTTGGGGATGACCGATTCAATCTCTTTATCCAGCTCATTGAGTTGCAGGGCAAATGAAGTGAAGCTGTACATCTTTTATGTGCCAATAAAAACAAAACAAAGATACAAAACACTTTACTCAACATAATCTGTCTCAATGTTAAGTACCACAAAATGAAATTGCTTGTTGGAGAAAAGTAAAGCTTTATAGTAACACAAGCTTCTGCACTATTTAATCCTTGAAATCGTTTAAACATTTTAATTGTCATTTTGTTATTTATTGTGTTGTCATGGCACGCTACACATTTTGATATAACTCTAGACAGAAAATGCTAGTTTTACACTAGAGTCTCTCCATGGCCTGGCCCCTGAGTATATTTCTGAGCTAAATAAAATACACCAACCAACTCTTCTCTCTAAAGATCGACTCTATTTGCAAGTTCTGCGATCATGCCTGAAATGTCGAGGTGATAGAGCTTTTTGAGTAGCAACTCCAAGACTTTGGAACGATCTTCCACTCTCCTTAAGAACATCTCCAACTTTGAGTCTTTTCAGAGGTCACTGAAAACAGGCTTATATTCTTTAGCTTTTAATAATGTGTTTTCAGTTTAAGTATTTTGGTTGTATGTTGGCATGTATTATGTGTTTTCATGTAGAGCACTTTGGTACCCATTGTGGTTGGTTGAAAGTACTCTAGAAATAAGTTGAGTAGAATCATTTTAAAAACGTATACTGTTGATTTTCATGACTGTACTATTAAAACCTTTGTTTTTCCATGGTAGGACAGATTCGTGGAATACACTAGTTGGTGTTTATGTACTTTTAAGTCATTACCTCGAGCTGTAGATTTTGTTAAAGGGGTGATACAGAGTGTATTTTTAAGGCTTGGTTGTGTTTTTGGGGTGCAAAGCAATGAGTGTTTATGCTTCATTTGTAGAAAATTACATTATTTGTTCATATATCTTTACTTCGATTAAAAGATACTCAGCTAACATGAAAACAACTATCGTATTTACAAGTTCCTCTGCAAGGTTCTTCCTCAGGAGGCTCTGATTGGTCTGCTAACATATTGTGCTGTGATTCGCAGATCAGCTCCACATCACCAGGAAGCATCTCTGCTATAACATTAACATCTGGCCACACCCCTTCGCTGCTCTAGGAGTATGCACGTAACCTAAAGAGTTTATGACATCATGACCGTGGATGTAATTTTTTGTAGTCCCCAAACTTCATTGGCTGTAGGCTTACAGCTAACTCTGTAAAAGCCAATGTCTCCCTTTGTGTTGAACTTAGAGCATATTCCATTCAGAATTGTTGTTTATGTTCACAAAGCTACATTACACAACAACTAAAGTTTAAAAGATAATATCGTAGTGGACCACCCCTTTAAAATTCTTAAATATATCCCAATACTGTTATATTTTTATCGTTGGCCACAGAAATTATATAAAGGAGATTGGTAAAATACGATATCTTCTATTTGCTCGACAAATTGATTCAGTCCGACTCAAGTGAGTCGAATCAAGTGATTTAAATCTTCAACATTTAATTCCTTGAAATGAGCTAATAAACCCTGATGATTCTTTTAAAGTAAGTTGATCCCCTAGACCATTGGTGTCCAAACTTAGTCCTGGAGGGCCACTGTCCTGCATAGTTTAGCTCCAACTTCCTTCAACACTCCTGCCTGGATGTTTCTAGTATACCTAGAAAGAGTTTGATTAGCTGGTTCAGGTGTTTACTTAAGGTTGGAACTATAATATGCAGAACACTGGCCCTCCAGGACCGAGTTTGGGCACTCCTGCCCTAGACTACAGGAATGACAAGTAAAATTTTTGGATTGAATAAAACAGAAACTAAAATAGACTCAGCACTGAGCCTTGCAGGACACCCATAATCTACTCTTTTTAATAAATCCGTGAGGGTTTCATGGGAATAATACTATATATAAAGGCCAGCGCAATCTCCACATTCATAAAAACCTAGATTGTTTCATTTTCTTTTTATTTGCATGAACTTGTTCATGATTTTATCACCAGCAGAGCGGATTACTGTAATGGTCTGTTTAGCTGTGCCTTCACTGAATGAGCACTGTGCTACATCCGACAGATCACACTATTATGCCTTTTTCTTTTTAATCTTTTAAGACCTGTTTTTAAACACAATCTGTTTTAATTATTTTTATTATTTATTGTTTTTATTTTTATAATAGTTGTTTCTTTTTTTCCATGTAAAGCACTTTGAATTATTGTGTATGAAATGTGCTATATAAATAAACTTGCCTTGCATTAAAAATGTAATACAGCTATACCTGTGCAGAGTTGGCAGGTCTAGGTGCTATTCTCCAAAGCAGCTGACTTCCTGGGATCACCTCCAGTGAATCTCCACCTGGTTGAGGTGTTTCTTCAGAGTCTGATGACTGAGACTGCCGCAAAACACCACATAAAAAAATTATAAATCATATTAAATGTCATATTCAAATCAAATCATACATGTCTCAGTCATTCAGAAAAACCTGTTTACTGCTTTTCTTCTCTTCTGATGCTTTCTTATCATTCTTCTTGTGAGTTTCGAATGTTGCTGGGTCGACCAAATACATGCACTCCGTCCATTTGCCATACAGCACACATACTTTCTTTTTGCTGTGTGGAATCCACAAATAAACAATATAAAACTAGGCCGTGGCGATGGTGAAGAACATTCATTAGGGTAATTCGACTTACAAGCCACTGACCTCTTATCTAAGATGTAGCCTTCAACCTTATGTAATTCCTTCCCAAAAAGGCCACATGGTTTAAAATTCAGACAACATTTTTCACCAGTTCTGTTGGCAAATACAGTCAATATGACAGCATTAGATATGTTAAACTAGAACAACTACATTTACAGAAGAGTCTCACTGATACCTGTGGTTAATAACCTCAACGTTGCCGTACTGTTCAATCCACAGCTGTCCCACAATGATGTTGTGGACACAACACGTGGGGTTCGTCCATGTGTACGCCTCATTATGCCTGCAACGGGATTAATTTGGTACATTAAAACATGAATATGCTTAGAATGCATAAACATTTCAAAATGTTGATGATTTACCAAATATATTCATAATAAAACTGCTCCTAAATTTACTAATTTACCAAAAAAGTAGACCCAAACCAATTATAAGCAACAAAAACAGTTACTATTGAAAAAAGGTGTCTATTGATATTAATAAACAAATTATTGCACAAATGTTTACTTGGGAAGTTCAAGAGTTATGATGCCCTTAGGTTCAGCCTCCACGCTCTTGCCCCAAAACTTCAGTTTGGGATAGATGGAGCCATGAAACACAAAGTTCTTCTGCAAACCCTCAGCATGGAAGGCGCTGATTGGAGGATGGTGGCTCACTTGTTCAGATATCAGCCGGAAATCAAGATCATCCCTACAAAGTTGAGGGGCATGGTGAATATTCTCAACCGCACAACAGACTGATAAACTCGGACTGCTAAGTGAATAAAAGTCACACTAATGATAACCAAAGTTTTAACAATAGCACATTTACAACGAACACAATGGCTAACAGTATTGCTAATGCTAACAGTAATGTTAACATTTTTACACTTGAAAAAACTAAATAAAACTGCCAATATAATTGATGCATGTAAAAATGTTAGCATTAGTAATGTGTCAGCAATAGTATTTGTGTTGTAAATGTGCTAAGTGTATTTGTGACATTTAGCACATTCGCTAATTTAATGCATTTTTGCTAACATTTTCATGTTTTTTTTTTTTATTTGGAATTTTAATGCTAACCATATATGCTATATGCTAATAATAATGTTACTGCTTTAACTTTCAAAACAGCAAATGTGTAACATTTGCACCTTAGGTGGTAAAATTAAAGCCAACAAATGAACATTCAATCTCTTACCTGACTAACTCGTACGTTTCTCCTAGCAGGGGGTTGAAGGGTTTACCTGTCCTTTCCCATTGAGATGCCACAGCCGATACAGCAAACGCGGCCACACACTGCATAAAAAAACACAGAATTTAATTTATGAATACATATAACATGGAATTGCTTATCAATAGGATGTGGCAAAGATCTTACAGACTCTTAAATGTTTGAAACCGCTAACTATTAGCAAGTGTAGAACTAACACTAATTCTGATGCTAACAAAGGTTTAAAATATTAACATTACTACTATAAGACAATTTCCAATGCTAAAACTGACTGTCTGAATAGCTAAAAAGGCATGTTAAAAACAGCAAGCCACATTAGCAATTGTAACACTAATGCTAATAGTAATTTAAATGCCAATGTTAAAAGTAATGATAATCTTTTATTGTTCAGAACAATAAAGAGGCACATATGCAATGCTAGCTCTCATGCTAACAGTAATGCTAAGCATTTAACATTCCAAACAGCAAAAAACAAAGATCACAGGAGGTTATACATCATACTGTATTTAGTGTTTTAGGGCCAAACCCGTTGTTTTTCACCTTCATTCTCTCAATGGAGTTTTCTGAAGAATTAGCCTGATGGATGAGGTATGTGTGCTCCATATATTCAGTCAGTCTTTGGAGAAAACTGAGCGGTTCATTAAAAATAACTGGCATGGTGATCTTAGACAGCTCCTGAAAGACAGGTGAAGAAAACAAATCCATCAAAATATGGTACTTGGTTGTATTCTGAGATATATAAAAAAAAAAAACAAGACTCTCGAAAGCTCACCATCCCAATGCACTTCCTTAGGATGCTCCAGATACTGAAGTCATTTCTGGAGAACATTGGGGCTGGTAAACTTGTTCTGGAGAATAAAAAAAAAATCATAGTAACTCATCAACTTATCTATACGCGTTTATAACTAAAGGGGACACTATTTAGCAGCTTCTATGAAACACGTCTAGACTTTCGTTATCAGTCAAGTAACGGAAGCTTTATATCTTATTTAGTGAAGCGAGGCCAGTAAACCGATCCATTTCAGAGAGCTCAAGATACAAGAAAACCTGCTGTTTTTGTATTGTAGCTGATAAATGTAAACACAATAATGAGATGTGCTGTAGTTTTGGTATGTACAGGGCTCTGAACTAACTTTTTGTACTGATGCATCAACTTTTTTTCTTGGGTGCACCAGCTCAAAAGTTAGGTGTATCCAAATTTTTGAACACATCGCATTTACCATAGCTCCTTTCATCTTGCACATCTCATAGGTTTAAACCACGACATGGGCCTAATGTGAGTATCTGCTGAACCACAGTCACTGAGCCTATTTTTATTCATTTACTTTTCGTCTGAATGGCTGGTCGCACCTGTGCAACCTCAGATCGAGTGTGACCTAATTTCTCATATACACACACATATATACATATACATATACACACACACACACACACACACACACACACACACACACACACACACACACACACACACACACACACACACACACACACACACACACACACACACACACACATATATATATACACACATATATACACACACACACACATACATACATAGATACATACATACATACATACATACATACATACATACATACATACATACATACATACATACATACATACATACATATATATATACACATATACATATACATACATATACATATATATACATATATATATATATATATATTGTGTGTGTGTTTGTTTATGTCGTTTACGAGTACACAAAATTGTAAGACATGAGTATAACCTAATTGTACACTATTAAGGTAAAGGATTAATCCAAAATGCAAAAAATAAAAATCATACTCAAGTCTTTTGACATTCATATTTTGCAACATGTTTCCTGTAAAGTTTGGGTTTATGGGTAGCAGTAGGGTAAGGCATTATAATAAGCGTTTTTTACAGTAGAAAATACATTACATCTATGGAGAGTCCTTGTAAACCAGATATACATGTATGCATGTGTTTGTGTACATGCATATATACTATAAAAATGAATACATAGCACACTAATATTAATAATTGTTCAATAAAAGCACAATATTATACTAATTAAACTACAATAAAACTAAATAAAATAAAAATGTATATATATTTATTTTACAAGATAATTGATATCAAATCATTTTTGTTAATATACAATATCAATGAAATAATATTTTATTTTATTTACATTTAGATTTATCAATGAAACAATATATTTTAAAGTATTTTATATTATGAACATGATACATTTAGATGTATGATTTTCATATATAATTAAAAATAATCTAACTTTATGAATATGTTTCTATAATACATATTTTAAAAATATATAAATAATAAAATAAAAAAATCTATGATAATATTCTCTAAAAACACTTTTTTTACTTTTCTAGATGTCGAATAAAACAACACCTATAATCGGATGCAGAATCAGTCAACCATCCATCAACAGGCCATCCATCGACATGTCGAGCCTTAAAAGTTCAAATTACGGTGTTAAACTCAGCAGCCTCATCAATCTTTTACTGTTTCATTATGAGCGCCTCTTCTGGCCTCGACTCGCTGAATAATTCACCACAAGATACAAACCAAAACAAAACACAAAGAAGAGATGGCAAAGAAACTCAACAAATGATAACTAAACAGCATTTAATAGATCACAATAGATTGCTTTTATACACGGTTTATTTATAAAAGTTCAGAAGATTTTTTTAACTTAAATGTACAGGTAATTTGTGGTTTGAATTTGAAAGTAAAGTAAAACACTTTATTCATACAACAGGCATTGTTGAGATTTTGAGCTTTTTGGCGGGATTTTCATAAAGAAAACATCTGAAAGACACTTTCTTTTGTCTTACTTTATCTTACTTAAACATTTTTAAATTCCGTTTTAACATTTTTCCCTCCATTTTTACAGCACTTACATTCAACAAACTATATTTGTAATCAAATCTGTATTCTGACGGTTTTAACGGAGGGATTTGTTCAAACAAATGTCCTTTATTCTAAATAACATTTTATTCTAATAATAATGTCGATTTTTTTGTACTTTTGATGCCTGTTTGCTATATTTTCAAAACGACAAAATGGTAAAAAAAATACTTGCTAAAAACTCTCCGTAAAAGCTTTATCCAATGTTCAGATTTTTGTGCTCAAAATTTATGCAAATTAATGCATTACCATAATACAACCTCATTTGCAAATTAAAACAACATTTTGAAAAACTTGCAATGCTATTCGATATTTATTCAGTCAATTTTTAACGCTAATCACCTTTAGTATCTTAAGTTAAAAACACACATTTTGTGATTGCTTAAAATCATACCTGTGTTTCCTCAATCCGTTAACATTGGCCACCTCTTCATCATCCTCTTCCTCTCCTCGACGCTCTTCTTGGGACATCCTGCCACTGTGTTGTCCTGGGATGCTGCAGTAAAGCTCAGACGTGAAGTCGTCGTGGTCTTCGTGTGAGTGTCCGTCTGTCTGGAAGCCGCTCAGCACAGGCTCCGAGTCTGAATCTGTTGCGAGGGAACACAAACAGACATGCTTTAGAGGAACAATGCTGGTCCGACAGCAACAGGCGCTCCGAGGAAATCTGAGCAGGGGATCGGGTGGCGTTTAATGGGGCCGGAAGTGACTGGACACGTCACTGAGAAAACGAGGTGTCTTATGATTATCAAGCTACATTTCACATTCGCAATCGGTAAATTTAAAGAATCGTGACACGAGCATCAGAATTATTAACTTTGCCTGAATTGTTTGAATTGCTGAGCTTTGGTGCTTATCTGGGAAAAACAGGTTCGATTTTGGTGTAAACAACTTAATGCTTTCATGTATTCATCAGTATTTCTATTTTTTATTACATAAAATGGCAAAGGTATACATTATTGAAGTGTTCCGAAGTAAAAAAAAAAAAAAAAAAAACATTTTCTCATTCTGTACTACCATATCTGCACAAAAAGAAAGACAAATATCCAGCAAATAAATAAAATTATATTTTATTTGATTTCTGTTTAAAAAATATAATTAGTGTTTTTCCACAAGAATTTGATGTAAGTTTTACAGATAAACATGGCCAAATTATTTTATGAATATATTAATATTAATAAATTTAGGTATAATAAGTGATCTAAAATGTGTATAAAATTAAAACACTTTAAACATTAATGAGCAGAATTATTAAAATATTAAATTAAGATATTATATTACAAAAAAAGCTAATTAAATTAAAAATATCTAAATTGAGAAATAAAATGTTTCTGAAATAAGGCGATTTTGCAAAAATTAGTCTAAAAACATAGTAAAAACAGTAATATTGTGGAATATCATTACATTTTTAAAATGACTGCTTTGAATGTAATTGTAAAATAATAAGATAATCCCTCTGAAAAATTATTCTAATGTGAAAATTGTTCAAATTTATTTCTTATATTATTATCAATGTTAAAAAACTGCAAATGTTTTAGTGGAAGGCTTTACGCATTACTTGTTAAAATTCTTTGACTAATACAAATTCTCATTTGAATGCATAATATTTTTGCCACTAGAGGGTGCACATTTAAAACAAACAAAGGCTTATTTTGATGACTTGACTGAGTGTGGAATCATGGGAGTTGTGGTCTTCATTACATCCTATAGGATCCATGGATGAGCTAAAGTATTTAACACTTACTATCATGGTAGTATGAAGCAGAGTAAAGGCTGAAAGCTGTCAAAATAAACAAAGTAATGTAATGTATTTTTTATTTAATGCCATGTCAGCAACCAAGGCTATTTTTATGGCAGGAATCTTTCAACAATAAATAAACAATAAAAAAAAAAATCAACAAACAAAATAAAACAGAAATTAAATAAGATTTTTGAGTTAATAAATTATAAGAAATTCTAAAATATTTTCTGGTTTCACTTAATTTCATAAAAAAGGCTTCTGGAATCAGTAAAAGCAGGACAGTCCAGTAAAATGTGTTTTATAGTAAGAGGTGTTTTGCAGCACAAACACTGAGTAGGGTTTTTGTCGAAATAAACAAGAGCACTGAAACAAGGGGCTATATGCACAGCTAGTGTTTTTCAAACTTCTGGTGAAAGCTTTATGTGACTGTTTTAAATTTCATAAGGTTCCTTTGACAGTATTGATGTTGTAATGTAATTAAAATATAATCAGTTAAATAGACTTAAGCATCCATTTGGTTGCTTAAAAAAAAACGTTTAATATATAACCGCAGACTAGTGCAGCAATTTCACTGAAAATACTGGGGTAAAATTAATTTCCATATTTTAAAGACATGGTGCGGAAAGATAGAATTGAATGCAGTGCTTCTTGTTTGGTCTGATACCCACTTTATATTGTCAGCTAGGCAGTGAAGATCAATGTTTTTTTAAAGAAATCAGATCTTAAATGTGGTGATTTTGTATGGGATCACAATTAACTGGAAGCCCTGGGGCTGACTGACTGTTTGAATGAAAAGTCCATGCGCATATAACCCATTGCTGATGAGAGATGTGCAAGACGCGGCACAAAAGCAGCAGAGTTTTTATTATGGCACAGACAACCGCATCTGGTTCTCACGACCACATGGAGAAGACGCAGCGCTCTTTTATCATACTAAACACACTTTAGGGGTCTGTTTTAACGTTGCTCTTGCTTATATAATACATGTATATTAAAGCATCATTGGTGTTTCTATGTTTAATATAAATAAAAAACAGAAATTTAAGGTGTATGACATCATTAGCAGGTCACTAGTTAAAATTGCTTATTTCTCAAGCTCTGGATTTCACTATTCTTCAAAACATTCAGGATAATGCAGGTATGTATGTCAGCAAATAAGCCACTTTTCTAATGTTTTGGATAGTTAAAAAAAAACAGACATTTTGTGTTTCTATATTAAGTAACGTTATAAATGTCCAATGCATGAAAAACATGTACTGAGCCTTATCATTTCAGCCATTAGTTTAGTTCCTCTCAGACATACACACCAGACAGAGCATCGTAGAACTCGTCATCGCTGAGGACACTACGCGGCGACGAGCCTTTGACCACCGACTGCTCCAGCTCATGATGTTCAGTGGCCAGAGTCTGCAGAGCCTCCGACAGGATTTTATTCTTCTCCACCTCCTGCTCCAGTTTCACACTGCGCGCCTGTATATAAACAGACACACTCTATTAATAATAAAATCAAGTAGATCTCATCAAATCTGACCTGACAAAAGACTGAAAGGACTGGGCGATTAATCAAAGGGGGTATTTATTGGTGTTTTGTCAGTAAAGCTAGTTTTATAAAACCTTTCATATTGAGCAGCATTTACTTCACTGAGTTGAAGTTCACTAACAAGCAACACAATATCACGATCAACATCGAAATCGATTTAATCAAACTATAATGATAATTGTTTTATGATAGCAACAACTGCTTCTCAGCAAACAATAGCTGTGTAGTAAACGCTGCACGTTAAAAATACAACATAAAATAGCAGGTTTTTATTCCAAACTCACTTTAGAACTTTTGGTTAATGTTTGAAATTAATCCTCATGTGAGATGATTCAGTAGTCGTGTGATTATTAGTCACGCTGAAATCAATGACAGCAGTTAAATCTTCTTTTTACAACACAATGCTATGGAAATTGTCCTGGGTTTCTTTTTCATTTTGTTTGGAGTTTCCACACAAGAGCGCCCTTTGCTGTTCTTTGGAGATTTACAACTGATCACAGAACCATGTTTTCCTGACAAGATGTGCATGACACGACCAGTTTTTAAAAATTAGTTTCGATTAATAGCTCAGCCCTCAATTAGGTTACGGTAACTTTTTATACGTTTTACATTTACAGTATGTCGACATTACAAAACTTATCAAATTATTCTGTTAATGTTATCTTGGGTGTCTGTTTTCAGAAATTCACTCACAAACCACATTATCCAGTTCATCTCCTCACATCATAAATAGGTATTTTACCCAAAATCTAAGTAATCTAAGTTCATGCATCATTCGAGCCGAAGGTCAGCCAAGTAGTTGTCCATGCACTCAGCAGCTGCCCGCATTTTAAGAAATATACAAAAACAAACCAATCTACGATGGCTCAGTAGTGCACAGCACAACAACATTTCAAAAACCAAACTTTAATCTCACAAAACAAAGACATTAAGATGAAATTGTAACAATATTTTAATAAGCAAACATTAAGCTTACAACACAATGGAAATTCTCCCATTTACTAGGTGGCAGCGAAACACCAACTACTACTTCTTGTTCTGTTTGAATGGCGAGTTACAGTTATTACCCAATGACGCCACAAGAAATGTGTCACAATACATTGCTACCAAGGTGTAAGAAGCGGGTTTTTACCCCTGGGCATACCCATCTGCAATGTTCACAAAATGAAAAAAAAATATTTGTGAGATGCGCGTACAACTGTCCGTTTGTGGACTAACAGACACCTAGTGGTTGGGAGCACTTCCATTTTGTTATGAGCTTAATGTCTTTGTGTTGTGAGATTAATATTTGCTTTTTGGACTGTTTAATCCACTTTATAAAACATGCGTTAACTCTGGCCAAAGAGCTTAGAATCACCAAGAGGCGACATTCAATAGAACGCTACATTGCAACAGCAGCGCCCAGCAACAGCCCTGCGATTCCGCCATTTTGGAGCGAAAGCGATCGGCCGTTTATTGGATCTTATTGCTGTCGCAATGGCAAGCAGCTGCTTTGTTTTAAAATTATTTATTTAAAAAGCCCATTAAAGCTGAGTTACATGACAATACAACACTTACTATTACAATCATCAGCACTTTCAATAGTTTATTTTATAGACTTATAATATGCTGTTTTTCTTTTAGAATTTTTATTCCAAAATGGCCGCCGCGTGACACTAGCGGCATCTAGTGGCTGTTTCAAAATCGCACTAGAATGTCGCCTCTTGGTGAATCTATGCTTTTTGCTTTGGCTTAGTTTTACGTTGGATTTGTGCGCTTTTGGATGCTTCAAAATAAACACCACTGTCCAACACAATTAAACAGTGTGGAGGAGCCAGGATAAACATTAAAACTACTCTGACTGTGTTCCTCTTACAGAAGAACATTATATACTGTATACAAGGATGGCTTGAGGGTGTGTAAATTATGGAAAATTTTTCACTTTTGAGTGAACTGTCCCTTTAACCACTCCACATATCAATGTATGCGTGCAGTGAAATGAACACGTACTCCTTCTTGTCTGGAAAAGAGCTCCAGACACCGGTGCAGTGAGGAGCAGCTTTCACTGGAGGCTTCACAGACATCCTTCAGCTTCTGAATGACCGTCACAGGGATTTCTGTAAGAATATAAAAAAAAACACTGCAGCTTTAAAAATGTCGATTTTTTGGTTTCAGCCAATCAGATGCTGTGGATGATTTAAGGTCTTACTTTCCGCCAGGCCGTCTTCTTTTACCATGGACAGGAGACTCAACACCTCCTTCTCCAGTCTCTGGTGACAGGACTCGGCCCGCTGCCAAACAAAAGAGGAACAAAACAACAGAAAAACATAAATAGGATGTTGTGGAGCAGAAAGCGTATGACTGCAAGAAAGGGTCAGGGTTAGTCAACTTCCTAGTTGCCACTTCCTGCGGTTAAAAAGCGAAAAGGGAAGCTAAGTGAATCTTGTTTTTACTGTAGAAATATTTAGACATGAGACATAACCGTGTCTATTTATAGCACATTTTTGTGCGGGATAGAATTTTAGTTGCTATGATTATGAAATGTAATTAATTAATGTAATCATGGCTAATTAATATAGTTAATTTATAATATAGTACTGTTATTAAGATAATTATTACTAGTTAATTTACTTTAAATGTTTTACACGTTAACAGATATTTTTAAATAAAATCTGTACTGTATTCAATTTAAGTCCTACAAATATTGAATAAAATGAAAGCAAAATTTTAAAATACATTAAACTTTTTATTTTTTTTTTAATTTAACTTTTTTTATTTAAAACTTTTAACGTTTATATTTCATTCAAATTTTTTATTATTAATATTATTAAGTAATTTACTTTGAGTCATTTTAAAATAGCATCTACAGTGCATCTGGAAAGTATTCTTAGCGCTTCGCTTTTTCCATATTTTTTGTTACAGCCTTATTCCAATATAGATTCAATTAATTCATTTCCTCTTTCTACACACAATACCCCATAATGACAATGCCAAAAAAAGATTTTTGAAATGGTTGCAAATTTATTTTAAAAAAATACAAAAAAATAAAAAATTCACATGTACATCAGTATTCACAGCCTTTGCCGTGAAGCTCTAAATTGAGCTCAGGTACATTCTGTTTCCACTGATCATTCTTGAGATGTTTCAGCAGCTTAATTGGAGTTCACCTGTGGTAAATTCAGTTGATTGCTTGATTGGTTGATTTATTTGAAAAGGCATACACCTGTCTATATAAGGTCCTAGGGTTAACGATGCATGTCAAAGCACAAACCAAGCATGAAGACAAAGGAATTGTCTGTAGACTTCAGAGACGGAATTGTCGAGGCACAAGTCTGGGGAAGGTTACAGAAAAACTTCTGCTGCTCTGAAAGTTCCAATGAGCACAGTGGCCTTCCTCATCCGTAAGTGGAAGATGTTTGGAACCACCAGGACTCTTCCTAGAGCTGGCTGGCCATCAAAGCTAAATAATCTGGGGAGAAGGGCCTTAGCCAGGGGTAATCAATAGCCAGATGATCACTCTGTCTGAGCTTCAGCGTTGTCCTGTGAAGAGAGGAGAACCTTACAGAAAGTCAACCATCTGTGCAGCAATCCATCAATCAAGCCTGTGAGGTAGAGTGGCCAGAGGAAAGCCACTTTCCACCTGAAATTTGCCAAAAGGCATCTGAAGGACTTTCAGACCATAAGAAACCAAATGCTCTGGTCTGATGAGGCTAAAATTGAACTCTTTGGAGTGAATGCCAGACATTAGGTTTGGAGGAAACCAGGCTAATACCATCCCTACAGTGAAGCATGATGGTGGCAGCATTATGCTGTGGAGACGTTTTTCAGCAGCAGGAACTTGAAGACTAGTCAGGACAGAAGGAACGATGAACACAGTAATGTGCAGACACATCCTGAATGAAAACCTGCTTCAGAGTGCTCTTGACCTCCAAAATATCAATGGAGTGGCTTCACAACAACTCAGTGAATGTCATTGAGGGGCCCAGCCAGAGCCCAGATGTAAATCCTATTCAACATTTCTGGAGAAATCTGAAAATGGCTGTACACTGTGGCTTACCATCCAACCTGACAGAGCTTGAGAGGTACTGCAAAGAGGAATGGAATTCCCAAAGACAGGTGTGCCAAGCTTGTGGCATCATATTCAAAAAGACTTGAGGCTGTAAATGCTGCCAAAGGTGCGTCAACAAAGTATTGAGTGAAGGCTGTGAATACTTCTGTACAAGTGGTTTTTCAGCTTTTTTTATTTTTATTAAATTTGCAACAATAACAAAAATCTTTTTTTACATTGTCATTCTGGGGTATTATGTGTAGAATTTATACTTAACTAAATATTAAAATTGTTGAAGTAAATTAAGTTCAGTTTCAGCCAGACTCAAAAATCTACAAATTAATCATGCTATTTAATTCACAGTGCTGAAAGTAGTAATAATAGTAGTATGAAATATAGAACGTAAAACCATTACCAATGGCAAAAAAGTCACCTTAGAAAACAAATATAATAAACTCAAAGCGTCGCATGATTAAGCTTTCAAATCAACATCTACATCTTTTCACAGAAGAGAAAGGAAAAACAGCCGCATGCGTATTTAATCAGCTGATGTGTTGATTTATCTGGACTAATGTGATTTCTCACCTGAAGTGACTCAGAAAGCTCATTCACAGACACAGCATTGTCCTCCTCTTCCTCGCTGTCAGGCTCCTGTGAGCAGTAATGAGTGCTGAAGGCCGAATGCTCCTCGATGGCCTCCAGCCACATCTGAAAAACACAACACACATTACTGAGCATGTTTTTTTACATGCACACTAATACACTTATAACTTAAAAAAACAGATTAATGAAATAACATGTTGTCACAATTTACATGCAGACTAATAACCTCCTAATGCAAGTAAATCACACATACAATACTTCATTAGGGAGAGTCTAGAATCGTAGGTACAACTGTTTTGTATAATAACACAATCTAGTCATGTCTTAAACATTTTTTATAAGTGTATTTAGCAACATTTCGTTTTAAAAATATTAACTAAAAGACTTCCAAAAAATGGTTAAAAGTCAGTAACAGAATCAAATGTTTTGCCTTATTTTGCATTGAAAATGAATTCAGTTTACCATCATTTTTATATATATATTATTCAAGATTAAATAAAATGATGGAAAATACTTGAAATGTCTGGAATCTGGACAAATCTGGAATAAGTCAATAACAAAATGAATTATTATGCCATAATTAAATGTCATCTACCTTTATTTGCTATATCAGTTGTCATTTTTAATAAATAATTTAATGTATTTACATTTACATAAGCTGATCATGCTTTGTAAGCTGATAATGCATGTGTTCATTCCATTTTAGCTAGATTTGTCCCTTACATTAATTTTTCTTAGCATATAAAAGTGTTTATCTGCTTTCTGTACATTAATGTGTGTCAAATGGGACCGAATACGTTGCATTACCTCACCATTTACTAACACTAAAGTGGTTGTAAACTTTCTTTCTTTTGTTGAACACAAAACAAGATATTCTGAAGAATGTTGGGGGAAAAATGCCACTGACATCCACAGTACAAACTCAAAGAGTCAATTTTTCCCAAACATTCTTCAAAACATCTTCCTCAACTGGTTTGCATATTTTTGGGTGAACTGTCCCTTTAATCGGGTTCAGAATGTGCAATTATACACACTCATTTTTTCCAAACCGACACAATACAGACTGTTCTGGACAAAATAAACAGGCCGGGAGGAATCTCACTTTTCTGCTTTCTTCAGGGTTGTTCTTCTGGGTCACTTTGAAATGGTGAACGCTGTCGTCAAAGCATTTGACCGTGAAATAGCAGTTATCTTTCGCTTTAATCTGAAAGTTGCACAAATTTAAAAAGAGCAGATGCGTTAAAACAACAAAACAAAAATGACTAATTTATAATTGACACAGATGATTAAGTGAGTCTTACCATGCAGTGTGCTTGTGTTAGTGGTTTACAACCTTGCCGGCGTGTGTTTGAATCCGCATCCGTCCTTGAGGAGATAAATTGAAACAAAAAAAACAGCAGTTTATTGAAAAAAACAAAAAAAACAATAGTAGTATAATTTACACATATTTATTTATAATTGATTAATATAATTAATATAATTATTTTTATAAAAAATAATAGTATAATTTTAGCAATATAGGTATTATCTATTCAGAAGTAGATGTGTAAAAAAGATTATAACATTACAATGATAATTAGTAGTTTATAAGTGTAATTACTTTTTATTATTATTACATTTCATCATTACATTTTCAGAAATGTGTTTTATTTTGTATTTATTGTGACGTTAATGCATTAGAAAGAATCAAACACTGCAATTAAACCATTTTTAGACGGTATCTTCTGTAAATGTTTTGTCTTTAACTGCCATCATTAAATGCTATTTTCTTCTAAGATCTTGATGCAAAAACAGGATGAAACAAACAAAAATTAGTTTTAAATATTTTTTTAGCACATTTTGCAATTTTTCTATACAGCTTAAAGTGACATTTAAAGGCTTAACTGGGTTAATTAAGCTAACTAGGCAGGTTGTATAACGATGATTTGTTCTGTAGACTATAATAAAAATATATAGCTTAAATAGATTAATAATTTTGAAAATGATCTCAAAATGGCTTTAAAAAAATTTTAAACTAATTTTATTCTAGCCAAAATAAAACAAATAAGAGTTTCTCCAGAAGAAAAAAAATATTATCAGACATACTGTGAAAATTTCAATGGTCTGTTAAATAATATTTTAAAAATATAATAATAATATAAAATAATAATCTTGATGTTTTTACAAAATACAACTGAAGGAAAATACGCACTGTTTAGGGTACCATGACAAGACCCCGTCTTGAAGAACCACCCAGTAGGAGCGCCAGCCAAAAAACCTTGAACTCTGGAAGATAAAAAAAAAACTTACACAATAAAAAATAATATAAAAAATACATAGCCAAATACATAGCCATACTATAGATAAACACTTTAAATACCTTCCAAAGAGGCCCTTCAAACATTTTAACATGCCGTGTCATGCCCTGCCGGATTCAAATATCACAAAAAAACAAATTCATTGAAAAAAGCAGTCAAATTCGCAAAACAAAGAATGTTTTAGTATGATATGAGAAGGACAATGGTGTTTTAAAAGCGCACAACATGCATCACATACATTTGTGACACTGAGACAGAGCTCCCTAGCTTAATCAACCTACTTTCACAACATTTCCTGCAATGATCTGCTTCATTTCTGCATCGTTAGTCAAGTCAAAAACAGTCTGATCTGAAAACAACAAGTGCATGAATTAGCTTCAGCTCAGCTTCAACCCAATCAAAAGTCACATGATTTTCATGAGTCACAAAAAATAGTAATTACAGATGTAAACAAAATCTAAAACATCTGGAGCTTTTCCACTATAGCTCTGTTTACACCTAGTATTAAAATGCATTTTAGTAAATCCAATTACAGCAATTGCAGGTATTAACAGTGTATATAACATTTGGAGTCGGTTAACACTTGAACACTACAGCCCTGTTTTTAATTAGTATAAGATGCACCTTAGTAAATCCAATCACAAGTGGATGACACCAAACACCTGGTGACAAAAATATCCAAAACATCCCTGTTTTCAATTGGTGTTAATATGCATTCTGTCAGTCCAATCATAAGTGAATGATACTAAATACAGATGATATAGGATTTAAACCATTGTGAGCTTGTCCAATTCTAACCAATTCTACAGCTAGTCAAAAAGGTAGACACACGTTACCGTTTTTATTCTTGACGTTAGGATTGGCCTTGTGCTGCAGAAGTTTGACAGCGCACTGTTTCTGGCCTCTGTAAGCGGCGCAATGCAGTGGTGTGTTTCCCAGCAGATCCGTGCAGTTTATATTTGGAGGTTTCTTCAAGTTCAGCTACACAAATAAACAAGAGTTACAGTATGCAGGTCATACCGAATTATTGCTAAATGACGGGTAGAATGATAACAGATTAGAACAGGATAGTTTTAATTCAATATTTATTTATGTATTTAGGTTTTAATGCCATGTCAGGCTATATTCATGGTAAAACCTATACTAAATAAACAATATAACATGCAATCATATCGGCTTATTAATAAACATCCACTGTACAAACAAAAACACTAAAAAGAGTCAAATACAATATTTTAGTTGGATTAATGATAAATATTCTACAATTCCTCCAGAAAATACCTTTTTATTTCCCTTAAAATATTTCCTGAATAAAAACGTTCTCTAATTTCCTTTAAAAACACACATTCTATTAAAATATGTTTTATCCACAAAATAATCGTACACAAGTTACAATTAGGTTTTTCTTCCCCTTTTAACAAGTATGATAAGTCTTGAGTGGCCGATTCTACATCTCGTACGTACATCCTGATCATGTCTATTTTCAAAGTGGTAATTATTTCTCAGTTGTTTTGAGTCAATAAATGCCATGCGTGTGTAAATAAAATATTACTATCAACATTTACAGCTGATTTGATCATTTTTCTATTTCAAACTATACATGTATATGTTCTGAAATAAAACTTGAACCAAATCACGTCTAACTGTTAAATGTTGATAGTAGGGATTGGATTGCACCTAAATGGAAATGAAAATGATCAATAGACTTGACCAAAAGCCAAACTAAAAAATGCTTTGTAATAATTGATTTAATGACTTTTTATTATTATTCTTTTAAAAACACAAGCCAATAAAACAGTTGCATCATTTTACCCACGTTGGCATGGCAGCACAGTAGCACTATTGCAAACAACAATAAAAATTACAACATAGAATTGTTTTGTAAGTGCAATATTTGAGAAGAGTTTTTTTTCCCGGTGTGTGTCAACACAACTTTCTGAACTTAAAAAGATTTTCTGAACCCAGAAACCATCCACCCAAAAAAAAAGTTCATGCATAGATATGTGCTTGTGTGTGTGTGTACATATATACAAACACTATTATTTTGCAATATAGCAATTGAAAAACTACACATAATAAAGTTAGTAAGGTTACCAGTCTTGTGAGTGTAGATACGGCTCCTTCTCGCGCCGCTTCCAGCAGCTGCTCCTCCAGTTTCCTCTCTTCTGTCCTCTCAGTAGCTAGTAAGTTTACATTTAATAGTTTAGCAACAAAGGTAGATTCCACAGCACTGTCATTCTTTGTGTTGTTCAAGCTTACCCTCCAGCATGCTTTTAATCTCGGCACTCTGTGTAATGTCTTTAGGAATCTGCGCCATCCCATTGATAACCGAAGCACAAGCGTCATGCTGAAGGAGCAACATCACAACCTCCTAAACAGCACAATCAGCATTCAGTTAGTATTCTCAGTCCAATCAGTGTTCAGGATTCAGCATCCAATCAGTGTTTAACATCAAATTAATGTTAAGCATTCAGTAAATGTTCAGCATTCTAGGTATATAGGTTAAACAAGTCATTCCCATTATGAATATTATATTACTATTTAATGACTACTATGATTCTAAGAAGAGAAAAATATTACTGATTAATAAACTACGGCAATTAATTTTGTACAACAACAATAAAAAAAAAAATTTTAAATAATAATTATAATAATGATAATAATAATAATGATAATGATAATATTAATAATAAATGTGCAAAGTATGTATGTATGTATAAAGTATTAAGAGTATTTTACTAAAAGTATTTTTACACTAATAATTGCAATATTATGAACAATATTATGATATTTATTACTATACTAATTTAGTTTTCACTATAAGTATACAAAACAAGTAGTTGTCAATAAGTCTGCAAAACTATTCTTATACCTGTAATATTATGATTTCCATAATAATAATAATAATATTAGAAGTTTTGTAGTTGTTATTACATTATAGTTGCTATATTTATGTTTAATCAAATTAAGATTGATATGATATGATGCTAGTTTATTTCTATGCCCATTGTTTTGTGTAACCTATATTGTATGGTTGATTTTTTTCATGATAATAATTTAAAACATTATTAATAATTAATATTACCAATATTATATTAATAAAGCTCAATTCCACTGTTGAATGTTTATAAGAAACCCTCCAAATGGGACCATACATCTCCATTAAACAATATTATAAAACATATAATGATATATGACGCCATAAATACACACTTTTCTCCCTGTGAATGCTGCTTTATGGAGTGGTGTATCTCCAACATTATTTGGCAAATTGGCATCAGCTCCAGCCTGTAGGACATGCAGATGAGCTTAAATTAGACAATAAGTTCATCTTCAATTCATAAACCAACACATATATAAGAAAGCGTCTTAATATCAAAAGCCTGAGACGATCACACCTTCAGTAATGCTTCAACAACATCTCTGTGTCCAAAATAACAGGCCAGATGAAGCGGTGTCCAGCCATGATTTGATTTGCTCTTGCCTGAAATGCAATACAATGCTTTTAGAGGTGCTCTAAAACATCTGGTACATTATGAATGGTCAATTAAACCTAAGGATGTGTTTTACCCTTGCAGTTGATGTCGATGTTGGCCTCCTCCTTTATCTTGCACATGAGAAGCCTCTGGATGCCTTCTAGGTTCCCGTTCCTGGCATCCCTGAGGAACTGCTCCTCCGGATCCAGCTCCTCCATGACTGCAGAGATTAAATGTGACAGCATTCAAACTAAAGACCTGAGCCCAGAGTTAATTAAATGAAGAACAGGGGTCATGGATTACTCAATTAGCTGGATTTAATTATTGACTATTTGACATGATCCAGAATTGTTTCGTTCTTCAACACTCATTCGAGAGCTGTTGTCATAAAAACAGGTCCGGTAGCTCAAACCTGCTCGGGAGCAGGCTCATTTCATATACAGGATATATATAGTTTAAAACTATATATTAATAAAACCTATGCAATCTGCGCTCCAAAAAAAAAGAACAATGAGAAAGGTAGTTTAAAGATACGAATGTGTACAATCGCTTTCGTACAATTTGTGTATGATAATATCCACAATATTCTACTTTTTTTAAGCAATAATACACTTATGCAGTCATGAACATGTTTTGACACCTAAGATGGTGATTTGATGTTTCACAAAAGTTGCAGACACCTTTACCAACATAAAAATGCTTTTGTGATGCTAAAAAAATTTAAATATACAGTTATTCTTTACACCGATTAAGAAAGCAGCTACTCTATACTACTATGGCTACAATAATAAAGAACATCCGCTCTAACTGTAAAACTTAATAATTTGCTAAATACTCGACGGATGCAAGTGCAAAGCCTGCAGCCCACAACAAAGGTGGAAAGTTATTGCGTATCATATTTAACAAACCGTTTCCTATGAATTTTATGTTATTTTGCTCACATGGATAATTGAATATTAATCAGATGATGTCATTACGCTGATGTGCTGTCAGCCAATCGTTGCAATGCTGATCATGATTTCAGGGATGGATAGATCTGTCCTTCATAACACACGGAGCGATCCCAGATCAGTTCATCCAGACATTTTAATCTGATTCACAACTTGTTTGAAGAACCAAAATTAGCCAGAGATCAGTTATCAAGATGAACAGATCCAGGATCTGCCAAATCATCTTACATCAGGGGTGTCAAACTCAATTCCTGGAGGGCCGAAGCCCTGCACAGTTTAGTTCCAACCCTGCTCCAACACACTTACCTGTAGGTTTTAAACAAGCCTGAAGGACTCAATAAGTTTGATCAGGTGTGTTTAATTAGGGTTGGAACTAAACTGTGCAGAGCTGCGGCCCTTTTGGAACCGAGTTTGACACCTGTGTCTTAGATCATTTAAGCGAGGTACGCAGAATGAACCTCAGGACTGCAAGGACACCCTAGCAAGTTAGCAACTTCATAGCAACATGCTAAATAACGGTCATAACAAGTCAATAGCATCACACACAAAAAAATCCCTTACTTCTTAGAAACTACACAGAAATGTGTTACATTACATTTTAACAGCTACATAGCAACGCAATTAAAAAACAAACACTCAAAACACCTTAAATTCATTGCTACAAAAACAACTGTAATCCAGCATGGTAATAGCCACATTTATACATTCTGTCTGGTTCTTGAATTGGCTGATAGCCGTGCAATATTCTCCCAGTAACAGCACTCGACAAGCCTCTTCAACTTTTACCCTTGTGTAATACTCCGCCCACATACAGCAACAAGCAGAGGACACTCTACAGTTTTGACAAATATTGCAGCTTTTGGACAACACAATGTACATTTGAGGCTTTTTTTAGTTAAGAATTTAGTTGTTTAGATTGACGCTTTGCAGTTTATTCATAAGGATAGTGCCTATTTTAAAATATTTATATATTTTGAGAGAGAGCACATTGCCTGTCTTTGAGAAAAAACGGTTGTTGATGTTCATCCACAAGATAGCGACAAACTGCATAATAAGCCCTAAGAGAAAACCAGCGTAATTTCAAACTACAACTGATCAAATCAATATTAAACACACACCTCCTTACTGTAAGAACACCCCAATAACCACTGAGAATAACATAGCAACTCCATAGCACCCCAAAAGAATAACAACATGCTGAGAATTAGTTTTTTTAACAACTGCATAGCAACGACACTAAAAATCCTCCAGAACACCTTAGTAACTCCCCTGTAATAAGGAAAAATACATGTACAGCACCCTAGCAACCATATCGCAAAAAGCTAAAACATTTCAAAACATAATCTGCATCTGAATGTCATTAATACTCCAATTTATTTGCCTTTCACTTTTTAACAGGAGGAATTAAAACTAAAACACGAAGACAAATTCAAATTCTTTGAAGCAGCTGCCATGTGATTTCCTTGTTTAAATGGGAGGGAAAAAGAGAGCAGCACATGACACAGCCTTGCTATGCAGGAATGTTCTGTAGAAAATGCTCTGTGCTAGCATCAGGAACCCCCTTGTAATATATAAACCACCAGAGAAAACCTCTATGACATTTTAGCTAATCCTAAGAGCTCAAGAAGCCAGCTTGCTCAACCAAGCAGGGAAAAAAAGGCTGGATATGCAGATTAACCACGTCACTTTTAACGCAATACCAGTTTATTAACACATAAAGCTTTCTTTGTGTTAAATTTAGGTCAACACCCTAAAGCTAACACTTATTTACATGCCAAACTGAGTCTTAAGCACAACTTAACTGTGTGAAACGGTTCATTTATGCACACCAGTGTTTCCGATATGAATCAAATACATCAAATTCCTACATCTGAACTAGGTATGGCTGTCGATTATTTCCTGAAGGAAGTTACACTACAAGTTTTGCAAGCTTGTAACGGCTGAAACTAATAGACAATAAGCTGGTAATGATTACAAAACTAATTACATGTAGGAATATGTTGAATTATCATAACTGTCATGTGACTTTCTAGACATCTCAAGCCTTCCTTCAAGCACATCTGAACATCGCTAAATATCCTGAACAATTTAATTAAAATGTTTTTATTGAATACCTAACGTTTGAGTAGAATGAGATAAAAGCCATTAAATGGAGGCTTAGGTTTCAAGTTCATAAATGTCTTGTCACCAGGATGTGGGTTTATCACTTATGACTTCAGAGTTTAGTGTCATGAACTGAGCTAAAGTTGGTTTTATATTCGCACATTCAGACATTCTCCTTAATAATATAATTTCAGACAAGCATTCTTTCCAATATCTGAATAGGGAACTCATATGATCAGCCAGTGACTATCACAATAGTCAATTAAATAGTGCTAATGTTGCTTTGAAGTCATACTTAGATGGGATTTCAGACCCAATATTCAAATTACCCTGGTAAACAATATAGGGAGAGTACAATGAACGAATATGGGAGTAAAAAAAACAACTTTAACTTAATGACTTATGAGCGGCTGGAGTCAAATATGTATGCATGAATGTAGCATTATTAGAAATTAATACAAAAACTATGAATATGTATATTATAGATCAATTATATAGTTCTTAAATCATATAAACCTGAGCAAATTTAAAGTAATATTCAGAAGTTTCAAATATAACTTAATAAAAATGTAAATAAGAAGAATTTTAAACTTTTTAAGGCAAATATAGTTATATATTTCAGTTTAAAATATTAATAGAACATGTAAAAGATTTATTATACAATATATTATGATGTTTTGACATTTTAGAAATGTAAATATGAAAAACACTTGCCTGACTTTGGAAGTTAAAGCATGGCTCATATTATCAGCCAGTGACTATTACAGTACAACATAGTCAATTAAATAGTGCTAATGTAAACGATATAATAATGTAATGTTAACAATATAGGGACTGTAAAATGAACGAATATTGGAATATAACTCAATGACTCATGAGCGGCTGCAGTCAAATATGTCTGCATGAATGTAGCTTTAGTAAATAAATAAAAATGCATATTATAGATCAATTATTATGTTCCAAGATTATATAAACCTGAGCAAATTTCAAGTAATATTCAGAAATTTTAAACATAACTTGATAAAAAAAAAATGTAATAAAAATAAAATAAGAAACATTTTGAACTGTATCAGGCAAATATAGTTATATATTTTAGTTAAAAATAATAATAGAACATGTAAAATATATTAAATAATACATGTATAATGATGTTTTGACATTTTTTAAATGTAAACCTGAATAACACTTGCCTGACTTTGGAAGTTAAAGCATGACTCATATGATCACCATTACTAAAAGATTTTAGACCCAATATTCAAATTACCCTGGTAAACAATATAGGGAGAGTACAATGAACGAAAATGGGAGTATAACTCAAAGACTCATGAGTCATGAGTGGCTGAAGTCAAATGAATACAACTAATGTAATAAAATTAAAAAAAGAACTTAACTGTATACGGTAAATATAATTATATATTTAAGTTTAAAATTGTAATAAAAAAAAAAAACATGTAAAACATATATTTAAAAATAGACGTATAATGATGTTTTGACATTTTTAAAACGTAAATATTAACAACACTTGCCTGATTTTGTACGTTAAAGCATGACTCGGTCCTCCAAAAGATGTGTTACCACCCCTTGTCAAGAATCACTCCGGAACAAATAAATAATAATAATAAATACATCACAATGTTCCATAAAACTGTGCTTTTATCAGAGATTTGACAAAGCATGTGATGAACTCTTCCCGTCTGTGTAACTCACACATTTGAGGCTTTCCTAACAGAGCAAAGTTCTTTAAAAGCATCTTCAGCAAACATCTTTTAAGTCTGTTGTGCAACTTTCTTGTTGCTCGTGAACTGAACGCACACACAAACTATCATACGGCAGCATGTAAATGACCAGCTGACTGACATAACACATGATGACGGTGCACTTCCGGTTTTGATAAAGACCGTAAACAACTACAATAAAAGTCAACTACTACTTCTACTACTTTTACTACTACTACTACTACTACTTCTAATAATAATAATAATAATAATAATAATAATAATAATAATAATAATAATAATAATAATAATAATAATAATAATAATAATAAATGGCTTATTAATAGTAATAATAATAACAACAACAACAACTGTATGTTTGTTTGTATCAGGAGTGCGCAAACATTTTGTTATAAAGGGCCAAAAAGCAAACTTGATTGAGGCTAACGCTAGTGGGCCGAAGGTAAATATAGTTGCCATGGGTAATTAATTTCCTAATTTATTTAATAATATTTAAACATGATTAGGATGATATATACTAACCTTAATAATATACTAATCATTAATATAGGATTAATATAAACACATCACATTTACACATCATATAAACAAATCACATTTTATAATCAACTTATTACAGTAAAAACAAAACACATCTCATTTATAACACAATTACACAGTTTTTGCCTTGATTTGCTCTCATCCTCTGTCCTTTGAGTGACAGTATTTACATTTAAAAAATCAGATTCTACCTTTTACTGAATCCATCTTGTTTATTAGGATTGATAACAAGCATTTATGACATTTTGTCTAACAATTGCACTTCTGCCTGACTAGGACTTGAGAATATTTGGGAGAAGGATATTGGCCAAACTATTGAAGAGAATGACTGGGACATTGTTTGTGATAATATATACCCGAAATATACCTCTTTTGGGATCCATGAGCTCAATTTGACATTTTTTTTTATCTTACACCAGTTCGTATAAAAAAAATGTGTGCCCATGCCACAGACTTGTGTTTCAAAACTTAAAGATTGCTCTAAAATGGTGTGATTAAGCTTTCTTTATATTTTTTATGTGTTTTTTATATTAATTTCTTTGTTATTTTCCATTTTTAGACTGTACACTCTGTAATGCATTTCTACATTTTTATGTTAATTATTTGTGAATGTGGGCACACGATAAAAAAAGTCTGATTAATTTATAACATTTTATTGAAACATTTAATTTCAGTCTGCTTTTTTGTAGCTCAACAATAAAAGAAACAAAAAGGTTACGTCAAATTAGAATTGACGATCTCTGTTACTGGCATTCGCCCCCCTCTTCATCATTCTCATTCTCCTTTCAGATGGGTCTGTAGGCCAAATCAAAGGTTACGGGTCAACTTTGGCCTGCGGTTTCTACTTTGGGCATCTCTGTTGTTTATGAATTTATGAATGAAATTATATGATGAAATTACATCTATTTACATTTAAACCAAAAAGCAATACAGGACTATATTGGATATAATCTGTTAAGAGGTTACAAAGGTATAGTCTATTCAAAAATCTTTGTAACAAATTAGTAAAATGTGAGCACAATGTACCTGAAATTTAACATATACGAATGTAAAATTGACCTAAAAGTAGGTAACATCTGTTTATGAGTTACCTAATATGGCATTAGTGAAATGTGTATAGAATTTACCAAAAATGCAGTTACATATTAGTAACACATATGATTTTCTTAAGTGAAATATGTCCATGATTTACCTAAAATGAGGTAATGTATTAGTAAAATGTACATAGGATTTACAGAAAATGAGGTAACATATTAGAAAAATGTGCAGTTTAACTAATTGATAATGTTTTAATAAAACACATGCAGTATTTAAATAAAGTATTAGTAAAGCATGCATACAATTACTGAAAATGAGTAGTAAAACATACTGTAGATAGCACAATAACTCTGTAAGACATATTTTTATATAATAAAATAATAATAATAATAAAAATACATATATTTAATCAAATAAGATTTACATAATGCTTCATATTTTTTTTTTTTTATTTAGCTTTTCTGTTTCTATTGTTACCATATTGTGTAATCTCCTTTATAACATGTTCACAACTTGACTTAGCTTTGGCCCATTTCTTGATATGTATATGGAATTTTCCAAGTAACATTAATAGCTGTATAGGAAAATAAGATGTACATTTTGAGTTCATTCGTTAACATGACACTTTTCCTGCATGTCATGCAAACACGACTCTTATTATGAAATGTTTTTGCGGAAGTTAGTTAGTGACGTCATCAGAATGGAGGGCTCCACAGCTGACGGCGCGGCACCTTTACCTGGACGATGTGCTTTTTATGTTGTAAAAAAGAAACGATATTGCAAGATGATAGTTGGGAGTGGGAAAACCTTCTGCGGGGAGCATGCAAATGCTGTATGTAATGAAAATATGTCATAATACCAATGTGTATCTACTCTGAATGAATGCGACCAATGAGTTGACCAACGTTAGGTACATTTCCGAACTGTTTGTTCAAACCTTTATTTTACCTTCACGTAGGGTGAAGAGGGTGAGAGAAAACGGATACCCTGTCCTTTGGACAACAAACAGTAAGTTATTAATTCTTCTAACGATTTTGAGAAAGTTTTTGTAACTTAGTTTAGAGAAGTATGAAGTGAAGAAGTGGTGCTGTCCAAACTAAATGAAGAAGATGTTTTAGCACTTTAGATTTAAGGTATGCGTAAAGAATATTACAGCAGCTATCAATTATTTAAAATCATGGCAAAGTTTTTATTTGTTTTTTGCCAAATCTGGAAACTGTCTAACGAATTGTTTCAAAATATTCAGCTTTGTCCGTTTTCAAGTCATAAATAAACTATTGTCTTAACGGCTTTGGTATATTAAAATAAATGTAAATATTTACTGCTTTATTAAATAATAATGTAATATAATACATAATATTAAATAAATGTATATTAATTCCATGTGAATATATTTTATACATGTGTGTGTGTGTGTGTGTGTGTGTGTATATATATATACACACACACACGCACGCACGCGTAGAATAACCTTAATTTTTAATCGAAAAATCTCTAAATTCTAATATTTGATAAGAAATGTTATCAGACCAAATGTTGCCAGATACAGCAGACTTTTTCCCAAACGCACAAAAAAATTATATATATATTGAAAGAGTGTGCGCGCGACGTGTCTGAAGAGCGAGGAGGGATCCGGTTGAGAAAGGTGCGCAACTTATTTGAGGACCGGGCGGGAGACATGCGATTTCCGGAAGATTATCACTCGTGTGCAGGCATTATGATTCCAGCAAATGCATAGAGACTCCCGGAACTTCCGGGAGACTTGGGATGTCTGAATATCATGTTTAACAACTATAATAACATGCGATCCAGCCAGCGGTACATCCTTGATAAACTGTCTGACGTGCACTGCTCTCTGGAGCTCAGTGGAGTGCATGACACTGTGTGTGTGTAGCTGTGTGTGTGTGTGTGTGTGTGGTCACGTGATGTGCGTTTTCAGTGGATGGGGGGCTGTCCAGAAATGCTAGGTAAAACGGTATGGATGTGGGTAATTTTCGTTATAAAATGCCATTTTAACATTAAGAAGTATTAGTGTAAACAGGGCCTGAGTGTCACGAGCGGGTTTGTGACGGAGGCGGGCGGAGGATCGGACGATGGCATCATCTATTGGCCCAACCCTAATAAATATAAAAAATAATATATATATATATTTTTTTTCTTTTTTTTTTTAAACCATACAGTAACCAACCCCAGCAGTCACAGAACCTTAACATAACCAGATCACATCGAAACACTGCCCCCTCTCATCCACACACTGCACTGCAATTTTGTGTAGATTACACACCTATTAGAGCAGTGGTGTCCACACTCGGTCCTGAAGAGTCACACCTGAATCATCTAATAAATCATGACTTGATAGACTAGAAACCTCCAAGCAGGTGTGTTGTAGCAAGTTGCAGCTACACATAGCAGGGCACCGGCCCTCCAGGACCGTGTTTGGACACCCCTGTATTAGAGTATGTTTTACTTACAAAATGGGGTAAAACTTAGTCCCATTTAGCATTTTAAATTCTTTTGAACATAATTAGGTGCTGCTTGGCAATCAGACAACACTTCTATGTTTGTTCTTGCTGTTAATTGTGGACAAAATGATCAAGTGTCATAATAAACTGCTGTGAGTTTAACTGCAGGTCATGCACGTGAAAAGGAGATTGATTTGTCCATAGAGTCAGATTTTGATATAACTTTCCTTCTAGTCTTGTGGGTGGTCCACGTGGTTTGCACTATGCACTGGTCACCACTAACTGAATGGAGTTGGAGCAACAGTTTTGTTTTGGAAATAATTTGCATATAAAATTTATGTTTCAAAATCGCCCAAGTTTTAACCCGCCTATGCCATATTTTACCCACACCATCAAATTCAAAACCGCCCAATCTGGCAACACTGATCATCAGACCTGTATAGTATAGTATAGTATAGTTTCAAAGGTTGTTTGAAGTTTATCTTTAAAAAAGACAAATGAAACTACATTTATGATAATCACTGCTAAATTGCAAAATAAAAGTTTATTTTTAGGAGGTCTATGTTTTTTACAATTAAAAAATGGATTAATTACTGTTTGTGTTTTGAACAGCACTGTATTTGAAGATAATTTGACTAAACACCTGAAGAAGTGTAACTCCAAGGAGAAACCAAAACCTGTATGTATAAGTAACACGTTGTGGCAGGATTTTTTTTAAATTATGTTTTCCTTTCAGTATTATAGCAATATTAAGAGTCATGTGGTATAACACCATGCTTGTTGTGCTAATGGCCTTTATTGTTTGTTCATACTAGATTTATTACGTAAAGGATATTAATGCTGGATGTGCAAGTGAAGATGAAACGGTTAAAGAGGTGATTTGACTTGTTTAAAGCTTATGCAATAAACTTTCCTTGTTTAAAAAAAATAAATGTGTTTAATGATGATTCTTCAATGCAGATATCCATTGCTGATCGAACCAAAGAGGAACTGGATGACTTGATTGTGAAGCTCAAAAATGCATTGCAAGGTTTGCAGCTGTCATTTGGTTTTTAGTCACATGATATTAATTCACGCATTATTAATTCAGTTCAAATAAACATTTTTTTTGTTTTGCTTCCTCAGGACTAAATACTAAGCTCATTGAAAACACACTTTCACATTCTGCTCTACACGAGTCTCTAAATGATCCAAAGAATGGAGACTCTGCCTTTAAACACCTCAAACAACAGGTAAAGCACTGCAGTGGGGTATACCAAAAAGCAGGTTGAAAGATGTACTCAGATAAGTTTGAGGATATTTAAATGGGTAGTATCTGGTTCCAAACAGAAGTAACTTTTAGAGTATAAAATACTATACAATTACCAAGCTTTAAAGTCCAAGTGAACCTCAAGTTCTGAAATTGACTAAATATTTATTTCAGTATGTTGATGTGCTTCCAACATAAATTAAATATTGAGTAGTGGGTGGGGCTTTCTGTTTGCGCATCATTAGCCCCTTTCACACATACAGACCTTTCCGGAAAATTGACGGCAATTTTCCGGAAAGGTTGTATGTGTGAACAGGTCCTTTTTGAAAATACCGGTAAATTCGTTCTTGCTATTTTACGGAAAGAGAAGTTGTAACATTACCGGCAATTTGCCGGAATGCTGCGCTGTGTGAATGCAGAAGGAAGATTACCGTAATAAGCGTGTGCACGTCTAGAACGTGCTGACGTGAGACGTCTGCTTTAGCCAATCAAAACAGTCAGACGCATTTACGTCCGCGCGGTTTGTGAGAATAAAAACCTTTGAATATTTTTCCAGACACATTTAGCTGCTAGAAGTTAGTCAGATCACGTTTATATGTTCTTCTTTATGCCAACTGTGTAAATAATCATCGATGAGATGCTTATGATAAGCCGTTGTTTGTTTACCTTTTAGCTTTGCGTGTGCCTTTGAAACAGCCTGTGAGCGCCTGCACACGCACATATTATGAACATCTCGACATGAGAAAGTGATCCTGCGAAAGTTGTTCACAATATTGATCATCCACAGAGTTTGTAATTTAGTCATATGTTTACAAATACAAGCGCAGCCGTTTAAAGCTCATTTGTGGTGAATGATGTCAGAATTTACCGGTATTTTGGAATGGATGTGTGAAAGCTCTTTTCCGGAAAATTTCCGTACCGTCCTCGCCTGTGTGAACAGCGCTTTTTTGAATATACCGGTAAAGTCGTTACCAGTATCACTGTGTGAAAGGGGCAATTATCTTGTAGCAGACTTGCATTAAGAGGGGCATGGTTAAGAATAGAGGTAAGCAGGGTTTAGCAGATGGTAAATTAGCCTTACTTTCTGGAACACATCCCATAACTGTCACATTGTTTTTACCATGTATATACGGGTTTGGTTTATTCTCATTTTCAAGAAATATTCATAATACCTGGTTTCGCAGGCTTCTATCCTTGGAAACATGGAGGCTTTGGAACTGCTCAGCCCAAACAGATGCTACATAGAGTTTGGAGCTGGGAAAGGAAAACTGTCCCACTGGATTCACATCGCTCTTAAATCAGCGGAAAATGTCCATTTCTTACTTGTGGAAAGGTCCAGTACTCGCTTTAAGGTGTGGTTTCATTCACATGAAGCTTTCCTTTCGTCATATACAGAAAAATATTGCTCTTCCTGCTCCAAGTTGAAGTTTCATTCCTTATTAAGGTAGACGGAAAGCACAAAAATGCAGACTCCACTTTTGACCGGCTTCAAGTGGATATTCAGCACCTAGATCTGCGTGAGTATGGTGTTAATATGTTATGATATTCTGTCTTGATCTTCATGAATAATATATTTCCTCTTTATTTTCCATTTCAGGCAAAGTTCCTCTCCTGAGAGAAAAAGGACTTCCCGTGATTGGTGTTGGGAAGCACCTCTGCGGTGCAGCAACTGGTAAAAAAGAAATTCAATAAACCTTATAGCTTGACTATGGTATCAGTACTGTACGACTGATCCAGTATCAACTTATTCCCACAGATCTGGCTCTGCGGTGTTTATTTGAGCACAACTGCACCAGCAAGGATGATGAACCTCCATTTAAGCGTGTAAAACTTAATCAGGCAGAGGGTGCTGGTGGAAAAGATATGAAGCCTGTTCCCTCAACTGAAGGCAGGGAAACTGGTAAAGAGATTGTAGTGTCAGGACTGGCCATTGCTTTGTGCTGCCACCATCGGTGCGACTGGAGACATTATGTGGGAAAAGAGTTCTTTAGGGAACGAGGACTTGGACCTGAAGAGTTTGCGGCCTTCCAGCGCATGTCGAGCTGGGCCACTTGTGGGATGAGAAAAGCAGCAGAAACGACAAGTGAACATAAAAGAGACGAAGAGAAAGAACATGAGATGAGCGATGAAGCTGTATTGGATACCCTCAATGGGTGAGTTTTTTTTCTGAATAACCAATAGTATGATCGTTGCCAATGGCGTAGGGGTTAGTGTGTCAACATAAGGCACTCCAGTGTTCACGGCGACCCGAGTCCAATTCCCCCCCTTGAGGTCCTATGCCAATCCTTTTTCTCTCTTTGCTCCCCACACTTTCTTGTCTGTTATTTTTTACTGTCCTATAAATTAAAGGTGAAATCCTTGAAAACATATATCTAAAAACAATGAACTATTATTAAGATCATGATCTCATTTGTAAACATTCCTTCTTGCAGATTTATGTCAGTTGAAGATCGGGAACAGATTGGACGGCTTTGTAAACGTCTGATTGATCATGGACGAGTGCATTACCTCCAGAAGAAAGGCTTTAAAACAAGCATGAAGTACTACACCAGCAGAGACGTATCATTGGAGAATGTGTTACTAGCGGCAATTCCTATAGTTTATTAGAACCAAGATTAATCTAAACCACTTAATACACAAAAGCGCAGGACACATATGCTTCTTTTTATTTGTTCAATGTTTATGGATTTTTATATTTGATTTTATTTTGGTTTTAGCATATCCACAAACATCAGTTATACTAGCAAGATCAAACAAAAGACTCAACAAAACAATCAATACAAAGAACACAGGACTTGACGAAACTTGACACGACGGACTGGAAGATCAGCCCGGAAAGCGGACAGAAGCCAACATGCAAGTCACAAAGACTATGCCGTTTCTGACACACCCTCCAGCATCACATTTAGCACTGAAGTGAAATTTTGGGATCCTGCAATGGACATATAACACAAGAGATGGTCATTAAGTCTCTTAAGACTTTAATTTCAGCAACATTTTATTTATGCAATGATTTAATGATAACATTTCTGTTAGCAGCTTTGCACACAGTACATATTGAGTATGGCATAACCTCTTTTCCGGGCCTCTTGGATGTAGAAGTTCATAAACTCGCGACCAAACATCTCCCTGTCGTTCTCTTCCTCCTCTACATCCTCATTTAAATCAGGAAGTGTCACGTCATACGTCAAAGGGTTGTCTCGAAAGTTCACAAACCTGCAGAATGAGAATTTTAAGGCTCAATAATCGTGTTAGGTTCAGTCTTAAAAATATATAAATTCACATTCTTGCATTGGCTTATTTACCTGAGGTTGCTCATGCCCTCCATAAGCGGAGGAATGTCTCGTAGTTTATTTTTGCTCAAAACTAGCGTGTCCAGACTTTTCATGCGACTGATATTGTCTGGCAGGTATTCAAGTTCATTTCTTGGAAGCCACAGTGTGTGAAGTTTCTCCATTCTAGAATAAAGTCGACAAAGGTTATCGAGTCCATTAGACATTATACTTCTATTTTAAGAAGAAGTAGTGCTTGTAGTAATATTTTAATATTAAAATATTGTAGTAATATACCTGTGAATATTGTCTGGCAAAGTCTCCAGTATGTTGCTGCCCATGTCGAGCCACTCTAGGGAAGGAAGGTTGACCACACAATCTGGAATGGTGGTGAATTGGTTCATGGAGAGGTCCAAGTGGGACAGCTTCTTTAGATTGCTAAGCTAAGAAAAGTAAATCAGAGCAAACACAGATTGTGTGGCTATATGGAGTTATAGACAAATTACATTGTGCATATTAAATGTTATTAATACCTGAGTGGGCAGCTCGTCTAGATCTCGATTCATTGCAAGTTCCAGTTTTTCCAAATTTTCACAACAACCAAGCTCTTCTGGTACGTAACTCACTCTGTTATAGCTCAACAACAGCTCTCTTAACCGCGTTAATTTACCTGTTAATTATAATTGCACAAGAGAAAATTACTAAATCCCTAGAAGCTCATTCAAATTTGTAAGAAGTGCACTAGTTTCTTACTAACCGATCTCTTTAGGAATCTCTGTGACTGAATTACGAGACAAGTCCAAGACGATTAGGCTCTGAAAGCTTGAGATAAACCGTGGGATTCTTTGAAGTCCAATTCGGTGTAACTGCCATTCTTGAATCTGGGAGAGTTGGACCAGAGCTGGAGGAAGAGTCTGCAAAAAACAAACATCATCATGAGTATGAACCGCACTACTTAAAAGACTTGCAGCTGCAATTGTTTCAGTACTTTGATGGTATTGTCCTTGGCCAACTGATAACTCTTTCAGAAAATGTACCATTGGTGGGCAACTCCAGTAGTGATGAGTCGTTCTTAAACGATTGATTAATTTTGAACTAGTATTTTTGTATGACTCGAGAACGATGAATCCTCTCAGGAAGTGATTCGTTCATTTGCGCATGTGCACATTTGTGCAGGTGGAGTAAAAGATTAATTCATTTTTTCGAGTCCTTTATTAGGTTTGAGTCGTTCCTTCAACACATGAAAGACAGAAGCCAATCATATGCATTTAGAGCCAAAAATAGATTTGATCTGTTCATTTGGTGTAGATGCGTTTTGAAACAACTCCTATCATTTTAATAGTATTTTGGCAAATTAACTGAAATGACTCAAATTTGTTTATCTCACTGATTGAGACTCAAAAATCTGAGTCAGTAAAATGTTCTGAACTTCCCATCACTAAACTTCAGTCCTAGTTGACAACAAAGTTCTGTTTCTAATGTTCTATTTTAATGTGTTTCAAATAGTATACAATGACTAGTGCCACTGTCCGTCAGATGTTAGGGTCCCTAGTTTGAATCTGGGCTTGTGAACCTTTTCTGAACCTGAATCTTCTGTCTCCTCTCTAACTATTGTTCTATCAAAATAAAGGCCAAATTTATTTATTTTTTTCAGAAATTGGTGCTTTAACAATGTAAAGCAAAGCTGTAGGAACTTCACCCTCCAGAATCAGTATTGAAAAGACAAGCGGTAAGTGTTTTAGAGTGTTAACATTTTACAGATTATTATTAATTGACGCTTTAATGTGATCTGAGAATAATTCATAGGACGTTCAAGGCAAATATTAAATAACCTATGGTGAGACTGTTTAAACTTGATCCTAGTGGGTATGTTCTTGCAAACTTCAGAATTACTAGAAACCTCTGATCAGGTATGATGGAGCAAACGAGGTAATCTCTGCACAAATCTGGCCCTTAAGGAGCAGGATTGAACACCACTGCAGAGCAAAGGTCACTTGGACACAAATCTTTTGCCCATCGTTTAGGACATGAGATGTATTTTATTAGGATTCAACAATTATGCACCACCTTTTCTAGATAACAGCTGTGGTTATTAACCTCATATTAGAAGAATTGAAACTCAAATAACAGATCAGAGACTTGCCTTCCACTCCTCTTTTTCAATACGTAGGATAACACGTCCTTCTTCTGTCACAATTTTTTCCTTTAGCTTGGCCAAAATGATTCGATCCTCCCAGGCACCTGTCAACCTACAACAACAACAACTTTAAACTACTTAAAAAAATACTTTATATAACACGTGTTAAAGAATTTCCAGGATAAACAAAGCACAGCTGGGGATTGGTTTTTACATCAGGATATAGAGTTGACATTGGACAATGTTTTTAAACTTTTTTTTTTTTTTTTGCCTACTTTAGTTTTTTCATTTAATGCTGGACTTCCCTCTACCAAGTAAATAAATCACATTCATTCATTGTATTGATTGACTGTATGCTAAACCTTTGATGAAATGTTAATCATTTTTAATGATCATCATTTGGTTTTAGAGACCTGGGCACCTTTCTTTTAAAATAAGTCCTTATAATAAGGAATACAAGACCGTTGTGCACGTACCTACCCACTGCTCTTCTGTCTTTTTGCTCCTTCTCTTTCTTCAGGTCATCTTTGGTTTTCTTTATCCTGGTTTCCCATAGAGCCTTGATGGAATTCACTGTCCCACAGCACACCGTGACCCCCGTCATGATGATACGGAGCCGCAAATTTCACTTCACACTCACATTGTGCTAGGGCAGCAGATAAACCAATTTAACAGTGTAAGTATTGCACTTCAAAATTGTTGGAATGTTTGATTGGATCCATATGAATTAGGACTCTGAATTACTTTAAAGCAGCAAGCTGTATGGATTCGCCAATACTTACCACTCTCATTGGGTAATGTTGTCCTTCCAGTTGTTTTGTATCATGTTTGTATGTCGATTACTCCCATTTGGTACACATTAGTTTAGTCACCAATACTACACCAGCTGTAAAATTCCGCTAACAGTTCCAATTATTGTTATCAGTGTTAAGGGACTTGACTTTAAAGCAATTATTCTCTTACTGGTTTTCCCTCTTGAAGCGCAACTCTGCCAAGAGTCTATATTTAACTAGAGACAACACTGGGAATGGTGTGCTGGTCACATGTTAAAGTTGGCACAAGAGCAGCTGTCGGCTTTTGAATACTTTAGCAACAGACGTATTCAGGAATAGAGTGACATTACCCTGATTAACAACGACGCTTTGGACCATTTAAAAACATCAGTGGTTGTTAAAAACTATGCCCACTGCTTTAGTAGATCATTTTATCTGTTTGTTTAAATGTTGACCAGAATATATTGATATGTTCAATTTCAGGAAATTATGTTTCCCATTTTTATCTAAAAGGTCAAATCAAAGACTTGATTTTCCTCACAATTCAGAAAAGAAAATATAGAATTGCATGATTGAAGACTAAATAGACAAGGTTAGCCTACTTTGCATTAGGCTAATTACTGTGAAACAAATTCTGAGTTTATATATTGGTATTGCAAGAGGTAAACTCCCAATTGCAAGAAAGTCAGTATACACCACTATGATTTTGTTGTTTTTATTCCGTCGTGAATGTACTCAGGATCATTTGCCGAGGCTGTGGGCTAAGGGTAATAATGTTGTCAATAATGTCAGTTTATTTTTGCACAAAATCAAGCATTTACTTAGAAGCCATTTGTTTTTAATATACCAGTTTCAGCTGAAATTAATCTTTAATGTTCCACTGAAACATCACTCATCGTATAAATACATGTAAATTAACAGCAAACTGTGAGCTAGGCTATCTAGAAGGGCTCTATACTGTAAACATATTTGACAATTAAATGGCTTTATCTTGTGTTTTTAACAGTTTAATAAAACCAATTAGAAAGATCTACAGTAGTCATGTTTAATTTATTGAATATGTGATGCATTTTCATTGCTATCAATATTCTTTCCTGACACAAAACTAGCTAGCCTGCTTTATTTGACATTTAGCCTACTCTTTATACACCGCAAACAAGATGCAGACAGCAAATAAAGATCTGTTTTTATAGATATATTCAGTAAAAGTGTCAGAAGTGGGACACCAGATGGCTCTACTGCCGCAGTTCACCATCGAGTCCTTCAGTTGTCCGATGGTCACACAACAGACTAGTTTATATCGATCGTACATTAACTTCTTTACTGCCGCTTTAATGCAGTCGGAGAGCTCTTTGGCGGTAACCGCGCATGCGCAGCTGTACTCGACCGTCTCCAGTCTTTCGTCGACAATGCGTTTTATTATTTCATACGCCCGGTCTCTGGAGAAGCGTCTTTCTGGGACGGACTGGTAGATGAACTGCTCGGCTTTGACTTCTGCTAACTTTTGGCTTGTTGGTTCCTTCTTTAGCGGTTCTTTAATTTTCTTTTGCATGGGATTTAATGACGAGGTGCTGCTTTTTCTTTGAGCGTCTTCCTTGGATGTTTTACTTCTGAGGGTGGTTTTGCTTTTTTCTTGTGGTCCTTTCCATTGTTTCTCCTCTTTCTTGGGAGAAAAAGTAGTATTTACTGTCATTTGAAATTGTTAAAACATATCCTATCTTAACAATTAACTTTATTTTAAAATCTCGCAAAGGCTGCACTTTGAGGAAAAATACAGCAATATATTATTGGAGTTTAAAAATATCAGTTTACAGTTTTAGTAGACTGCAAAATATAATCTTTTTTTCGTGACAGGTACATTTTCTGCAAATTGTTGACATGTTAAAAGTCCTCAAGGATCACAGCCCTAAAATAACAAATAAATGTTGTCAGGTCTTCATTTGATCTAATATTTCAAATCTCTAGGTTTATCTTTGTATACAATACATGTTTGCACTTCTGTTTATTTATGATCACTTATTCCTTGATATATTTTAAGTACAGTTCAGGAAAAGTTTCATTTTTTAATGTTTTGATGAATGAGTGAGCAATATCTTACGCATATTTTGGTTATCTTATTTTCTGAGGACATTTCGACGCATTAGGCAATTGAATTGCATTTAGTTTTGTTTATAAATTAAAAATGTTACATTCTGTCTCTGTACTAATTTTGAATGTTTAAAATCAGTTCATTTGAATAAACCAAAGTTCTTTAATGTACATTTAAAATATTGAATTAGTATACAATTAACTAGGTGTAAAATAAGTTTCTGACGAGTTATTTTGACGCAAGACATTTTACTTGCATTTAGTTTTACATGTTTATAAAATTCAGAAACAAAAATATTAATTGTCATAGACAGATGTACTAAATTTGAATGCTTAAAATCAGTTTATTATGAATAAACCAATTTTAAATGTATATATCTACTTATTCAGCAACTAATTTAGTTGCTGAATAAGTAGATATATAAGTTTAATAGTTTAAATGTACATTTAAAATATTGGATAAGAATACAATTAACTAGGTGTAGCTAAGAAAATCTGTCTTACCTGCATTTTTTTTCCATAACAGATGCTTCACAAAACCCCACAAAATCTGTGCTGAAGAGATGGAGACACTGGAGCTTTAAACTGAGCAGAGAATGAGACACAAGCTCCGCCCCCTACTAAACACTGTTTGACTTGTCAAAGAATCATAAATCCTACTAGATTTACCAGCTGAGTTCATCAGGGCTCCTACAGTTGAGTCTTGTTTTAAGATGGAGTAGTAACACACTCACTGTTTTACAGTTTTAAATGGTCTACAATACAATGGCTCCTTAAATGTACAATTTATTAAAACACTAATTTGCAGATTCGCACACACACACACACTCACACAAATATCCAATGACGAATTTCCCATCATTCAGGAGTGGCAGAACACGCCAACTAAATCATCACACTGGAGATGAGAAAATGTCTCAATGCAGATTCCCCACAACCATTTTGAATCACATATATTTAATAAAAACAATGACTGGAAAGAAAAGCAGCACTGAAAAAACATGAATCATGAACATGTCTCATTCCCAAAAAAGAAATTATATTTTGCGTCAAGAAGACATTTTTAAATACAACGTTTTAAAAAGACATAATAATAATAATAGTAATAATATTTCTATAAACTTTCTTTTTACAAAATATAATTTCTTTTGTTTGATTATAGGGTGACATTGTAGACATAATTGCTAGCTCATAGCTGATTTTAAAACCCTTGTGCAACACCATTGGAGATTTTAAAGTATGTAGAAAATGAAAAATTGTGGGTATGCGATATTGCTACATTAAGTTCATATTCTCTAACATTCAACAGTTCACAATACGCTCTGGTAGATGTAACATCTTTTATCAGTAAGGCAACGAGAGGAGAATAAACCACAAGAAAAAAAACAACAAAACGCCAGTTATTAGCTTGATGCCGTTGTGGAAATTTTCTTCAAACGTGTCATGAAGATTCAAAAAGCTCAGTGTCCCAGTTTAACGGAAAAACTCTTTAGGGGCGGGATATGGAGTCACACGGAGTCTAGATGTGGTTGGAGGATGTATGCTTTCTATTTCAGATCGAGGACCATGGAGGCAGGGTTCTCCAGGTACGATCTCCACAGGTTGGAGAAGCGACACATGGTGGCTCCGTCGATGATTCGGTGGTCTGCAGACCAGCTGACGTTCATGATGTGTGCTTTCACTACCTCGTCCTTGTGGTTAAAGCGAGGTAAAACCTGTAGAAATGCAACATGTAAATTTAAAAATTAGGCTCTGTTCTAAGACATAGTGTACCTACTGCATATTTAGTTAGCTTACTGAGTAAATGCAATATTAAGTGAGCAATTTGGGACCAATTTAAAATTTAATTTGCACAATTCACTTTTGACCAAATGCAAAATTAGCATGTTGCCAAGTAGGGTTGGGTTGATAGATGATGCCATCGCCCATAGCCGATTGCCAATTGACATTACGATGCTGAGCCGGCATTACGATCCTCCTTCCTTCCCCTGTCGCAGCAGCAACCCTCTCGCAAAAAAAAAAACACACGGCCCATTTACGCTAATACATCTTATTTTAAAATGGCTCCTCATAAGATCTCTCTAGCGACACTATACTGCTGAAAATGCACATTATGAGACCACACAAACACACTCAGCACATGACGTTTGAGCTCCAGCAGTCAGCGGGTGCTTTAAACACAAAACCCCAGACACGTCGGACAGTTTATCACGGATGTATCGCTGGATCGCTTCTCACTATAGTTGGTAAACATGATATTTAACTCATCTTGTCTCAGTACACCACTTCAATCTTTTACTTTCACGCTTGTACTTAGTAATTTTAGCGAAAACCTCAGATACTGTTGGTTGGTTCCTGTTTGACAACACCATTATAACGACACAGATCACTCCTAGGCCTATTCATGCCAGTGGCCTGCGGAAAAAGTGATTGACAGGTGGAAATTTGTGTGTAACTTATCTTTATTTTATTTGTGATTTGGTTATGGGTAAAACAAAGACCATGCGGGTCAGGTAGATAAAACAGTAGGCTACAAATAATTAATTAGTTATGAATGAATTCATTATTCATAAATAATTTACTCACCGTCGCCTACAACAACATCGGCCATCGCAATGTTTTAGAATAGACATCGTACGATGCCAAATTGGTTGACATCGCCCAACCCTACTGCTAAGCTAACTGCAATACTGTAGTGTGGGTTGAAATGCAGGAAACATGAAGCATGTTTGAAAAAACGCAGTAGCACTGAGTGAATAATTACGCAAACAAAAAGTGAATTGCTTTTGTTAGCCATTTAGGATTTTATACCAACCCTGTCACGGTGCGTTATCTGATTGCCTAAGCATATGATTCTCCCTTTAATCTTGATGAAAATTGAGCCATTCACATCTAATTTCAAGTATTGAATAGGACTGAATGACAGAGTAATTTTGCACTCAACAATTAATTATGTAATTATGTATTGTTGGCCATTTTGTTTTTGTTTTTATTCAAACCTTATTACAGTGCATTATAGAATTAGCTTAGCATAATTGATTCTGCCTTAGACCTTGGCCAAAAATGACACCTTAGATGACAACGAAATGTTTTCTACATAGGGAACTGTGTTTTGAAAGTGATCCATAGACCAACAAGGTATAATAATAAGCTGTATTATGAAACAATTTTTCATTATTCCAAAGCCCAATTCACAAAGCACAAAAAGAAGAAATTCAACTTTACACACCTGAATTTTCCCAAGAGCACCAATAGCAACCTCAGGCGGCAATATGACCGGCTTTGCATAGGTTCCTCCAATCTGTCCAAAAGCAACAACATTATTAATGTTAAGTTCCAAACACCCCTAATTTTCACCATTCCTGCAGCCCTAAACCTACTGATCCAATGTTTGAGAGTGTGAACGTTCCCCCTGTGAGGTCAGAGGTCCCCAACTGTCCCGATGCTCCCAATATCTGAAGGCGGTTGAGCTCCACTGCGATCTCAAAAACACTAAGCATCTGTATGTTCTTGACATTGGGAACCAGAAGACCTTGACTTGTGTCCATCGCCAGTCCGATATTATGAGCAGCCTGGAGAAGACCGATGGTCAATGATCTACCATGTCTGAGTCCAACTGATCTTAACCTGGAAAAAAAACCTTACCTTATAGGTGATACTTGTGCAGTTTTCATCCAAAGACGAGTTGAGAATGGGAAAATGGAGAAGGGCGAGTGACGCTGCCTGTTTACAAAGAAGATACCGATATCAAGAGAAAGCATGATCAAGGGTTTTTCCCACAACAAATTGCTTTCTTTTGTACCTTGATGAAGAAGGGCATGTAGCTGAGCTTCACTCCTCGTGATTCAGTCAGACCTTTGAGTTCAGAGCGCAACCGGACCAACTGGCTCAGATCTACTTCATCTTTATAGCCGAAGTGAGGGATCTTCAGTGCTGCTGACATGGTCTTAACCATCGCCTTCTGAAAGCCTTCGTCAAACAAATTTGTAAATGAACATGTTTGTCAATTCAGTAAATGAACCGAGTTACAAATCAAAACAGGCCAGCAAACAAACCTTTAATAGGTTCAGTGTGGTCTTTGCCCGTAAACACAGGTTTAGGGATCACAGGAATAGGTACACTCGGTGGAGTTGCCTTTGCAGATGGAGTTAAAGGTGCTGCAGCCGCAGGAGGTGGAGGACGAATCTCCTGGAAGGGTGCTGGAGGTAAAATGGCCCCAGTTTGTTTGGCGATGAAGTTCAAGATGTCTTCTTTGAGAATGCGTCCATCTTTTCCAGTGCCGACAACTTCGCTTAGTTTGATCTGTAAGGAAAAGACATTGATGCAAATGGAGCATTTTTGAGTACATACAACAACTTGCATTACATATCAACAAGACTGAAAAAGGATAAATACTGCTAATATTAGTCCCCTGTATGTGTATGTCTTGTTACACTAAAACACAGCTGCTGTTTTGACAGGCAGGCACTCACCCTATTAATATACACTTATTTCAAATGTAGTTCCTCACTGAGAGGCCAACAGGTCTGATGTGCGTGATGTTGACCAATAGGAGCACAGAAGCTTTTCTGTTCACGGTTTTGTGGACATGGGGCTGTCTGAAATCTCCTACTACTCATTTTGTCGTGATCATGTTACCCATCCACGTCAGTTGCGTCGCTTCAATCCCATTCATGAATTCTCTCACGGGGCATTATGGTATAGTGAAGCATCCATTCGATGCACACTTCGGAAGTAGTAGGTCATCCGGGTACTTCTCGCATACTGATTTTCGAATTCTTCGAATTTAAGGGTCACGAAAAAAGTGAAAATTGGTTGTTTTTGCGTTATTTCGAGCAAATTCGTTCTTCCGGTTTGAAACAAATTTTTGAAGCTGCGTCTCGGCCATGAGATTTTAGTGTGTATTCCAGCGTGTAGACTGGACGTCTGTACCTGGGAGTACCTTGTTATGTCTCTGAGTGTGCTGCATTCATTCATGAATAAGACTTGGTTCAAACCAATCAGCGCCCTCTATTGTGTATGCGGGGCAACTTCATTAATATGCATGCTAGCTTCGAAGACTGTTTTACCTGAAACAGTGTTCAGACGGCAGAGAGACGACATGTTGTGTTGCCAAAACAAATGGGAAAAGAAGATAAATTGTTTGGAGATACAGGTCGTCAGTGTTGCTTTTTTAATGTGCTGCAACAAAGGTTTTGTTTTCATTTTCCAGCTATGAGAGCACAACTGGACTCACATGTGGATCAGTGCATGCGACGTGGCAGAAGTACGTTTGTACGGAATATTTTTTACCCCAGAGCTTTCCGACCTACCGAGTGCATTTGAGTTACCGAGAAATGCAGAGGTTTTTTATCTTATACGACGTGCAGTATCAAACATTCCACTGTCGTTAAACACAGTCACTATCTTTCCCCCTGTGTGTGTGTTTGTTTTGCCTCTGTGAAAGTCAGCGCATGCCCAAATTGAAACTCCCATTTTTAATCAAATCTTTCCCTCCCCCGACACTCCGACCTAAACAGAGCTAGACAAACCCACTTTGCTGACTTTTTCCAAACTACAGGTGTGAAAACACCCTGCTAAAACAGGGGGGTTTCATGGCCCTTTAAACCTCCACAAATGTCACTGAGTTACAATAGTTACAACTATTGTTACTTGTAACTATCATAACTAAAACCTTAATATATGAAATAAAAAGTAATACCTTTTAAACGTATTTAATGTTTACAATGCAAATCCAATTAGATCCACTTTATTTGGTAAAAAAAGCAAGTCTCATTATTATAATATCTCTACTAAAAGACAGAAAATATTACTTCACAAACTGTATTGTGAATAAATCTGATGAAAATTTTCATTTTAGTCAATAATATTACTGTATTTCATTTAAAAACTGAATAAATATAAATGTACACTCATTTACACAAGTAAATAGACTCAACGATAGGCTAGAAATCTGCAGAATTCTGGGCACCCAGACTCCGTGTGGGCCTACAGATGGGCTAAACGGATTTATTCTAGATCTAGGCTTGTCTGATTTGCTACACACTTCACCCTGCCCCCTACTTGTGGCCATGGTAACAACACCAATTCCTCTAACTATGTGATGCTGACAGGCTAGCCATCTTATTTTCTAGCACTCTCCACAGAGGATGTATGACTGTCTATAGAAAGAAGCTACATCTCATGACGCTGATTTATAATGCTACTCCACTGCCTAGCAACTTCCCGTCCTGCGCTCGAGTTTACGACCCCTGATGACAACAGCAAACAAAAAAACCCCACCGATGCTGATTTGATTTCTGTTCGCTAATGCCCAACTTTCAAATGTAGTTTATATTAAAACATGATGTAATTGAGATTGAATATTCAATGGGAAATAAGGTAGGACTTACTTAGTTTGATTTTGCTTAGACTTACTTGGTTTGATTTTGCTTTGGTTTTTACATAATAATGCTGTTGTTTTTAAATGTCTGTTTTATTTAATATAATTTAAGTTACCCTTTTTATTTGAATATATTGATTTTCAGGTTTTAGTTACTGTGTAATTACACTTATATATATATAGGCCTAATAACACATCTTGTGTTCCAATATATATAATCTCTTTAACTCAGATATGCTTCAAATATTAACAAATACAAAGCTGTAATATATATATATATATATATATATATATATATATATATATATATATATATATATATATATATATATATATAACAAGGTTTCATGAATTAGTTCATTTTAAGCTCACCGGCCACTTTATTAGGTACACCTGTCCAACTGCTTGTTGACACTAGTTTCTACTCAGCCAATCACATGTCAGCAACTCAATGCATTTAGGCATGTAGACATGGTCAAGATGATCTGCTGCAGTTTAAATTGAGCCTCAGAATGGGAAAGAAAGCTGATTTAAGTGACTTGGCATGGCTATTGGCGCCAGACGTGCTGGTCTGAGTATTTCAGAAACTGCAGATCTACTGAGATTTTCATGCACAACCATCTCTAGGGTTTACAGAGAATGGTCTGAAAAAGAGAACATATCCAGAGAGCAGCAGTTCTGTAGGTACAAATGCCTTGTTGAAACCAGAGGTCAGAGGAGAATGGCCAGACTGGTTTAAGCTGATAGAAAGGCAACAGTAACTCAAATAATCACTTAGTTAACTAACTAAATACTTCACTAATGTATCATTATTTTAGTTACAAAGTTTTTAAAACAAATGTTTGTTTTTTGCCAGCTTTGTTAACTAAAAGACAGCTAAAAATGTAAAATAGAAATATTTTATAAACCTATAACACACAAATAAAAAAAATATAAAATAAGAACAAATAAAGTTAAAATGAGGTACGGAAATTAACCAAAACAAAAACAATATCTAAATAGCAATATTTAAATTAATAAAATTAATTAATTTCCTGAAAACAAATAGCTATGTTTTGATAAACTAATATAAATAAATACAATCACAATTACACATATAAAAATACTGCATGTCTTTAACTTTAAAATAAACTAGATGTATGTAAACGTTTTTTTTTTTTTTACATTTACAACCAAATCCAGCATTTACGTACATTATTCTCCATGGCTAGGCGTCTGACCGCAGGAGTGGCTTGAGTCTTGTGTCCTTTGATTTCCTGATGCGTGTGCTCTTCCTGGGACACAGCAGGCGTCTCCACCACGTCCTCCTGAGGACTTTCAGCTGCAAGAGCCAAAGAAAATCTCAAACAACTCATTACAAAAACCAACACTTACTCAAAACTGTCAACTGCTTACCCTGACCGCCGTCCGTTTCGATGTCCACGAGAGGTTTACCGACGAGGGCAATGGAATCGACATCGTAGTAGAGCTTGCGGATTACTCCGTCATATCGGCTGGTGATGGTGACAGAGGCTTTGTCACTCTGCACTTCACAGATACTGTCAAACTGAGAGACTTTATCGCCTTCTTTCACATACCTGATGATGGGAGTATAATAATGTGGATAATGGCGCCCACTGCTGGTATTTGTGTGTAAATGAATTTATTAAATAATAAAACTGACCATTCTTTAACCGTCACCTCCATAATTCCTTCCCCAATGTCGGAGAGTTTGAACTGTACAATTGGTCGAGCTGTGACTGCAATAAACAGCATAAAATTATTATAAACACATTCTGCTAATTAGAAATAACGTTTTTCACAGGTTTTTTAATGAGTATATTAGGGCCGTATGAAATTTGTAAAGACTTTTTAGACATTTCCTGTTTTGAAAACAATTATGTGATAAAGCTACTTTAGGTGTCAAAAATGTTTCTTGTACACATTTGTAAATATTATAACATGACAAAAACTGTAGGATATAATTAACCTCTAAAATTCAGACAGAGTTTTGTTGATAAAAGTGTCTGTGTTCCAGCTGACAAGGAAAATTTAATTATTTTGTCTGTTGAAAGTGAATAATTATGCTGGTAAAATGTGTTTATTTTTGTTTTGTGTTTTTTGTTTTGTTATATTAAAAGTGACGACGCAATGGGCAACGCAGTTGTGCAGTAGGTAGTGCTGTCGCCTCACAGCCCAAAGGTTGCTGGTTCGAGCCTAGGCTGAGTCAGTTGGCATTTCTGTGTAGAGTTTGCATGTTCTCCCTGCGTTCGCGTGGGTTACCTTACAAGTCCAAAGTCATGCAGTACAGGGGAATTAGGTAGGCTAAATTGTCCGCTGTGAATGAGTGTGTGTGGATGCTTCCCAGAGATGGGTTGCCTCTGGAAGGGCATCCGCTGTGTAAAAACGTGCTGGATAAGTTGGTGGTTCATTCCGCTGTCGACCACGGATTAATAAAGGGACTAAGCCAACAAGAAAATGAATGAATGATTACTGAAACAAAAATATATTTTTGCATCATAGTTTTTGACGTAATTCCAAGAATTTCTTGATTTTCTTACTGAATGAATAAGAAATATTGCATGACACTACACAATACAGTACGGCTCACTTTTCCACTACATTTTGTACCTAGTAGTGCTTTTATAACTACCTCAGCTGAGATTTCAAACAGGCATGGGACGATATAAGATTCTGACAATATGATAACCTTGGATAAAAATATCACGGTTTCACAATATTGCAATCACTGCTCTAAAATAAGGTGTTATTAAATGTCTGGGTGAAAAAAAACTATCTTTTCCCCTTTAAACTCAATATATTTTATTTTGTGACATTTTGGAACAGTAAACATGGCTAAATAATAATAAATCATTGACCTCTGCTGTCTTTATTGGTTTTAAAAATACTGATTTATTTACAACTTAAACGCCATCTTTGGAGACCTTTTCCGTTGTAGATACTATTGTCCTAGAAATTGTACAAATACCTTAGGATTGGTATTACAGAAAATTTTGGCAGTTTTAAAACCTTGACTTTTCCAAACTTCGGTATACCTTGAAAACAGTTATTGTTACCATGCCTAGTTTCAAGTGAGCTATACCATTACCATAACGCGATTTATACACCCTGCTAATCACAAACTGGTCTGAGAGAATTGTCATTAACAGCGTAACCTGATTTGTGACATGAGATACCAAACCTTCTGTATTTAAAAATACCACAAAGTACTTTGAAATGTGTATTTTTGTTCGACGTGTCACAATTTCAACTGAAACATGAAGATTGGGTGTAACCAGAGGTATGTGGAGTAGCTCCTACCCTTTTCAAAACTAAACAGCCAATAGCGTTTTGTTTTAGTAGTTGAGCTCAAGGACATCAAACGAAAAACAACAGAGAAGAGTCTTGAAGGGGCGGGCATGTCAGATCCTAGAGAGCATTTGATTGGTCAGAAGGTTTGATGAGAAACTAAAAGTATGAAGTGACGTCAAAAAAAATGTTGATCCATTTAGTTTATTGTTTATTTCTTCTAAATGTGACTTTGGTCAGTTTTAGAGCGCACTAGCTTAAAGATAACCTTAAGACTGACAATGTTAACAACATCTAAATAATGTACTTTGACTTCACAGGGACTTTGAAGGCCCCGTTTACACTGCCAGTTAAATGTGACCCAATTCCGATTTTTTACTCATATGTGACACAGATCGTATCTGTTCTATGACCGTGTAAACACGAAAAAAAACCCGCATGCATTCGGATATTCAGAGATCGGTTTCAGGCCTCCTTTATATGTGGAAATAAATCAGATATAGATCGTATATGTGACAATGCGACTGTCATGTAAACAGGCAGATCCGAATTGAGGCATTCCGTTCCGTTGTGCTGCGATGACGGCCCTTTCCCACCTCCGCCTCAAAATCATTTTAAAGTTGGCCGAACTTCGTGTTGTAACTTTTGCTTTTTGTCACTATTAATACACACACTGCAGGCTACACATAGAACAACTTTATTCTCTCTAACACCAGTGCGCACACAGGCAAGGCTACATCTTCAACTACACACACACACATCAGGGCTATACCATTACATAAACTGCGTGGGGGTAAATCTGGACTAAACCATTCACTGCTTAAGACTGATTTATACTTATGCTTCAAACGCACGCGCATGCTACGGCGCTGACGCATAGCCCTGCGCAGTGGCCGTCGGCGTCGCTGACGTGCACTTCTCAAAAAATGTAACTACACGTCGCAACGACGCGTAGCGCAAGCTCTGTGATTGGTCGGCTTGGTAGCGCTGACAGGTTTGGGTGGGACCGAGAGCCGCGAGAATGGCGCGACCCCGATGGAGTGATTGTTTACAAGTGTGGAGTCCTGTGAAGGAGCTCCGGATGGAAAGTGTTGTTTTGTTTACCTCATAGTTAAAGTTGTTGCACGTCCGCCGGTTCCTGCCTCAAAATGAGCAAGTTTGAGCCACTTGTACATTAAGGAAGTGTTCAGGAAAAGCAAAACACAGGCGAAGAAACTCGACACAGAGGAACATTTACACCTCACTGCCAACTAGCTTTTTGGAGGTGTTAATGCAGACCAACAGAGACAGTGCGCAGAAGTATAAATGCACAGCAATGCGCGTTGCATGCGCCATGGGTTACGCCAGTCACTTGACGCAGAAGTATAAACCAGGCTTTATACTACACTTGGCATATTTCGCAGAGCTAAAAACAAGACAATTTCTTCCACCGTGGCTAGTTTGGCACAGATGCTAGAACCCGCCTTTATACATGCGTGACATTGTAATTTGTATGGCAAGTGTAAACCCATGAATTGGATTTGGGTCACAATTAAAACAACGTCTAAACAGACAGGCAAACAAATCAGATATAGGCAACAAATTGGAATTGGGCATCAAGACCTGACAGTGTAAACGGGGCCAAATAGTCCACATCAGCCACAGCTGTATTGTTGGTTTGAACGGCTAACCATTTTTGCATTAAATCAGAAGGAAAACAATTGAATGAAAAAAACAAATGGAAACGTTTTTTAGGACATCACGACAGCAGAAGCCCTACTAAACTGCTGTAGAAATGCAGTATTTCTGAACAACACTGTGGACAAGCAACAGAAATGTAACTACACTGTGGTAAAAACGTTCACATTGTAAACGTTTTCATTTTTTCACGTTCACCATATGGTTTTGAGTAAAAAAGAAAAACTAGGCTTAAAACAAATGACTTCAAACTCACCATAGCTAGTGTGAAAATAGCGATGCTGCCTTCCAGCAACGAGGGAATACGAGTGAGGTCTGAGTACAAGACAAGCGGCTGGCAGTTTAGAGCAGCAGTTTCTGTGCAGGCGTGCAGAGACCTGAAATACAGCACAGAATAGTATAAATACAAGTTTACAAGCACTTTTAAATCAAAATTGCGGTTTTAACTAGTGTCTGTACATGTTACTCTACAAAAATAACAATTATTTAACAGAAGAGTGCACTTTTGATGATTATGACAACATATTTTGATCAAATTGGGTTTATATTCGCACATTCGTTCATTTTTTTAACAGTAAAAATTTTCCCAGGCTTCCTTTATTGATTACGGTGATAACTAACTTTAAATATTCGGTCATAAATAGCATGCAAGCATAACTTTATAACAACATTAGCACAATTTAAAGGGTCACAGAACACTAAAACACATTTTTTGACAGTCATATACGTGTCCCACGTTGCTAAGAACACTATTAGGACACATCTATTTCACTGAAAAGTAAAAATCTTCTTTTTTTGCGTTATTATTACAAAATTCTTCTTCGGGTTTGAAAATACATTATAAAACAATCACGGCGATGAGATCATTTTATAAATTCCAGCGTGGAGATTAGCTGTCTATACCGGCTGGTGCAAACAAAGTGGTGTCATTGAGTCTTCATCATTAATTCTAGAGAAAGACTTGGTTCGAACCAATCAGCACGCTCTATTTTGAATGAGGTGCAACTTCATTAATGTGCATGTCAGCTTCGAAGACTGTATTAACCTGTTACAGTGTTTAGAAAGACGCCATGTTGTGTTGCATTTATAAATGTGCCGCAACAAAGGTTTTGTTTCCAATTCATCATGATGAGAACAGAGCTTGTGTGTGGATTACAGTGCTCTGCTAACACGCGACAAAAAATATGTTAGTAAGGAACCTTTTTCACCCGAGGGCTTTTTGCATCTGGAAATGGTCAAATCTGGATTTGCCACTTGTCTCATTTAAAAAAAAAGACGCGATTCCAGTTAGTGTTGATTGTCCTGTCTCTACAGATTTGGTAAGTGTGTGATCAGTGTTCTTTGTAAATGTTTATTCAGATGGCAAAGTTAATTAGTATCGTCAGCAGTCCCCTTTCAGTTTTTAAAGACATAGCTTAGTCAAAATGATTTAGTTACTAATACCTACTAACTACAATATTATAGGCTGGAAATCCTCCACTTCCACACAGCTCTCACATCTGCTGTAATTTAGCTTTAACTGACTTTGAGCAATGTTGTACTTTGACAGTCGTTGGCTGCTAATATAATTTCCCTGTTTATAATTTTCCAAAGAATGCTATGCTGAAATTATATTATTGAGGAGTAAGTCTGAATGTGCGAATATAAAACCAACTTTACCTCAGTTAATAATAAATGCCACAGGATGTGCTACTCTTTACCACAGCATGAATAATAAATGCTCATAAACACTATTTGATAACTAACTAAACACTTAGTTTAAGCATTTATACAAAGTGGACTCATCATTTTTGAGTTGTGTCATTATCAGCAACAGTTTGGATTTCTTAATGTTGTTTACACCTTGGCAAGTCTCCACAGCTCATGCATGCCCAGTGTTCGTCCCTTCTCTTTTATACTCGCTTAAAGACGCTGATTTGCGTACAAATTGTGTTTTAATTTAAACGCATGCGTTCAGACATCATTGCAACTGTAATGTGCGTGCAAAATAAATTGAAAAAAAACTTACCAGGCGTCTCATAAACACGAATGGAGCCCGCACAGTAATGACCGCCGCCATCTTTCCCCAGCGATTTGATGCAACCGGAAATGACGTCACTCGCACGCCCCGCTTTGCTGACCAATCCGTGAGTTTTTTGGCCAAGGGCAAATTTTTTTCCAGACATTTCTGATATAATAAAAAATACTAATAAATAAAATTTATAAATAATGAGCAATTATAGAGAATACATCAGTAGATGACTAAATGCATTTTTTTAAATTTTGCATTCATTCTATAGTGATTATTTAATATATAATGAATACCTCTTCGTTGACTTTATATTTATAATATAAAAGACATATTTGTTGAAGTATCGCATCAAATACATATATTATTATCATTAAGGAATTCGTGTATTAATTGAACGAATAATAAAAATGAACAAATACAGTTTAAAAAAAGCTTAAAAATAAACAATCTAATACACACATTCTTAAAGCAATGAAGGAACATATAATAGTGTTATCAAAACAATAAAACATTCAATAAATATTCAATAAATATATTCTATTCTATGTAAATAAATGTTGATTTTAATTAATATATCAAAAATAAACATTCAAATTGAGACTAATAATTGAGTCCTAATAAAATACAAAAATGCATGTGAATGGAAAATTATATAAATAAAATTGTGCGGTGCAAAAATTAATCTCAATTAATCACATCTAAAATAAATATTTGTTTTGGCATAGTTTACAGTAAGTGTGTGTGCTGTATTTATTTATTATTTATATAAATACACACATGCATGAATATATTTGAGAAAATGTGTATTTATATTTAGATATAAAATGTATATGATACAAATGATATATTAATATAACTCTCTATGTAACAAAATGGTTTTGTTACTGTTTCTATGTTCGTGCGTATCACATATACATATATACAATACACATAATATGTCAAAACAAACTTTTATTTTAAATGTGATCAATCACGATTAATCAGCACTAAAATAAAACATTATTTTCTTTATTTAATGCATAGATTTTTAAGTAAATTACTAAAAATTTATGATTAAAATGTAACTGAAAGACCAGACATTAAATTAATACAAAATAAAATAAATATCGCTTACTAAATCGCTTACCAAACAGTTTAGTGAGCCAGTTCATATGAATCATCCACAAGATTAATCTCTGACCGGCACTAAAAGAAAACATTTTTTTTCTTTAATTAAATACATACATTTTAAAGTAAACTACTTAAAATCAACGATTAAAATATAAAAGAAAGGCATTAAATTAATAATAAATAAATATTGACAGAAATATTATAAAATATTATTATAATTGAATAAATACATAAAACACTGATTTGTTTTCTTAAATAAACAAAAAAATTTAAAAGTTATTATATTATTATTAAACATTTATATATATATATATATATATATATATATATATATGTGTGTGTGTGTGTGTGTGTGTGTGTTTGTGTGTGTGTGTGTGTGTGTGTGTGTGTGTGTGTGTGTGTGTGTGTGTGTGTGTGTGTGTGTGTGTGTGTGTGTATTAAATTAAACGTTATTATTAAGTACGTTTTAATTAAATGAAAAAAAGAAATAATAAACAAAGACAAAATTATATGAAACAAATCTATTATTAATAATACTATTTTTTAAATGAATGCAAATTCATAAACAAAGACGAAATAAATAGAAACTCGTAGCTGTATGATTAAAAAAATACAAAATAAACAGAAAGCAAAGTTTAAAAAAAAAATGTTAATAGTTAAAATATCTAACTGTTTTAATGTTATACATTAAACCATATTTATTTGTCAGAAAATATAGTTCAAATTGATTCTCCTTCAATTGTCTGTTAATTACGAATCGGACAAAGTTTCGGTTCAGTGAATCAGTCACACTAAACAAATTATTATTGTTTACAATTTTTTTTGGTAACTTAATTGTCATATGTTAAATCCACTTAAGTTTGTTAAGTGAACATAAATGGATTTGTGTTGAGAAAACGTAAATGATTTGTTTAGAACCCAGCATTTTTAGTGTGGTTCACAAATCGCTCACCAAATTCTACTGAGCCGAACGGTTTGGTGAACGGGTTCATACGAATCACCCAAAAGATTCAATTCAGCAGAACGACTCGTCAACGAGTTGGTCCTCGCTCATCTGCGCATGCCCAAAGCCCGTCCACCATAGCAGTGTGACTGGCAATACTAGTTGCCAGAGTGTGACCGTGCTGCCAGGAAATTCGCTCATTTCTTATTTGTGGGCAAGTCAAGTCCGTCTGCGCTTATTTCTGTCGACCCAACTGCGCGTCCAACTTTAATTCCTCTTTAAATCCAGAAGAAGAGTTCATCTCGTGCCTCAGCTTTTGTTGAGGAGTTCGCGTTTATAGCGGCATTGTTTGCGGCAATAAGCCGGTTTATATTAACTTTCACACCGAGTAAAAGTCGCGCTCGGTCTCTTCTTATTTCCACTCGCACTTTAATACATCCTTACAATTTCTCGGTTTTCTCGAAAATGGCCGCAACTACGTTCGAGATGGACGGAAGTGTAATGGAAGGGGTGAGTGAATTTCCACTCTTTTTGTTGTTTAATATCTCCCATTAAAGTTTTAAATGGTTTGCATGTAATCATGGCATCGCCTACATTTGATTTGCCTGGTGTCGCTAAATATTTGGATAACTAAATTTCGATGTTTGTGTTGAAAGGGAGGACAGATTTTAAGGGTGTCTGCGGCGCTGAGTTGCATCCAAGGGGCGTCAATCAAAATAAATAAAATCCGAGCCGGTAGAAGCACACCGGGTCTGAGGTAATGACCATTTTGCTTTATACATTGTAAATTTGTATTCCCATGTAGTTTTATGTGGGTTTAAACAGTTGGTTTTGTGTGTGCCTAACATCCTCCATTTGCTCCCCCCTTTCCTATTCAACAGTGAATCATGAAACAAAGCAAAGTTGGTTGTGGGAGTCTAGTTACTCAATTACGCGTTACTTTTACCGTCAACCCCATAGATAAGTGACTGCTTGTCAGTTAAAGTTGTTTCATGTTGGTGTTTATCCGACAAAAATGCTGTTAAATACTTTTACCATGAATTTTTAATGGGCTCCTTTGTTAGTTGGCACTGAGGCACATGGCTACTTTCCATGTTGAGCTTCACATTTATCTCTTTAAACGATCTGTATTTGTGTCAGAGCTTTTTTTTAACAGCCCATACTTTGTTGCTTGTTATACATTATGCCTAAATTTAGATATGTTGTCAATCTGAAGAGTTTGAAACCCAATGTGGAGTGATTCACTGTCAGCAAACAGAATTAATTAGGTTAAATTTGTAAGATTTTGTTATACTTCTGATGCACTAGCTAAGGTTCCAGAACCCTTCAAATTGTGTGAATTGAAACTGGTGAGTTAAAAATGCACCCAATGGAAACAAATTTCTTACAACAAGTCCTATATGCCTATTTCACAAAGTTTTTCATTAGCATATTGTGTTTTTACAGGCAAATCGAAGAAGAAATATTTAACAAACGTGCAATCGCACCAGTTTTGTTTTCCTGACAGATGGAAAAGTCAATCATTTTATGTTTTTTTTTATCAACGTAAAGGAATAGTTTAACCAAAAATGAAACTTCTATCGTCATTTACTCAACATTTACTTAATTTAAACCATTATGAGCTTCTTTCTTTTGTTGATGTTTTGAAAAATGTGTGGAAACCTGTAGCCATTGACTTCCATAGTATTTGTTTTTCTATTAACTAGTTTTCTGATGGTTAGAAAACTATGAAACCATAGAAAACTACAGTGTTCTGTTCTAACTGGTAGTCGGTGGTTTTCAGCTTTTTTCGAAGTGTCTTCTTTTGTTTTTAGCGTAAGGAATAAACTCCTAAAGGTTTTAAACCACTTGAGAGAGTAAACTTTACTTTCTAAGTGAACTGTCCCTTTAATGAAATATTGCAACAGTTTTGTCCAAATCTTTCATGGAAATTTGGCTTAAATATTTACAACAATATACAACAATAAAGCAAACAACATTAGCCCCATTTCCAATTGCTCTTCAAAATTACCAAATTAAAAGAATACCCAATGGAAACTACCATATATGGCAAAAAATAAAGTTTTTACACTCACTTAAGATTATTTTTCAGGAATTTTTAAAGTATATTTTCCAATGATTTTTGCAATGACTGATCCTGAGGACAAAGGTTATTTTAACGGCATAACTTTGGTCAATGGAATAGTAATTTTCCAATAATTTTTAACTATATTCAGAAAACATCAGAGAAGTTTTTCAGAAATGTAAATGTATTTATTTGTGTTTTAAGTACAGACGACAGCATTGTCAAAACGATTTCCACTCAAACTTAACGACAAATACAACTAAAAACGTTGTGTTGTGCACACTACGCCAGTAGATGGCGATGTACCGCTACACGTATGTACGTACACAGGTACGTACAAATGCAATTTTTAAATTTTTTTTTTTTTACAATGTTTTTGTGGTTTACACCGCAACAATAAAGTGCAAAACCAAACAAAACGTGCTTAGGGGTAGCGTAAATAATGTGTCTGTGTTTTTTGGGTAAAGGATTAATCAAATAAACAGTTAAAGTCAGTCCAAGGTGCTCAAAATGTGGAAAAAAATATTAAAAAGCCTTTATTGACATGTCTATTCCCTAAATCTGCATCAACACATTTCGGCAAACACTTGCCTTCATCGGGGTAACAGAGATCATGTGCATCTGGAGTTTTTTTTTTTTAACACTATGATCTTATGACTCATTAGAATATCTAAACAATACTAAACTAATAACTTTGGGTTATTTTGTTGGTATAAATTGAATGTAATAAACCTTTTTGATTAGTTGTTGCTATCTATGTGATTCATCTTTATTATTACTATTTTCTGTATATTTTTGATTTATCTAAAACAAATTATTCTCTTTTTGTCAGTGGTTTGGTTGATGCATGTTTTGTTCTCCCGTATTGCACAAAATTGTCACAATATAAATGTTACGTATTTCAGTCCCTAGATTAACATTGAGGAGTTGTAACAACCTGTCAAAACAAAAT